GCCGGTGGCTCCTCACATTCAGCTTTACATGTTTTACCACGGAAAACATTTGATTTGCTGCAAGTCCAAACTTTTAGGACTTTAAAAAAATTTTTAATTTTTGTTCAAGTACAGTTTTCTGACTTTTACTCCCATCCCAGCCCACCCCTGCCAGCCCTCCTCACCTCTATCCCATTTCCACCCCACCCCTTGTTATTGTCCGTGTGTCCTTTGTACTTGTTCCTGCAAACCCTCCCCCTTTTCCCCTGGAATCCCCTCCCGTCTTCCTTCTGGTCACTGTCAGCCTGTTCTCTATTTCAGTGTCTTTGGTTATATTTTGCTTGTTGGTCTGTTTTGTTGATTAGGTTCCTGTTAAAGGTGAGATCATATGGTATTTGTCTTTTACTGCCTGGCTTACTTCGCTTACCATAATTCTCCCCAGCTCCATCCATACTGTGGCAAAGGGTAGGAGCTCCTTCCTCCTTCTGCTGCATAGAATTCCATTGTGTAAACGTACCATAGTTTTTTGATCCATTCATTGACTGATGGACATCTAGGTTGCTTCCAGCATCTAGCTATTGTAAATTGTGCTGCTATGAACATTGGGGTGCATAGGTCCTTTTGGATTGGTGTTTCAGTGTTCTTAGGATATAGTCCCAGCAGTGGAATTGCTGGGTCGAAAGGCAGATCCATTTTTAGTTTTCTAAGAAAATTTCATGCTGTTTTCCATAGTGGTTGTACCAGTCTGCAATCCCACCAACAGTGCACTAGGGTCCCCTTTTCTCCACAACCTCTCCAACACTTGTTGTTTGTTGCTTTGTTTATGATGGCCATTCTGACCGGTGTGAAGTGGTATCTCACTGTGGTTTTAATTTGCATCTCTCTGATAGCTAGCGATACTGAGCATCTTTTCATGTGTCTCTGGATCCTCTGTGTGTCCTCCTTGGAGAAGTGTCTGTTCAAGTCCTTTGCCCATTTTTTAATTGGGTTGCTTGTCTTCTTAGAGTGGAATTGTGTGAGTTCTTTATATATTTTGGAGATTAAATCCTTGTCTGAGGTATCATTGGCAAATATGTTTTCCCATAGTTGGTTCTTCTTTTATTTTAGTACTGTTTTTTTCTTTTTAGCTGTGCAGAAGCTTTTTATTTTGATGAGATCCCATTTGTTTATTCTTTCCTTTATGTCCCTTGCTCTAGGGGACATATTGGTGAAAATATTGCTGCATGAAATAATTGAGATTTTCCTGCCTATGTTCTCCTCTAGGACTTTAATGGTGTCATGACTTATATTTAAATCTTTTATCCACCTAGAATTTATTTTTGTGTATGGTGTAAGTTGGTGCTCAAGTTTCAGTTTTTTGCATGTAGCTGTCCAGCTCTCCCAACACCATTTGTTGAAGAGGCTATTTTTACTCCATTTTATGCTGCTGCCCCATTATTATTAATATTAATAATTGACCATATTAATTGAATATTAGTTGACCATATTAATTCAATATTAATTGAATAATTGAATATTAATTGACCATAGAGACTTGGGTTCATTTCTGGGCTTCCTGTTCTGTTCCATTGGTCCATGTGTCTGTTCTTATGCCAGTACCAGGCTGTTTTGATTACAGTGGCCTTGTAATACGGTTTGGTATCAGGTATTGTGATCCCTCCTACTTTGCTCTTCTTTCTCAAAATTACAGCAGCTATTCGGGGTCATTTATGGTTCCATATGAATTTTTGAAGTGTTCATTCTATGTCTGTAAAATATGCCATTGGTACTTTAATAGGAATTGCATTGAATCTGTAAATTACTTTGGGTAGGTAGTATGGACATTTTGATGATGTTAATTCTTCTGATCCATGAACACAGTATATGTTTCCATTTGTTTGTGTCTTCCTTGATTTCTTTCTTCGGTGTTGTGTAGTTTTCTGAGTACAAGATCCTTGTACCTAATCCTTGATTAGGTTTATTCCTAGGTATTTTATTTTTCTTGTTGCTATATGAAATGGGATTTTTTTCTTGATTTCTGCTTCTGCTGTTTCATTGTTGGTATACAAAAATGCCTTTGATTTCTGGATATTGACTTTGTATCCCACTGTTTTGCCAAATTCATTTATTAGGTCAAGCAGTTTTTTGGCCGAGTCTATAGGATTTTCTATGTACACTATCATGTCATCTGCAGACAATGACAGTTTTGTTTCCTCCTTTCTGATTTGGATGCCTTTTATTTCTTCTTCTTATCTGATCGCTGTGGCTAAAACTTCCAGTACTATATTGAATAGGAGTGGTGAAAGTGGACAACCTTGTCTTGTTCCCGATCTTAGTGGAAAACATTTTAGGTTTTGCCCATTGAGTATGATGTTGGCTGTAGGTCTCTCATATATGACCTTTATTATGTTGAGGAATGCTCCCTCTATTCCCACTTTGCCGAGTGTTTTTATCATAAATGGGTGCTGTACCTTATCAAATGCTTTTTCTGAATCTATTGATATGGTCCTGTGATTTTTGTCTTTGTTTATGTGATGTATTACATTTGTTGATTTGTGAATATTGAACCATCCTTGCATCCCTGGGATTAATCCCACTTGGTCATGGTGTATGATCTTTCTAATGTATTGTTGGATGAGGTTCGCCAGTATTTTGTTAAGGATTTTAGTGTCTATGTTCATCAGCAATATTGGCCTGAAGTTTTCTTTCTTTGCCATGTCTTTATCTGGTTTTGGGATTAGGATGATGCTGGCTTCACAAAAAGAGTTTGGGAGTCTTCCATGATTTTTTGGAATAGTCTGTGAAGGGTAGGGGTTAGCTCTTCCTTCAATGCTTTGTAGAATTCTCTTGTGAAACCTTCTAGTCCAGGGTTTTTGTGTGTCGGGAGTTTTTTTTATTACTGCTTCAATTTCATCTGCTGTTATTGGTTTGTTCAGGCTTTCTGCTTCTTTTTTATTGAGTTTTGGAAGATTATATTTTTCTAGAAATTTGTCCATTTCACCTAGGTTTTCAAATTTCTTGGCATACAGTTCTTCATAGTAACTTCTTAAAATCCTTTGTATTTCTGTAGTATCAGTTGTAATTTCTCCTCTTTCATTTCTGATTGTGTTTATTTGGGTCTTCTCTCTTTTTTCTTGATGAGCCTGCTTAAAGGCTTGTCGATTTCGTTTATCTTTTCAAAGAACCAGCTCCTGGATTCCTTGATCCTTAGAATTGTGCTTTTAGTCTCTATGTCATTTAATTCTGCTCTGATCTTGGTCATTTCCTTCCTTCTGCCTGCTCTGGGCTGCCTTTGTTGTTGTTCCTCGAGTTCTCATAGGCGTAGGGTTAGGTTGTTTGTTTGAAATGTTTCTATCTTTTTTTGGTAGGCCTGTATTGCTATGAACCTCCCTCTCAGGACTGCCTTCTTTAGGAACATTTTAAATGGGCTTTTTATAAAGAGTGCATAAGGCTGCATGCCTGCGTCACCTCCTGAATGACCCGTTTTTAAGTTTGCCCGATGAGATTTCCTCACCGTGGTGGCACCCTGCCTCCCTCAGGTGATGAAGTGAACTCAGACCAGGACCGGATGGGTGTTGAAGCTGCACAGTGAACACCAGACACTTCCCTTTGGCATTTCTCCTTTGCCTTCCCTCTGCTTCCCAGCAGAAACTGGTTTTTTTAAAAATTAGTGCCCCTCCACTGCCTCCCCACCACAGCGATGTGCAGTTGTCATAGGAACCAGTGTGAAGTTGTAAGTAAAGATTTTAGAGAGGTGTGAATGGCCTCTTGGCCAAATACAAGGGGCAGAAAGCAGAGCTTAAATATGAACAGAAGTTGTCATTTGTAGACTTCTGCACCCTTTGCAATTGGGCTCAACTCACCTGCAGGCAGGCCGGACCACGGCAGGGTGAGTGATGGCCTGGCTTACCCTCTTCCTGTCTTCATGGTCATTCCCATTGACCTACTCAGACCATTAAAAAAACAGAGAGTGTGGGTAGTGTGAAGGGATGGTCTGGTTCACTGACTTCCTAGAGACTGATGAGAGCCAGGTGGCTAGACAGAGGCCAGTTCTGACCTTGAGTTGTTTGAGTGTTTCTCTCTCTGATGAGCCAGAATTTGAAGTAAAACAGTGAGATGCAGTGCTTCCCCTGACTAACACATTGACTTGAATTAGAAACTCATTGACTTTCTCAAGGTCATCCAGGCTCATTCTCCTGCCCTCAGACTTTTCTGTGGTGAAAGGGCTTGACAAATCAGGGATCCTCCTGGGCTTGCAGTTTAAAACCCTCTCCGAAGGCAAGGGGGACCAGAAATTGTTTCAAACAATGAAGCACCATCTTTGTAGGTAGAATGTGCTCCTTCTTCCCGACTGTGATTTTAATGAGACAGGGAACAGGGAAGATGAGTCCCCTCACTCCCATAAGTCACTAAGGCATTAATTCAGATTTAGCCCTTTTGAAACTGGCCTCTGTTCTCTTGCTAATCAATCTGTTTTTTATATTTAAATGTGTCTCCATGCTTCGCCTTTCTTTACGCACCATTGCTGGATTTGAAGAAACTGAGGGATCAGGCATCTCTTGCCTCTCAGCCTGAGAGGCAGGAACAGACTTCGTTCTCCGCCGGTGATCAGCTGGTCCTGGCTGCGGGGAGGGGTGTGGCGGAGCGGGGCACCCCAGCTGGGTGACTCAGCTCCACCTTCCTCGTGGCTCACACTCCTCGGGACTCCAGTGGCGTAGCCCAGAAATGTTCTTCTCATGCCCAAGGCAGAAACACGAAAGAGCAAGCAAAAACACATACGGTTTCCTTAGGCGTCGGCTCCAAGCCAGCACGCCATCATTCCGGCCTCGCGGTGGCCAAAGCAAGTCCCACGGAGTGGGAGACACATGCAGTTCCTGTTGGGTGGGAACTCCAGGGTCCCATTGACAAGGGGTGAGGATGGGGGGGGCGAGGGGGGGAGAACGGCGGCTTTAATGCCATTGTCTACCGCAGGTGGCTCAAAGAGACCCTCTCAGAGCTAAAATTCAATGAGTTTTCCCTTAAGGACCATTTACCTTTTTCAGGAAACGGAACTATGGCTCCCTTGGCAGCCCTTCAAGCGACATTCCTCTCGGCGCTGCTGTTCTTGGGAACTGACTGCGGCCAAGGTAAGATGTGGAAAGAGCAACAAAGGAAACAGTCCCATAAAGGACACAAATGAGGTAATGGATGGTTCTGAGGAAAAGTTGCGCAATTCTTTTTTTCTCCTGAAATTACACGGATTTGGTGAGTAGCAACGGTCCCCCCGCTCGCCCCCCCGCCAGGTCCTGGCCTCACGGAGCTGGATGGCCCATCTGAATAAGTTGCCCTTGGCCTCCAGCTTCCTGGGTACTAGGGCATTTGTGAGCGGACCTAACCCTGCAGAGCCTCCGGGTGGGTATGCTGAAAATGACCTTGACCAGGAGAGTCCCTTCTGCGTGGTACCAGGGAGAGATGGGGGTGAAGCCGCCCAGGGCTGGCTGCTAAGTTAGAACAAGCTGTGATGTCCTTCAGCTGTGTTTACGGAAAGGCTATTAGCTACAAGATAGCACTGCTAAATGCTGAGATGCCATTTATGGGTTTTTTAAAAAGTACTTGTGGCTTAGCTACTCCCCCACTGAGGGTGTTTGGAAATCAATGAACTGTATAAACAAAGTCACTTAGAATTCAGTTCTTTCTGCAATGTTTACAGATAGTTTATTCTTCGAGCCAGAGCGTTTCCGTTGGTTTATAAAGTTTCTGTCACTGTGTCCTGTGTGTTACAAAGCTTTCCGTTTCCCCGGGCTTGTGTTTGCTACTCTCTGACTCCCGTGGTGAGAAAGACAGAGCACAGGCGCATGCTTTCCGTAGTTAGCCTTGCAGCCCCGGCTGCGCAGGCCCGAAAGGACGTTTGAGAGAAACATCCCCAGCATTTTCCAACGTCGCCTTACGACTCTGGGGAAAGGTATTTGGACAGGAGGTTTCGTTCTGATAATAGCTTAATTTCCTGTCTGACACCCTTTAGGTCTGGGTTGAGTTCTTTCAGCTTCAGAGTAAGTTAACAAATGCTACTTTGATGGCTTCTCAGAAATGAGAGTTTGAGTGTTGGTGTCTCCCCTAATCTGGAGCTGAATGGTGGGAATCGGGACTGCTCACCGGTAGTAGCTTGTGTGCCCTCCCTCCATCCACCATTCGTCCAGATATGTAAGCCTGGCCCTCCTGGGCCCGCGGTCCCAGCTCCCGGCTCCCCAGACACTCCCAGGCACTCAGCCAGGCTTTGGGCGGCTCACTTCCCCAGCAAAGTCTCACCTCCTGGCCGGACGACTGTTCGCTGTGTGCCCTCCTCCCCTTGCCCAGGCTCTGCACGCTAGGAGCGACTGCCACTCCCCTCTCGGCCCCTGGCGTTTAGATCCCACACGCACTTACCTGTCTTGCTCTCACGGGTCTGTGTTTCTGCTTCCAGTGTTCCCAGCCTGCTTTGCTAAGTCACCCTGTGTTGGGCCTCGCGGGCACTGCCTGGATTTCCTGACTCAGTTCTCGCCGCATCCGACAGGTGCCTACCAAACCTCCCCACGCAAACTGGTCGTCCTCCCACGGGATCGCCAGGCCAGGCTCGTGTGGGAGGCTCCATTCCAGGTCCCGAGCTCCTCCCGGCCGCTCCGGTGAGCCCTGGGCTCATGTCTCCCTCGGCCGGAGGTCACGGCTGCCTGCAGCCTCCGGGGGCATTTCCCTCCGCTCTCGTGTGCGTAGGTGCGCACGGAGGTAAAGGGGGGAGCGTGCACACTTTTTTATAGAAGTGGAGTTATACCATGTCTCCTGGGAGTATTTACACCTAAGTGTGTGTGTATGTGTGTGTGTGTACTTGTTAAAGTATACACACTTCTGATAACTATATAGACTTATTAAAGTACAGATAGCATAAAGCATATTTATTGTCTATAGCCTAAGTATATATACTGGGAAAACAGACTATATATACTTCATAAAGTACACACACTTTACTATATTACATGTTTACATACTTTAATATATACTTACCAAGATCAATACAACACACAGTGAGGGTTTTTACCTTGGACGTGAGATGTTCTTCTAGAAATAAATTATAGTTAATGGCTGCACGGTGTCCCACCTTATGAATGGGCCATGGTTTATTTCCTCAGGCGGTGCGGGGGCCAGGCAGAGAGATGGGGCTGGGAAGGGAGGGGCGGGGGCGGGGCTGCGACGGAACCCCGGTCAGCCCGTTCCCAGGCCCGATTCCCGTCTGGCGGGGCTCCAGGGCAGCGTCGTGCAAAGAGCGCTGGGCCCAGGGCCAAGAGCCCTCCTTGGGTTCTGGTCTCGTTGTGTGGTTTTGGGAAAGTCACTTCCTTCTTTCTGACCTCAATTTCCTCATTTGAAAAATAATGCAAACGGACTCGATAATCTCTAAGGTCCCGCTGCTCTCTCTGGCTTTACCTTGGCCTTTCCCACTGTTGCCCAAGGAAGCCCTAGGTGGCTTCCAACCGGATTATGCCACCTGACTGGTGCCCCTCCAGCACCTGAGTCACTCCCCAGTTGCCGACACTGCTGTCAGTGTACAGGGCTCCCCGTGTGTCTAATGCATCAGACACTGGCTCTCTAGAGTTTCCAGAAATAAAGGTGATCCTGGTGGGTAACTCACTCATTCAGTGACCAGTCACTGCGCGTCTGAGCTGTGACAGGTGTGTTACTGGTCCTGGTTTCACTGAGCTGAGCAAGTCCTAGTCTCACCCTGGCTTAGCTCACAGTCCACGGGAGACAGACACACGACAGAGGGTCACAGCCCTCTGTGATCAGTGCGTGCGCTGGGGCTTCGGAAAGCAGCCATGGGGAGAAGCGGGTGCCCGGAAGGACACGTCAAGGTGTTTGTGAGGAGGTGCTTGTTGGGCACTTAAGACCTCCTGGAGATCCTGGATCTCTGTCATCTGAGGTCACCCTGGGCCATGGGTAAGAGGTGCCACGTGCTGGGGATGAGAGTCCATTCAAAGATGTATAAGCGGCCACTTCTGTCCTTCTGCAAAACTGAGCCTGGAGTGAGACCAGCAGCAGCAAACCACCACAAGGGCACAGTGAAGGGGGGCTGGGAAAGGTGGGGTGATGTTGCACGCACCCCACTTCCTCCAGGGCCACGGGCTCCACAATGATTCAAAACAGGCCCCGGCTATGCCACGGCCATCAGGCACCAGCTGACTTCCTCAGCAGTCTTCATCTTAATCCTTTCAGTACCTTGGCACCGTTCACAGTTTCTTCCGACCCCCTCAAACCAGCAAGTCAGACCAGCGAGTCAGCAACACACAGTTGCTTTTGGCTCTGTGTGGTGTTTCTTCCCCCCAAGTAGGAAGGGGGGCTTCTCCCCTCTCGAAGGCCTGGCAGGGACTCAATCCCCCCATCAGGGCCCATCCGCACCCTGGGCTGTTTCCCCAGCCCACCCACCCCTGCGAGTCTAGTTCACGTTTGACTCTCCCTTCTTTTCCAGGCTCCATCACACCTCTGAACACTCTAAACTTGCAGTCTCGCCTTGTTTCATGAGTCAGTGGTGTCTCCCCAGCAGATGTCTTCCTGAGCCAGGGGCCTGTCACTATCATTTGATCTCACACTCAATGCCTAGCGCGTTGCTGGTGCTGATCTTATCCACAGAGTTCAGTGACTTTTTGCTGGACGTATTTCAAGTTCTGTGCTCTGCTGAAGTGGGATAATGCTCTACTATATAACTTTGTACTAAACAAAAAGATATTGACTTTCAAAAGTAACTTTTATTTTCGACTTCCAGAAGTATGAAACTGATAGCCAGAGTTCCTGCTTCTTTCTCCGCCTTGCTGTAAATTTCCAAACCAGTTGCATGGTCTAATAAAGTGTTCCTTATTGCTCAGTTGTTAAATTAATATGTCATTTGTTTAGTTTAACTATTGTGTATTGTTGTACTGTTTCACTCCTCTAGGCCTTAATTTCTTCATCTGCCAGATAAGTTCTAAATTCCCTGCCAGCTTTTCAAGGTGTCTGATTGGAGGATGCTCACAGGATCAGTGTTTTTCAAAGCTAAACGATGATGATATTGAACAGTAATGCCCTGTGGCTATTCAATCGCACTGCATTGTTATTTGATATCTCATGTTGGTCTTGCAGCCCTGCCCGAGGCTTCAACGTTGACTCCCGAGTCACTGAAAGTCTCCATCAACACTTCACAGCAGAGTGTGCATGTACAATGGAGTGTCCACGGCCTTGCGTATCACGAGGAATTAAAAATGGTTTTTCAGATACAGATCAGTAGAATGACCACATTCGATGTCATCTGGGTGGTAAGTATTTTTTTTGGATGGATCTCTATGTTATAAAACCCCTTTCTGGTGCCGTGATTCATCTTCTCTAACAGACAGAAACACCCCAGCATAGAAACGTTTTAGCAGCTCACAAGTCTTCCCGAGCAATTGCGTTTCTGTGTTTTTGGCGAAGAGGACCTGGGACCAAGGAACTTGGCAAGTTTGGTCTGGCAGGTCGGATGGGAGGCGCTAGGTGAATACATCATCTCTTTGGTTCTGCTCGGCCCCTGAGGAGGGGGCTGTCGGGTCTGTCCTAGTGAGTGCCGACTCCCCAAACCCATGAAGGTCAGCCACCTTACTCCCCTTCCTTCCTCCTTCCTGGCCCACCAGATGTTGTCCCAATAGGATATACTAGCTCAGCAACATTCCTCTCCGCGGCGTGGCTTCCAGTCAGCGGCTTGCTCACACCGCTGCGGAAGGCCAGGAAAAGGGAGTTCTGGCACCCTGTGTCCCGGCGGCAGAGAGCTGCTCCACGGAGCCCTTGGCTGCATCACCGGTGGCTCTCTGTATCCTGAACTAAATGAAGAGAATCCTGGCCTCACACCCTTTTGCCTTTGAGATATCTGATCCAGCTTTCACTTGTCTTGGTTCCGGTCCCGGTGTTTCCCCCGATGCTTCCTCATCTGGAGCACGGGGACACGATGGTGGCTTCTTGCCATGACCACGTGCGGTCTGGGAGGGCCTTAGGGACCCACACGTGCACGCTGCTCCCTCATGGCGGCGGGATGCTGAGGACGGCGGGTTGGGTTCTCACCGAAGGGGGACGGAGGAGGTGCCTGGAGGAGGGGCAAACGCAGCAGCGATGTGTCATTGCCCGGGAACCTCCGTTCGCCCAGTGGGGGGCCACCCTTCTGTCAGGCTGTGGAAGCGGGGGCCCAGGGGTGCAGAAGCTTAGCTCCTCGAGTTAACCATAAAGGCCACTGGTTTTAAAGCCTCCAGTCACTTTCCACATTCGCTCTTGCGTTTGAGGACCAAGGGGTGGCCCAGTCAAATATAATTCTGGCTCCGTCGGCTCAGGATTGACAGCAGGGCTGTAACTCCGCGCCTCCAGGGCAGCTCCCCGCAACGGGAGCTGTTCGGGGTCCTGACTTTAGACCCCAGTGCTGTCTGCGGACAGCTGGGCACCTCCCAACACCAGCGCGTCCCCCCGCCGCCATTCCACCGCATGCAAACGACGTTTGTCTTCTTGTAACTTTTTTTGCGTGTTTCTGATGGATACACTGGTTGTTGACTTGGACCTGGTAAAAGACTTGAACGAAGGTCACGCCGAGGCCAAGAACGGTTTAAGGAAAAGAAATTTGAGGGAGGCGCTGGAGGGACTTATGGAAAACCAGCACCTAATGCCATTGGTGAAGGTGACGTCCACCTCAGACCCTGGGGTCCCGTTCTGTATTTCTCTGAAAGACGCTTCTTTCTGCCATCACGTTAGAGGAAATAATGGCAGCCCCAGACCGAGTCGGTTCCATTTTTTTATTTCTCTAACAGGAGGCTGTTTGTGTCTGTTTTCACCTTTGAGTCACGTACCGGTTCCCCTTTCAAGGGAAAGAACCTACTTCTGTAACCCACCAAGGCTCACGGTCTTTGGGAGCAGAGCTTTGCCTGGTCCGTGGTATTGTCCCTGTAACTCCCAGCCCTGCCTGATGGCCCCCCTGACACCCCCAAAGAAGAAAGGCAAGGTTCAGAGGGGCTGGCTGTGCTGCCCCAGGGGTGGAGCCAGGGCACCCTGCACCCCACGCCCACACAGGGACGAGGGCCACAGAGGGCCTGCCTGGTCACCGGTGGCCCCATGTCAGGTGATGCCATGGGAAGCCCTCATCTGAACCTCTCAGGCCTGAAGGTGGGAGAGACGTAAGGGCGCCCCCAGGGAGAAGCAGCCAGCAGAGAGGGGTCCCTTCTGTGTAGAGCCAGGGGTGTCCAACCTTTCGGCATCTCTGGGCCACACTGGAAGCAGAAGAGTCACCTTGGGCCACCCATTAAATACACTACGACATGTAATCACACAAAAAATCTCATAATACTTTAAATAAGCTTACAATTTTGTGTTGAGCCACATTCAGAGCCATCCTGGGCTGCGGGTTGGTCACCTCTGGGAGACCATAAGCTCCCTTTCGAGGGGCAGCACCCCGTAGCGCAAGCCTGACAAGGGCCTCTGCACATGCAGAGAAGGGGCAGCCCTCTACGCTCATGCCCCGGGTGACTGTGTCCCCAGAGGAAGACCCAGGTGCTGCAGAGGGACAGGGACCCTGGGCCGCCTCCCGGATGCCGCTGCCACTAAGATCCCCCACTGACGGCTGCTCCATCCTCAGTCTCACCCTGGGCCCGTTCACCCTCGGCCTCTCTGGCTGGGAAGAGGCAGGAGAAGGGGGGAGAGGCAGTCGGTGGCAGAGGAAGGCAGAGGCGAGGGACCGCTGAGCGGGGTGGGGCCTGCAGCGTGGTCAGCCAGGCCTGAGCTCTCGCCCCCAGCCCCCAGACCAACTCAGTGACCTCAGTGTACATCTGTGTCTGCCAGTACCAGTTAAACTTGCCACTTAGCAGCCCAGACACAACTCAGCACATTTTTTTCTCACTGAGTGGATGCGTTCAGGAAAGTTTTATCTCCTCCACTGCAAGGCCTATATACACACCACAAAGCACGAGCTGTAGTGAGAGCGAATGCACACGAATCGTGTCCGGGAGAGACGGAGCCGCTGTGCTGAGTGCGCGGAGGAAGTCATTCAGCGCGCGGTTTTAGACCGCAGGCCCAGTCCCCGTGTAGTTCAAGGCTGGGGTCTGCGAAGAGACAAACGCACAAGCAGGGGCACCCTCACCCTGTGAGGCGGGGTGCAGGGCGCTGGCAAGGGCCTGAGAGGTTGGGGCTTGGCCTGACCTCCAGCCACTGCGGGGAGGGCTGTTTGAGCCCAAATAGGTTTTTATCCGAGATCAGTCAACGATGGGGAGGGACGGGATCTGCTCCGGAGTGTTGAAAAGGCGTACTCCACCTGCACGGTGGACCACAGGTGGGTGAACGGGAGAAGGTGACGAGCGGCCAGAGAGGCGAGGTGCCTGGAGTGGGTGGGGACAGTGGGGACTGAGGCGGCCAGATTTGAGAGAGACGTCGAAGCTGAGATCCAGTTTGCGGCTTGTTGGTATTGTAGAACGGTCACCACTATTGATATTGTTCGTTTTCTTTCTTTTTTTTTGTATTGGCGCTTAAATTAAACAGTATGTAGGCAAAATTGTACTTGAAATTGCCAGATTAAGTAGTGAACGTGGCATGGATCAGGACCCCTAAACTTGTAGTTAACAAAGTGTGTTTTATACACTAGAAACAAAGTAATGCCATGCACTGACATGAAATGGAAATGATTTGGAAACCGGAGTTCCGTGCAGAGGACGTGCAGGACCAGGCGCCGCCTGGGCGCCTGCGGTGTCCTCACTCCAGGGCTGTGTTTAAGGTCAGCACCCTGCGCAGGGGGAGGGCTCCCGTGGAGGGAGGCCCCCAAGCCTGCCACCTCTGGGCTGCGTGAGACCTGTGCATTGCCTCATCCTCTCCACCGTAGGAGGTGCCATCGGTCTTTCAAGATGTGGATGCAGCCTCATTTTTCGCCAGGGAGTGCAAGGGGTTAGCTGTCACCGTCTCCCAGCTGTGGGACCAGAGAGCAGGCGTCCTGGGGGTCCCACTGGGGCCCACGGGTGGCTGGAGTTGTGGGGATGGATGTGAAGAAGAGGGAAGCTCAGTCCCTGCTCTCTTGGGGCCACGCTCGAGTCAGGAACACACCCACAGATGAAACGTCAGCGGCTGCACCTGAGACACTGACGGCTCCAGGAGAGGTGGGGGTGGGAGGAGACCGGAGCAAAGAGCAAGCGAGGCCTCAGGAGGGAGAAGGGGTGTGACCTGGGCTGGAAGGATGGGACCGATTCCCCACGCGGCGGGAGAGCGGGGGACACTGTGGGAGCACATGCAGAGGTGGAAAAACACATTATTCCAGAAGTGTGGGGTGGAACTCCGTGTCCAGAAGAAGGTTCCTGGAGGGAGAGGTGGGCTGGAGTCAGACTGCGGGTTCCCCTGAAGGGCAGGGCGAGCTGCGGAGGAGCTTCTGAAGCTCACTAATTACGGAACAAAAGTTCCAGTGTCTCAGATGAAGACGCGGAGCTGTGCCAGAGGACCAAATCCATTCGGCTCTTGATTCTTGGTTCTCTAAATCTAGAAGATTTTCTTAGCAGGTCCTACGTGACCAGCGCCGTGAGCACCTTCTTCCATCTCTGACCTCGTCCCCCACGACTTGAGTTGCTTCCATGTCCGTCACCTGCTCCACGGGAACCCGCTGCCCTTGGAGGGCTGGAGCGGGTGGGAGCCGCATTTCTGAGAAGCGCGAGGCTCTGGCTGGTTTGCTGCTGGGACGTCAGAGCGTGGGGAGCTGCCTGGGGAGCTGCCTGGGCGGCAGGGGCCAGGCTTGCTTATATCATGGAGTTGCAGTGGGATGAGTCCAGGCAAGCCATTTTCCAGCACAGCATGGCTGTGTTCTCAAGTTTTTCTCTTCATTTCTAGGAGAATTACAGCACCACTGTGGCATGGAAGCAGGTGCTGCACTGGAGGTGGGACTCCGAGCTCCCTTTGGAGTGCGCGACACATTTCGTAAGACTGAGGGGGACGGTGGAGGAGGAAGCTGGGACCCCCGGGCCGAGGCCCTGGAGCAACTGGACCTCGTGGGAGGAAGTCGATGGTAAGAAGTGAGGTGCTGAGTGAGTGAAAGGCTGAAACAGGTACTTGGGGGTCAGCGGTCCAATCGTGGTGGCCCCTTCGGGGGATGCAGTGGACACCAGCACTCATTTCCTTCGGCTCCCTTTACAGCTAAAAGGTGGGGGAGTGAGACTGGGCACCCGGAGGGAGACTTTTGAGGTTTAGCCTCTGAGTTTATTAGTTGAAATAATTATGCAAATTCAGATGATTATTATCTGTTTTCCAAATGTGCAAAGCCTGTTTATTACAGAGCGCTAAGTGAACCAGGCAGAATACAAGTTCAACATACATTTTTATTAGAATAACATGCAAAATGTGTACGCAGCTGGAGCACAGGCTGCAAGCTCCGTTATGACCATGCAACTCTGACCTTGTGTTCTTGAAGCAGTCATAAATGAATGCCGGGGTGGTGTTCCAATAAAACTTTATTGACAAAAACAGAGGGTGGGCCGGCATTGGCCCCTTGCTTAGTTTGCCAGTATCCTTAATGTAGACAGAAGGGGGGTGAAGGTTTAGTTTGAGTAATGAGCTTATGGGTACACCCATGTTAAATATGTCAACTTTGATGATTTCATTTCGTTGCAATTAAAATTTAGAATGGGTGTGCCACCATTTCCCACACTCCAGCTAAGCGGTAGGCAGGCCAGTCCTCGAGCAACAGGAGTGGCTCCTCTCACTACAGACCCCACCAGGGTATCGGGAACTCCCGCCAGCAGAACTGCGTCTTTGTCAAGTGTTTATGCCAGTTTATAAGGTCAACTGATAACACATTTACCCACAAGGGGCCTTGGGAATCGGTTTAACACTAAATAAGAGAATGAAGTCTACATTCTAGTTCCTCTTTTAAACACTACGCGTCTTAACTTAGTCCTCACATCTGCCCAGTGAAATATGTGGTATTCTCATTCCCACTTCACAGAGGAGGAAACTGAGTCACAGACAGGTTAGAGAACCCAGGCGAGGCCAGCAGCCGGCTAACGGTGCGGCAGGTCGGACCCTGCCAAGGCCCCGCTCCCCGCAGCGCCCCCTACCGCCGAAGGAGGGACACGCCCCCAGGCACAGCCGAGGCTGAAAAGACCCTACTGAGAAAGAGCGAGCAGCTTCCTTAGCAGCACACCGGTTTTGATATCATAGACCCCCACTTCTCAGGACTGTGATCTCCAGAGCAGCTCAGGAATAAGTGGGAAACCCGGTTCTTCCCGCCCCGCAAAGCACTGGTCCTCTGCCCCGGCCACACGTTAGAATCCCCCGGGGAACTTAAACAAGGATCCCGGGCCCAGGCCACTCTGCAGGGGGGGCTGACTGCGTGGGGCGGTGGGAGCGGAGCAGCTCCCGGGGGGGGGGGTGGCTGGCAGGAGGCACGCGGGCGGGGGTGGGGGGCGGGGAGGACGGTGACCTTGCGGAGACCGGAGGCCTGTGCGTGTGCCAGGGGGCAGCACAGCGGGAGCGGCTGGAGCACAGGGAGACCCCGGAGCGGCTGGTGTGTCTGGGAAGTGGGAGGGGACGCGACTCACAGGACAATTTAGAGATGACGCGGGACGTGGGGCTTTGGAGCTGGCCGGACCCCGCGTGAGTGACCGTGGCTTTGCCACTTGAGCGAACTTGGGCTCAGTGCTCCCTGTCCCGTGGTTGTGAGGGGTAAGGATGCCGTGAGATGACGGACGCGCCACCTAAGACCGGGCCTCCCCCACGTGGCTTCCGCTGTCGGAAGCCCCCACCCGGGTACAGCAGCCCTCAGGGGTCACGGCGCTGGAAATGTCCCGGCCTGGGGGCAGCAGCGGCAGTGGTGAGGGCAGAGGACTGATTTGTGTGCGTGCATCAGCAGTTATTACAGGTGCGCTGGAGAAACCTGGGCTCCGCTGGCCTCCAGAAGGCAGGAGAAGCCGAGGTTACCTGTTGAGAGTGAGGCGGGAGGGGGCTGGCTTGGATTTTGAGCGACTTTCCGACCGAGTCGTCTGGTCTTCTCTCGTAGCACAGAAGTCGCTGGGACCTGGCCTGCTGTTCGTTTTCCCCGGAGAGAAGCTGGTGGAAGAAGGTTCCAACGTCACCATCTGTTACGTGTCCAGGAGCCACGAAAACAACGTGTCCTGTTCTTTGGAAGGTGTACCGATACGCGGAGAACAGCTCGGTCCAAACGTTTCTGTGATCACCTTGAACAACGTCCCTTTCATTAGGAAGACGGGGACGAATTTCTTTTGTGAGATGAAGCAGACACACACAATACAGGGCTCCGTTCTCTGGGTCTCGAGTGAGTATGCTCCCTCTCTGGGCCCTCCGTCCCATTTCTTAAGGAGTCAGCGGAGTCTTGCTTTGCCAGAAGACAAACGTTCCCATGCACACGGCCTCGGTTTCCTCTGATTTCCTACGTCTTGCAGCAGAGACGCGGGAAAAGACACTCGAGAGCGACAGGAGCAGGATTTCCTGTTGTTTTCTTGTCCTTGCTGACCGGTGCATTCCTAGAAACCAGGGGTGCTCAAGGGGAGAAAGTTCAGGGCAGGGCCCGGAAATGCCTGCTTTGCCTTGGCCCTGCTGCTGGGAGCGCAGGCTGGAGGGGGAGGGCAGGGCTGTTGGCTCCCAGGCGGCTGGGAGGCAGCCTGGTCTCTGGTTCTGGGCCCCGGGGTGAGTCTGCTTCCCGTGCTGGGTGTGCCATCTCGGCCAAGCTCCCCAGCCTCTCTGAGCTGGTGTCTGCCTCTGGGAGAGAGGGGGATGGTGACGTTTGTCGTGAGGATTAATGAACGTGGACCTGGACCGGGCCTGGCCCTGCCCGGATCGCTGCAGGGGGCAGGCGCCCAGCAGTGAGTGTTCCAAAGCCCCACTGGTGGCCGTGGTGGAGCAGGGTCACTTTCTGCTTTATGTCGGTCTGTGGGCACATGCCAGTGGCCCCCCGTGCTCTGTCTTGAGGTGGCCCTTCCCTGCACTTTAGAGCGGAATCTACGGTTCCGCCCTCACTGCTTCCCTGGCAAAGGGCATCTCCAGGCTCCGGGGCACTCAGTTTAGCTGTGCTCCTTGGAATGGCCTCCAAGGATCTCAAGGGACTCCGAGGAGTCGGAGGTCTGCCCCACTCCTTGGACCTCTCGGCTCTGGGCTGCTGAATTTGGCAGGTTCCCCCAATCTGACCGGCTGCTGGCAGCCCGAGCAGGACTCCGGGCTCTCATTGAGCCACAGCACACAGCATGAGGCTCCAGGCAACACCAACTTTGTTCTTTCCTTCTTTCACGCACGGGGTCTGGGTTTGAGCCGTGCTTGTTGAGTGCCTTCTAGCAGGTGCTGGGGGTGCAACCCCCATCCAGCACTGTCAGTGCTGGCTGTGCACAACACCGCCCCCCCCCCCGCCCCCAGGACACCCAGAAAAGCACAGGAGGAGGAAGGACAGGGGCCGCAGTGATGCGGCATCTGAAACGTGACCTTCTGGGACTGCGAACCTGTAAAGGGAAGGGATCCATCTAATGATCCTTTTATTGTTCGGGGTCACTCTGTTGCTCCGGACCCTGTAGAGAGCTTCCCGTTTTCTTTGTTTTTGATTTAACGAGGTCTTTCATTTGTTTTTGTTTTTTTTTTCTTTCTACGAACAGAAGTACTTGAGGAGCCCAAGGATCTTTCTTGTGAGACTCGGGACTTCAAGACTTTGACCTGCACTTGGGACCCCGGGACTGACACCGACCTGCCCAACTACCGCTCCCAACGCTACACGTTATTTGAAGCGTGAGTCAGCTCTGGTCCCATCGTTGACAGAGTCCTCCTTGTCTGAGGTGCTCGTGACAACCTACCCAAGGCCACATTCAGATGTTGCATGAAATGCAAACACCTATTTTAAGACCACCCTGCCAGCACCAGGACCTCCTTAGCGGGTCACACACCCTCGCTGAGCTTCGCTGAAGGGAAATGTGGCATGAAAATGGTTCATCCTGATGAACATATTTTCATCTTTTTTTTTAAGATTTTATTTATTTATTTTTAGAGAGGGAGGGGAGGGAGAAAGAGAGAGAGAGAAACATCAATGTGCGGTTGCTGGGGGTCATGGCCTGCAACCCAGGCATGTGCCCTGACTGGGAATCGAACCTGTGACACTTTGGTTCACAGCCTGCGCTTAATCCACTGAGCTACGCCAGCCAGGGCCTCATCTTTTAATTAATAGTCCCATCTGAGTCTTTAGTTTCTAACTTTTTAAGGGTATCCAAAGTCAGCGAAGGAGCGTTCTCACCACCCGCAAGGGGGAGTCGGTGGCTCATCATTCCGGATTTAACCTCGTGAACCGAACTCGTTGGAGCAGCGCCGTCCCTGCCGGCGAGGGCTGGGTCTCGTGCAGAGCACAGTTCTAACGTCCCGAGGGTCCCCAGGGGTCCCCGAGGGAGACAGGGATACACATCTGCGCTGACAAAAGTGTTAACCCTGAAACTTTTGTTTTGTTTTTGTTTTAGATTTTCTGGGGAAAACAAATCGTGTAAACACAAAGACTCGTGTGTTTGGCAAGTAGCTCCAGGCTCCCAGGAAACCTACAACTTCACACTCGTGGCTGAAAACTCCTTAAGGAAGAGAAGCGTCAATATTGTTTTCGACCTGGCTCATCGAGGTGAGAGACTTGGCGTTCAGACCCGAGAGGGACGGTTCGCCTGGCGAGCAGCACACGCCAACCCGCCTTTTGCCAGCTGTGGTTCCGAGGCCGGTTCTGTTTTCAACGTCTTCGCAGCGGTTTTCGGATCCGTCCCCATCCCTCCAGGAGACAGGCTGGGCCCTGGGCAGTAGCGTGTGAGCTGGGACCTGAGGGCCTCGGTACCCATGATTAAGGTCCACACAGGCACAGCTGGGCGGTGAGCACAGGCGTTCACAGGCAGCGTGGTGGACTCGCGGTCCCAGGCTCCAACTTCTTTCTCCATGATCGCCCGGTGCTTTTCACTCTTCTGCAGCTCCGCTTTCGTCCCTCCGGCCGGAACTGCGGGACTTCCTTAGTCTCCCCGTTCTGACACTCGCTTGCACTCCTGTGCCAAGTGTCAGGGGGGAAAGAAGGAGGTCAGTTCAGAACTGCTGCTAATTCTGGTCTCTCCCTTTGGTTAGACTCTGGGTGCTGTTTTCTCCTCCCCGGGGGCAGCTTCTCCAAGTTCGGGCGCCCCTCCACCACCTGCCCGACGTATTTCACTGCAAGAGTCCTCCGGGGGTTTCTCTTTGTGTTTCTCTTTGTGTTTCGTTCCGAGTTCCAAACGTAATCAGGGAGAGAGAAAGGCTGGAGTCGGCTGACTCCATCCTGGCTGTGAGTCTGGTTTTGTTGGCCATTTTCTCAAAAATAAACAAAACCATGCTTATCGAATGAGTAAAGGAGGAAATGAGCTGCTGACTTTTACCAAAGTCTTTTGGATCTATGCTTGAATTTTTGTTTTTTACTTTGTCTCCTTCTCCTTCCTCTTCTCCCTTTGGCAGTTCGCCCCATGGACCCCTTTTCTATGCGCCTAGAAAGCGTCAGTGCCACAGGTGCCACCGTGACCTGGAAGGTGCACTCCGTCTGGGATCATTTCACATACCTGTGTCAGGTTGAACTCCACGGTGAAGGAAAAGTGATACAAGTAAGCAGACTGCTTACTGTTCTATTCCCAAGCATCCCTGTGTGTCCTGAACAGAGAGACTGAGGAATCAAATCCCTCTAAACCCTTATTTCCGTGTGGGTTCAGCTGGGGTGGGTTTTAGGCGGGGCACGTCCCAGACGTTAAGAGTTGGGAAGGCGGCCTCAGAGATATTTCCTCGCAAAGAAGTCGTCTTCCCCCGCATCCGGAGGTGCTGTGCTGTGATTTGGCTCCACGGTAGAGTGCGCTCACTGGGACTTCTGTCTTTCTTTATCAAGCAGCACAACGTTTCCGTTGAGAAGGACGGGCAGTGTCCCTTCAGCGAGCTGCAGCCGGCCACGGAATACACGGCCCGCGTCCGCTGCGCGGCGGCCGAGCACTTCTGGAAGTGGAGCGGCTGGACGGGCTGGAACTTCAGGACACTCGCAGCTGGTGCGTGGAAACTCCTGGCCGTTCACTCGGGGACCTCGGCTGACTCCCGGGGGGCCGGCCAGCTTCTCTGAGAACTCCTGGTTGTGCCAATAGCTGAGGGCAAACTGTTACAAAAGCGGCTAGGGGCTGTCTTGAAAAGTTTTTTAAAAAATTAAACAAAAAAAAACCAGAATAAAATGATTAATGAGATGTGAGGGGGAAGGCATCCACTGCAAACATTTGCCGTCAGTGTGATTTCTACTCTATTGTCACCTCTCTGATCTTGGGTTTTGCCAAAGTGGCTTCTAAGCTCCGGGCATCGCTGGATTCCTGCTGGGTCCACGGCTGTGCAAATCAGCGTAGACTTTTAACTCGGGCCTGGGGCACAGACAGAAGCGTGTCTGAGCCGAGGGAAGCACTGGTCTCAGGCCAGACAGCTGTGGGCCAAGTCTGGGAAGGCAGCGGTGTTTGGAAGCCCAGTCAGTGCTGGCAGGTCCCCTGTTCAGCAACAGCGAGCTGTGAGCCCTTTCTGTCGTGCTCCCAGGGGTCGCTTCCTCAGTGTCGACAGAACAGAGAGCTTTTCTCCCAAATGTCTATGTCTCAGAGCTCAGCCAGGCCTCAGCAGATCAGGTGGCCCAGCCCTACTGCAAGGCAATGAAGTATTACCATTGCCCAGTTTACTGATGAAGCAACTTGGGCCCACAGACACTTGCCTAGTTTGCCAAGTTGATGAGTGGCAGAGAAATAATAATAATAATAATAATAATAATAATATAATAATAATACTGGGTAGAAAAGTCACAGAGTGTCAAGGTGAGAAGCCGGCGGCGAGGGCAGTCACCGCCACTTCGCTGACCGGACCGGAAGCTGGGGTGCGCGGCTCTGCTTGCTCACTGCGACCCAGGAACTTGCCTTGGCTACTTTCAGCTCCCTCCGAGGCTCCCGACGTGTGGAGGGACGTGAAGTCGGCGCTGGGATCTTGTAACGTGACTCTGTTCTGGAAGGTAAGATGCACGGATCTGGAGCGGCGGGCTGGCGTGGCCCTGTCTTCCACTGCAAAACGAGTGGGTGTGGGTGCTGTCTTCCGACCCAGGGCTCTTAGGGAGGGACCTCCCCATGACGACGACGACGGCGAATGGCTCCCCCAGGGGAGGGCCCCACTGCACACCCACGAGGTGACCGCATGCCCGGCTCGTTCCTGGCAGCCCACTGCCCGGGCGGCCAGTTCTTTGTTAGAACCTGTGTCCTCCTCGGGACTGTCCAGAGCCCAGGGCGCGAGAGGAATCAGGCCTCGAATGCCAGGTTCTCGAGCCTCCACGGCAGAGAATCGAGCACTGAACTCGGCGCCAGATCAAGCGGGCGGCGATCTCTGGAAGGGGCTCGTGCACGAGGGGTCGCCGGCACGGAGAAGTTGGCTCCCCAGGGCCCCCAGGGTGGGGATGCGGTCAGCTGTCCCATCGGTGTCATCGGGCGGCGGGGGGTCCCGGGGTGGCCACGAGATGTTTCCCACGGTGCGTGGACCACCCACAGGGCCTGTAAAACAAAGTGCAGGTATATGCTAGTTACCATTTCATTGATGAAATAACTGTTTTGCAGAACATGATGTTAAAAAAGGATGTTACTGTGTGCATTCCTTTGAGGATGTGGTTAGGTCATTTCCACCGCGGAACTTTGCTGAAAGCCAGGCGTCACGGGCAGGCCTCAGTGGAGTGCTTTTGGCCGAGCTGGAGTCCAGGGTCACCCCTCCACTGTCTCGCGGGTGTAACTGGAGAAGCACTTATTTAAAAGTATGGTCATTTGAACAGTCATGGTATTTGTCACGAAAAGTCAGGAGTCAAGCTAAGGAACTGTACTGTAAACCACATGGTGTCCTTTGACCGTGATGGATGCGCCTTCACAGCCCCTGGGGGCCAGCTGTGGTTCAGAACTCCGAGGTCCTCAGCGTCCGACACCACAACATGTCGCACTGGGGGAGCTGGCCCCCGGCCACCACCCACCCCGCTTCCTTCCCACCCACCTCCACTCTGGCTCTCGCAAGAAGCCCCGTGTGCACACGTGTGGACATGCCAGTCTGTATGCGTGTGTTCTGTGCACACCTGAGCGAATGGCCATTCCCAGCCCGATCTTGTGGCTTCGGGGGGGCAGACATCCTCTGTCCTTGGGTGGGGGGGCCCCAGGGAAAGACCCTGGGAGGGGGCTGAGTCTGTGTGAGCAGGGCATTCTCCACAACCTGGAGGGTCCTCTAGCGGGGGGTGGGGGGCAGCGTGGGCTCTGGGTAGGGGGGTTCGAGGTTGGAGGGGGTGGGAACAGGGGTTGTTGGGCCCTCAGCTGGGGTTCATGCTTTTCATGCTAGGCTAGAGAGCCCCCCCCCCCCGCCCCCACAGTTCTCTCCATTCTTGACTCGGTCACTCTTCTGTGACAGACGGGGCGGGGGGGCGCCGCGGGGGCGGGACACATTCCTCAGCAGCCTGCTGGCTACTCCACTTTACAGAAGACGGCCTGAGGCCACGCTTGGCAGAGGTGGTTATTTTCTACAGTAAACTGTTTTAATGTGCTGTGTGTGTGTGTGTGTGTGTGTGTGTGTGTGCATGCACGCGTGCACATGTGAGGGACAGAAAAGGTGACCAAGTAACTGTGCAAACTGTTTCCAGAGACAAGCTCATTTTGAAACGGCTCTCACTATTTTCTCAGCCACTCTCCAAATCGCATGCCCATGGGGAGATTCTGTTCTACAACGTGGTTGTAGAAAACCTACACGGACCGTCCGGTTCGAAGCTCTTTTCCATCCCCGCTCTGGCCGGCGGCACGGAAGTGGCCCTGGACGGCTGTTCTCACCGAATCCTCGTCACGGCTAACAACAGCGTGGGCACTTCTCCTGCCGCCGTGATGGTCATTTCCGGGGACCCTGCAGACAGTGAGTCACGTCCTGCTTTGTTTCTATCCTCTGGGAAAGGGCTGTGGACGCGATGAGGTACGTGGGGAGGACGGTGACTTGGAGAGACAACACGTCTGGCTAGCAGGCAGTGTTAAGTGTTTCCCTTTGGTCCAGGCGTGTCGGTGGGTTTCCGAGGGCAGTCCTCCTCCGCGTGGGGAGAATGAGACGTCAGCTGCAGTTGGAAGGAGGTGGCTCCCTCATCCCCCAAGGCCCAGGGGGGCCTGCTAGTAGGACTGGTAGTCCGTGGAGACCCTGTCACCTGTTTTCCAACGGCCAGACCTCACGACAGCCACCCTGGTGTGTCCGACACGATGAGGCGGCAGCCTTGGGCAGAAGCAGCGTGCTCATGCCCGCACACTGCGGCTGTGCATGTCCGAATTGTTTCTGGTTTTTGTCCTCACTTCCATTTCTGCACCTAACATCTGAGGAGCAGTAGTGAGTTCAGGAGCAGCCAGGGTTAAACAGGGGAATTCAGCCGAACTGCTCGTCCGTTCCACAGACAGCTGTTTGAAAGCAGATCAAGCGGCAGATACGGTTCTAGGTCAAGTGTCAGCAACTTTTTCAGTAAAAGGGCGGGTAGGAAGTATTCAAGGCTTTGCAGGTCCTACTGCTTTTGTTATATAGTCAGTATGTTTTCTTTTTTTTGCTTTACAACTCTTTAAAAATCTTAAAGTCATTCTTAGCTCAAGGGTCGTAGAAAAACAAGTGTCAGAGGCTAGATTGGTCCTGCAGGCGGTGGTCTGCTGGGCTGTGTTAGGTACTGGGGTCTGGCTGGGTGTCAGGGAGTCAGGACAAGGGGCGTCTGATGGGCAGGCGGGAGTGTTTGCTTGGACGTGAGCAGCAGGAGAACATTCCCAAAGCCCCTGTGGTGATGGAGGTCCTGGGGCTCTTGCCTGGTGGTGGCACTGCAGGTTCAAGGTTATCTTCTTCACCAGATGCTTTCACAAAATGTCTGCTTAGTTAAATCTGACACGTTGCCCTGTTTGTGACGCACAGAAGGGGTTGAAGAAGAGAGAGTCGAACCCACGGAGCAGGGGTTCTCCTTGACTTGGAAGCCCCCACGGGAAGACGTCGTGGGCTACGTGGTGGACTGGTGCGACCGCCCCGGGGACTCCCCCTGTGGTCTCCAGTGGAGGCGCCTGGGCCCCAACAGCACGAGCGCGGTCATCAACTCAGGTAAGAAGGACCCCCCACGGTCCCATCGTGTCCCGGCCACCTCGCAGCATCATCCGCTCGGGTGTCCGGAGCATCTCGAAGATGCTCTGTGATACACTCGGAATTTTGAAGTTGCCGGTCCAGCAGGGGTGTTAGGATTTCAGACTCGGCACATGATGGGGCCTGAGATGTGACCTGAAATTGGCTTTGGCAGAGAATAGCCGGACCCAAGGCTGGGACGGGGTTTCATGATCCTCACCACTGCGTTGCTCTAAACCAGTGCTCTGGAGCGAGTGGCAGAGGGACGTTCGAACAGCTGTCCTGAGAGCTGGGCAAAGTGAAGACGTGCATGGATCTGGCAGGCGTTTAGGACAGCGCTGATGCGAGTCGATTTTCTACTCCCTCAATTTTAGTGGGTTCTACAGAACTTGGGCTCCTATCTTCCACATTGGATTTGTCATTTCAAGGCTGCTGTATAGCAAAATCAAAGAGGAGCCTTGGTTTGTGGCTTGCGTGGGGGGCTCGGTGGCACCATCTGCTGGTCGAGAGAAAGGTGTGGGAACCGTCTGGGTCCGGAGGGTGGCAGAGGCCCCCTGGAGGGCTTTTGGGGAGTCAGGAGGCGAGGTCCCCCTTGGCTGGAGCAGCGGCCCTGGCCTGGCAGGTGCTGCAGGGGGATCGCGGAGGTGCTCACGGGCCAGGGGAAGTGAGGAAGGGGAGGCAAAGCCTTCTGGGCATGGCCTTTGGCTTTCTTGGGCCGAGAGAGGGGGCGTGGTCGTCTCTGGAGGGGGATTTGGAGTCCAAGGAGACCTGCTCCTGGTTTTCTGTCTGGTGGAACTGCGCGCGAGAAGGAAATGAATGAGGGGACACATTCGGTTTCCCTTCTTTTCCTTCCCGGAAGTACAAAGAATGTTTTTTGTGTGTCGTTATTGAAAATCTGTTGATTCTTCTCTGCAGGTGCTTTTAGACCAGGGGTCCGATACCACTTCAGGATCTACGGAATTTCCCCGCAAAGGAGGGCGTTTCTGCTGGGGAAGAAGACAGGGTACACCCAGGAAGAGGGTAAGCGGACCGTGGGCCACCCGTCCTCGGAGACAATGCAGAAAGGCTCCTAGTTTTGGATTAGGAAGGATTTCAACGCCGTTCCTCATTTTCAGTGTCCAGTTTATTTGGTAACTGGGTACTTAAGAAATTATTTTTTAATCGTACTAACACAAACCAGTTTCAGTGAAGACAATTTATCAACCTTATGCAAAAGGAGACAAACTCCTTGCCCATTTTAGCCCGCAAGGGCAAATACCCAGAGTTCACATTTTATGTTTGTCCAGACGTTCCCTTCCCTGCACAGACAGGCTGCGTCCGGTGAGCAAGGGGCCTCACTCTCTGCGGCTGGACTTTGGTCACTGAAGGTTGTTTCATGGTATCATTTTTACCACTGCAAAGTGCCCCATGGTTTGCATAGGTCGGATCACCTGTTTTGGACCTTTAGGATGATTACAGTGGTTTTCGATGAAAAACGATGAAACCCACCTTCCGGTCCTGCGCAATCCCAACTACTCCACATCTCCTTTTGGCTTGCGCCACCCCCCTGTGCCCTGTCCGAATCACCATCATTGTAGCCACTTCTCAGCTCACGTGCACAGTAACCATTTTTGAATGAAGTCCTAGAGGGACACCCTACGATCAAAAGGTTTGAGCTTCTTAAACAGTTTTTCATCTCCTCTACAATGTTTAGGACTTTTGATGCATGCTGCGAAATCACCCCAGAGATTCCATTGCGACCCCACCTGCCCTGGAAGGGGTTTGACCCTCCACATGGTGTTTAGCCACCTTCCTGGCGCCCAGGGTCTCACACCCACTGACAACCAGGAGCCCGGGCCCTCGACCGCCTGGCACTCGCCAGACCCAGCCCCTGGTGGGGGCTCTCTGTGTGGTGGCCGCTGTCTAAGACAGGCAGGGGCCGTGTGTCGGGGAGCCCAGACCGAGCGTCCACATGTATGGGGTGAGACAGGCCCAGGACAAAGCTCCTGGGTTGTTGCAATGGCCCGTGGATAACTTTGTGTGACTTCAGCCTGGGAACCAGAGATCTTCAGGTCCATGCCAGCCTCTGAACATGACCCTTCCTCCTGCTGAACAGCCTTCCTCCTGCTGCCCTTGCCCCCACCTCAGTCCATTCTCGGGTCAGGTCTCCTCTCAAACACGACAGTGGACCCTTGAACAACGCAAGTGTTGGGGTGCCAATCCCCGCACAGTCAAAAACCCACGTAGCACCTGGAGTCCCCCAACACTTAAGTACAGCGGCCCCTCTGTGTCTGCGGGAGACATGCTCCAGGACCCCCCGCAGATACCAAAATCCACGGCGGCTCAAGTCCCGCACACGTAACGTGGTGTGGAGCAGTGCGCATGGTTGGCACTCCCCATCTGTGGGTTCAGCCAGCCACGAGGAGGGAACAGTGGTTTCCGATTTTTACTTGGGAATCTGCAGATGAGAAACCCAAGGATACAGAAGGCCTCGCTGTGTGTTTACTGGATGATCACAATCCTCATATAAGTTCACCGCGCAGTTCACACCCACGCTGTTAAAGGGCCCACTGCATTTAGCACTTAGGAACAGAAGGAGCTCCTAGGAAGCCTCCATGCTCTGTTGTGCCTCGGAGTCTCTCTGGGCTTCCATTCGACATCTGCTCAAGGCAAGGCTTGAACAAGAGGACCGCTCACCCTGCCGTGTGGCTCTCGGGGTCGGAGCATCATCCCATGCACCGAAAGTTTTCATGTTCGATCCCTGGTCAGGGCACATACCTAGGCTGCAGGTTCAAATCCGAGTGTGTAGGGAAGGCAACTGATCAATGTTTTCCTATTGCATTGATGTTTCTCTCTCTCTTTTTCTCCCACCCTTCCTCTCTCTCTAAAATCAACCAAAAAATGTGTCTTTGGGTGAGAATTAAAAATAACAACAATAAAAAAGTAACAGAAGATTGCTCAACTTCCTCCCAGCTCTCCTAAATGATGTCAAGGCCTACATCTTCTTGAGAAAAAGATAAAATTCCTTACCTTGTCCCAAGCTCCCTCTGGGGCCTCTGGGGTTGGCTGTGGTCATACTGGTAGTTCACATGAACGCTCAGAGACTGTTTCCAAACCATGATTCTCTTCTCACCCAACTTCCTTCCCCAGTGCCTTCAGACGCGCCTCAGGTGCTCGTGCATAACCTGACGTCCCACTCCTTCACCCTGAGCTGGAAAGATTACCCCACGGACTCCCAGCCTGGTTTCATCCGTGGGTACCGCGTCTACCTAAAGTCCCAGGCAGAGCAGTGCCAACCAGAGTTCCAAAAGACGGTCCTTCCAGGTAACGTGTTTTTGTTTGTCGACCCCTTTGAAGAGCTCATTATTTGAAATCATGGGAAAGCCTCCTGTGTGGGGCTGTGTCCAGGCTGAATTCTGTTCTTGCGTGCTTTCACGGTCAAACAGCGTCCTTACACAAATTCCTAGGTAGGCAGCATGGCGGGTGGGTATTTGAACTTACTTAAAAAGCCACGGGGCCTGGTTTTGCAGAAGCACCTGAAGTCCCATCACCTCCTTCAGAAAACCCGCCACTTAGAACTTTCTTGCTAACTCCTTTTTCTGTTTCCCTTTGGCCTTATTCAAAGTTAGTATAATGATTAATTTTTCAATTACAGTAGACATCCAGTATTATTTTCTATGGGTTCCCAGTGCACACCACGGTGGCTGGACGTTTATATAATTTACGAAGTGGTCCCCCGATAATTCAAGTACTCCCCAACACCGCACAGAGTTACTACAGTATCCCTGACTGTGTTCCCATTCCCTGTGCTGGACTTCACGTCCCTGGGGCTATTTTGCAACTTCTGGTCTGTGCTTCTCCATCCCTCCCCCCTTCCGCCCAGTCCTCCGGCCCTCTCCCCTCTGGCAGCCGCCACTTCGTTCTCTGCGGCCGTGGAAAGTGTTTTTACATTGCATGCTCTGGCCACTTCTCACGGAACTGCGGGCTCTCCCTGGGTCGTCAACATCTCTTGCCTAGTGGGTGTTTCCCTTTTCTGGCCATCTCCTGAAAACGTCACCCGTGTTCCCGGTGTGAGGAAATTGCGATCTAATTTCTGGCTGGTTTAAACATGCTGACAGTGCTGTGCCAACAAGAGTGGTAATGCCCAACTCACAAGTCTCTCTCACGCTCTTAATACTTGTTTCTTCTTGTAAAAAACACAATAAATTTTTTTTTTAAATGACAGATCGTTCAGTAGGCTGCCAATATGACATCAACGACCCGGAACAGAAGACGCTGGTCGTGGGAGGCCTCCAGCCGGAATCCTCCTACGAGTTCGCGGTCATCCCGCACACCGGGGCTGGCGAAGGCGCGCTGGACGCCTTCACCAAGGTCACCATGCCGGACGAGCGCTGTGAGTTTCCCCGAGTCAAAACCGCCCCTCAGCGTTCCTTGCACACTGACAGATGGCACACACGTTGCTGTGGGCTTTGTCTAGATCAGGAATTTTTAAGCTTTTCTTCTCTTTCTGTCTCTGTCCGTCTCTCTCTAGATGAAAATCTGTTTCACAAAAAATGTTGCGCAGACTTGCACTCCACAAAGCAGATGCAAGTGGGGCTAATCCGCCTGATGGGTGGCCTCGAACCTTCCTCCCGCCTCACTCCGGTCCCCGGGGCACTTCTCTGGCACTCAGTCCCGGGGTAGTTTGAAAATCACAGACTGCAAAGTCAGTGTTGGCTTGGGAAGAGCCCTGCGGCTCTATCCAGAGAAGGTGGTCTGGCTGGTTCCCTCTTGGGCAAATGAATCGCTTCCTGACTGCCTCTGGGGGTGTGCAGTTGGGCAAAAACTATCTGTTCACAAACCCGGTGTTTGCAGATTTGGTGGGGAAAGGGTGAGACAAAGAGATCCATGTTTTCAAAATGCTTTTGGCCTGAAAGATGAAGAAAGGAGGAGGGAAGAAGAGAGGTAGGAACTGGCTCATGGTACATAAGATTCTCCAGGTAAACCCTGAGCTGCGACAAACCGGAAGGTGGGGGAGGGGTGGGAAAGAGATTCCGACGGAGGAAGGAGGAAAGTAGGTGTCCGCCGGGGAGCACACAGGTCCCGCCCGGGAAGTGGTCTTTGAAGACAGTCCCCTGTGAAAAACGAGTCCCCGCCAGAGATGTCTGCCGGAAGTTCCCTGCTGTCCCAGTGTGTGTGTGTGGGGGGGGTCCCTTGGCTGCAGGCGGGGCCGTGGGGGCAGATCAGGGTCATCAGGTGCACCTGCGGGCCCGGAGGGCCCTGACCGGGGACAGGGCCGCGGCAGCCGGGGCACGCACTGCTGCTCACTGAAACACCGCCCCAGGTCCCCGAGCCGGAGGCCCGAACGTGCACCGTCAGGGGAAGGTGTCAGTCGGCGGTTCGCAGTATTTGAGCGCTCATTTCCAGGTTGTTTTTCTTCTACCTTTGGTGTTTACATGGCTGGTGGAGGAGTGTGTGTCTGTGTGGTGCACACATACGTGATACATACAATTACCTCAAGTATGTTTTCTGATTTCATGTATCTCCCTCACTCGTGCTAAACCTCCTTGGCCTTGGCCATATTGATTCTTCTTAAAATGGAAATAAATTGCTGCCTAATTGCAGCGATGAGAGTGACATTCTACAGTCACAAAAACGGTCTGGAGGAGTCACAAATGTGACGCTGAGTGACCAGACGGACCTGCCTCTTGCCGTCTGGTTCCCTTTGCAGGGGACAGAAGGAGGCAGGTACCATGTGTCATTAGAAGACCAGACCGTGGTTGGCTCGGGAGGGGAGATGACTGCAGGGGTCCCGGGGGGCTTCCTGGGGAGCTGGTGCGTGTGTGTTCTTTACCGGGGTACGAGTTACGTGGGTGCGTTCAGTTTGCAAATATTCATCCAGCCGCACCCTCACAGGCACCTTTCTGTGTGCATAATCACACTTCAACAAAAAGTTCAGCAAACCACTCTGAAGTTCAGCAACTACTATGGCTAGGTCTCCAGGCTTATTCTCAATCATACGATGAAAGTCCAAATTTGACCACATTTTAAAACTAACTGTAGTCGTCAAAGGTGCTGACTTGGAGAACAAGGTGTTCCTTAGTGGTGTCCGGACAGAGGTTTCTTTCCCTTCCCTGGACACCAGGGTTCACTGGAGGCCAGTTGTCAAGGTGCTTGGCCCCCTGCCCCCACACTGGGCCCTTCTCTCCAGAGCCCCATGCTGCCTGACAACCCCAGCTTGGCCATCTCCCCAGGCCTGCCCTCCCTTACAAAACTCCAGCAGCACCCGCCCCCACCTCCCAAATCAAACCCCATTTCTTCCAGGACAGCAAGTGCTGTGGCCAGGGCATGGGTGGGGGGTGGGCACATGGATCTACTGCCCGTGAGTGACTATCAGCCTCTCAGCCCTCCCTGTGCGGTCTGCATTTGTAGAAGAGGGTGTTTGGCAGCTCTGCTGGACGGGTTGTGGGCGGAGCCTGCTCTCGGTGCGAACCGGAAGGCAGGCATCCGAGAAAGTGAGGCGCTGGTTGACCTACCTGGGAACTAAAAGTTGAAGGGACTAGAGACTGTATCAGAGACTAACCAGAAGTCTATATCGGAGGCTTCACTAGAAGGGGCGCATCAGCCAATTTTTTTTCAGATTTTTTAATTTTTTATTTTATTTTCTTTTATATATTTTTAGAGAGGGAAGGGAGGGGGAGAGAGAGAGAGAGAGAAACATCAATGTGCAGTTGCTGGGGGCCATGGCCTGCAACCCAGGCATGTGCCCTGATTGGGAATCGAACCTGCGATGCTTTGGTTTGCAGCCCACGCTCAATCCACTGAGCTACGCCGGTCAGGATGCATCAGTCAATTTTTGATGTGTAACAAAATACCTCAAAATCTCATTAATACAAAGAAATTCATTTTCCTGCTCACGGCTTGGCGGGGCCAGGCAGGGTCCTGGCGTGGTGAGGTCCAGGTTTGTTTCGTGCAGCTTCCGTCTGGGGCTCAGGCTGAGGGGCCAGCGGTGCTGGGGGCAAAGTCTTTTTTTTTCTCCTCATTTTTAATTTATTGATTTGAGAGAGAGACACATCGATTCATTGTCCCACTTATTTATGCATTCATTGGTTGGTTCTTGTACGTGCACTGACCAGGGATCGAACCTGCAACCTTGGTGTGTTGGACGATGCTCTAACCAACTGAGGTACTAGTCAGGTGTCACCACGTGGTGACACTGTGCGGCACAGGGCAAAGTGTTGTCACGGTGGATCCCAGGCACGCAAGGGGGCAGGCGAAACTCTATGAATACACCGACAGCAGCTACTGGCATTCACTGCTCACGTCCCATCGGCCAAACCAAGCCACGTGGCTGAGCCACAAGTGAGGGAGGGTTATGCCGTGACGCCGTGGCGAGAATGCAGGGTGGACTTCCGACACGGGGGGGGGGGGGTTGGGCGGGGCACCCACTGGGAGCGATGACTGGGAGAGGTAATGGGGCTGGTCACCAGTGTCACGGGCAAGCAGTTGCCGGTGGTGACTGATCAGATGCCCCGCCTTCTCCAGTAGGCAGATCTCCTACTGCATCTTGCATATGTTGACTTTTGAGAAATAACAAACGTACAAAGTTACACTTGTCCTTAAACTTATTTTTTCTTCCTTTGGGGAAGAAAGAGCACTCCCCTGAAAAATCCTTTCCCTTTCCTTCTGCAGCCCACGTGCTGATACGAATCATTCTGCCCATGATCGCCGGCCTCGTGGTTATCGCGATCCTGTGCTACTTGAAGAGTCGGTGGTAAGTGCGTGGGGAGTGTTACCCGAGAAGGGGGCCAGAGAAGGATCCAGACAGGAGTTTGATAAAACCAATCACACTGCCCAGGAGGAGGATTAGGGCTAGAAGGAAAAGGACGGAGGGGCTTAGAGGAGCATGCGAGAAAGTTTTAAACAGTTTTGCTTTTTGGATCCACACATGAGAAAAACAGTCACCATTCAGAAAGACTGAAGACTCGTTCAGCAGCAGCAGGCGGTACTTGTGTCTCGCTGGCCGTGTGCTCGGCACTGTCCTAAGTGCTGTCCGTGCAGCGGCCCATCAGGCCTCACGGCGTCGCCCTGGGCACCGCCGCTGTCTCCGCTGAACCCACGAGGACACGACAGCCTGGACGGGCCACGCAGCTGGTGCACCGCCCGCCACAGAGCCAGGGCGGGAACCCAGGCGTCCGGCCTCGGACTTCTCACCCCTACCTGTTCCGACGTATTTAAGATGCGGCCTCACTGTCTCTGTTTCTCTAGGATGAAAGAGATGTGTTATCCCGACATCCCGGACCCGTACAAGAGCAGCGTCCTGTCCTTACTGAAACCCAAGGTAAACGTGGTGACACTGTGCGGATCCCGTGTACCCGTCCACTGCCAGTCCGGGGGCGGGGCGGGGCTGTACTAATTATGCTTCCGTAGACCACCCCCCCCCCCCCCCCGGCAGGTATAGTGGAGCGAGCAGGGCCACCTCTGCCCCCCCAGCCGGGACACGGGTGGACGGAGCTGGGTCTCTGCTGCTGCTGCCGCTACGGGCCATCCCGTTCCCCTCCACTAGCACGTGAGCGGGACGCCACGGGGAAACGCTGAAGCTCTGCGTGCCTCCCCCACGCCCGGCGCCGGAGTCACGTTCGTTCGTGTGTTTCCTGTTCCTGTTCCAGGAGGCGGCTCCGCTAACCATAATGAGTGTCAACGACTGCGTTCCGGACGCCCTTGAAGTTGTCAAGAAGCCCGAAGGGAGCAAGACCCCGTTCCCAGGCGCCAGGAAGGCAGCCCCAGACACCACTGCACGCACCAGGCCGGACTACATTTACCTCCTCCCGACAGAGAGCTCCCCCAGCCCCTGCATCTGCTTTGAGAACCTGACCTACGACCAAGCAGCTCCCAGCTCTGGCTCCTGTGCCCGGGTCCTGGGGCCTCACGAGGCCGCACCGAGTCAGCTGGGACTACCCACCTCAGCTGCGAGTTTGCTGAAACCACTAGAACAAAACTACGTGAACACCCCGGCAGAAACCCCGGCCGGGGAGACTACTTTGAATTACGTGTCCCAGCTGGCTTCCCCCGTGTCTGGGGACAAGGACCTTCTCCCAACAAAGCCCCCGGAGCCAGAGCCGGAACTCTGTTGCGAGTATAGAATGCAAATGGCCATGCCCCTTGACCTTGCCTCGCCCTCCCGGAATGAGAGCAGCAACGGCTCCCCAACCGCCCTTTTAGGGCAAGAATACCACGGCTAACTGTCCACACGGTTCAAATCTGTGCACTCCAGAACAGCAAGGGGTGCGCCCGACCCCACTCCATCACGAGACACCCCCGCGTTTAAACCCCAGTGAGCTGCCACCACCGGCAGGCCTGACTTCTCGGAGGCCACGGCCATCTGGCTGGGTTTCCAAGTGCAAGAGCTCGGAGACTCCCCGTCCTTCCCCGGAGCTGGCTTGCTGCAGGAAGGCCGGCATCGCCCGCGAGCACCCGCTTACCTTGCTGCCGCATGTTCCCGGCCGCCTTCGCAACAGCCACCCCGGCCCCCGACGCGGGGGGTGAGCCCATCCACCCAGTACCGGACAGGGCGGCTCTGGTCCTAGGAGTTCAGCGCGAAAGGGTTTCCATTAACTTTTACCCCCGCATTGACTGTCGTGAGGGTGAAGGCACTAGGTCGAAGGCTTTCACAGAGGCCACAGAAGGTTCGTTACTACGGCAGATGCTGTCAATGTTAATTTACTCTGGATGTACTTAATGGAGAAGTCGCAGGTGTTGGAGACAGAAGCAGGTTCTGGGCTTGTGTTGCAGTGGTAAGAATTTACAGCTCGTTGGCACGGTGCAATGAACTCTCCCCCTGGGGGGTGGGGCAGGGGGCGGGGCACAGACCTTTGTAACAGGTAAGACGGGTGAATGAATGAGACCCCCCCAGTCGTCCTGTCTTGCCTACCAGTTAGACAGTGGGGCTGGGAAGCCCTCCTGGCCTAGTGTCAGAGTAACAGCACTGCTACCGAGTGCGCACCGTCCTACCGTCATGTTTGATGACTACCTCAGACGGAAAAGGGAGAGCACGTCGTCGAGTAACTCCAGGCACGCTTTCTTATTTTTCCCAAGAACTGTATTATAGAACTGTGACCCGTGTCCATGTAGCATCCTCTAGACTCCGCAGTAGGCTGTCTAGGCCCACACAACACCCTCACTCTCCCCCATACTCCTACTATGCTAACCTAGCCGACACAATGAAACCACACTGCTGGGCGTGCATCCTCGGGGCGTGACTACGAAAGGCTGCCTGGGTGGGGCAGCTCCGTCGGGCTGAGCAGCAGCTTCGCGTCCCTGAACCCACGTGGGCAAAGCTCCGCGTGACAGGCGCTCCTCTCTCTCCCCCCTGGTGCCCGTGGTGTTCCCTGGTCATGTTTCTCAACGAGCACAGACACAGGCTCCTTTCCATTCGCCGCGGTGGAAATGGCACTGCCTGTGCCTCTGGTGCCACCTGCCCAGCCTGGGCTGCCACCACCACGAGGAGGAGGAGGAGGAAGGCAGGACCCATATCTCAGAGGAAAGCGGCTATCCGCTGGCCTGGACACAAGGTACAAACCAGGACTTCCGTTCAGGCTTTTCAACATCGTCCTCACGTATGTCTATGGCTTTTGCTAGGAAAACTGGTTACGAAGTCCTAACCCAGTACACACGAGTATCTTGAGTAGCATCACAGTGTTGAGAAGACTGGGTCCAGATGGTCACTTGCCCTCTTGGGTTCCTCCGTCATGATGGGGTGACTATAAGTCAGTCCACAGAAGTGTCAACGACAGTGATGACTGATGTGAACCGTCTCTCTCGTGTAGACTCTCTTTAAAAAAACAACGCATGAAACCTTGAAGTTGTTTGTGTTGCAACAGCCTTAATTAAAATACTTCACCACTGCATTATTCTGTGTTTTCTCTACCTCGGGGAAATGAAAATCTGACAGTCAATAATGCTGATGTCACCGCATGAGCTACTGCAAATGCCTGGGAACCACTCCAGCCCGCCCAGTCCGGGCCCCCCACGGCACCTGGCCTGGAGTCCGAGCTGCACCAGGCGTGCGATGCGCGCTCAGCTCTGAGCGCGGCCGGACCAAGTGGGCTGTGCAGCTTGGTGCTCACAGTTACCACTGCAACTGCAGTTCTGGGCATGCACATTCCTCTCTCGTGTTCTTCATCACCAAGTAAGTCAGTGTTTAAAACCTTAGCTGTCAATGCTGTGTGCTTAACAGCATGGCTTTAAGAAGTGTTCTTCAGAAACTCTGAGGTTTGTATTCATGTGTCAGAATTACTAGGATGGAAACTGTTAACAGAATTTCAACTATACACGAAGGTAGAAGAGCAGAAGAAACCCGTATTGGTAGGTGGGGCCTTTGCGAAGTGATTAGGTCCTGGGGCTGGAGCCTCGGTGAGTCAGATCAACGCTCTTTTAAGAAACACACAAAACTTCCTTGTCCCTTCCACCATGAGGACAGACCCAGTAAGTCTGGGACTCAGAAGGGGGCCCTCACCCGATCATGCTGGCCCTCCGGGCTCAGACTCCCAGCCTACAGCTCTGTGGGGAATACATTTCTATCGTTTATTAACTGCCCCAGTCTGTGCTATCTTGTTACAGCAGCCCGAAGGGACTAAGGCAGTCCTTTACTTTTTAGTATTTTTATACAAGGTCTGTCCGGAAGGTATCCAGCCATGCAATACGAAAAGAATAGAGGCATTTATTAAAGCAGATACAAGAAACACAGGATGATGCCTCAGTTCCCTCCAAGTAGGCACCTCGGGTCCTCACACCGTTCTCCCCGTCACCATCGTCCGCCTTGTCGTCATATTTTCCTGAATCTCATCAACCATCTGAAATCTCCTCCTTTCAAAGGTGATTTTAGTTTTGAGAAAAGCCAGGAGTGGCAGGGCCCCAAATCTGGGCTGCAGTAGGGCTGGGTGATTTGGTTTTTCCCCAAACTCTGAACAAGATGTGATGCACGAACAGGCCAGCTGTCATGATAAAGCTGCCAATCACTCGTCGTGTTGTCCCCCAAAGCCTTCTGAAGCACCTGAACAGTTACTGCAGAGAAATGGTCAGGCTTAAGGCAAAATTCAATGCAGACTCGTTCTACTCGCTCGGTCATTTTGAATGTGACGAACAGCACATGTGCTCACTCAGGGGCATCTACCCCACCCCCCCGACAATGTCACTGACTAGTGTGGTGATGTCGTCACTGTTCACACACGCTGACTGTGGCCCACTCCCCTTGGCTGCCAGGGACATCGATGTCGCACAACCCGTTCTTGTTACATTAACAATGGCTGGACAGACCTGAGGTATCAGAGAGTTTTTGGTGGGGGGTGAGGGGGTAGTTGGAGGTGGAAGAGGGTATGGGGGGGATAAATGGTAATGGAAAAAATACAATAAAAATGGTAGAAAAGAACTTTGAAACATGAAACAAACTTTCTTAAGTTCAGCTATATTATCATGTTTTTTAAAGATCAGCTGTATGATTATTAAGTGTAATTTTTAGTTTATTTGGGGGCCTATTGTTTTTGTTGAATGACATATATAGTGAAAAGCGATGAAAAAATGATATACAGAAATGTACTTAAAGACTAATAGATCCAAAATAAATCTATTTCTAAAAGTGACACACATTTTTCCCACATTTAATCAACTGTACTAGACCCTAGCTTTGACACTGAAGTTTATTCTCCAGGCTGGGTTATTTCCTTTGTGGTGTCCCCCTCTGCTCCTAGGGCTCTGGCTGTACGTTACCTTATCTGATCAGGTCAGTTTTTACCTACGAAATCAAATACTGTCTCCAGGAGTCATCATACTAGCAGCATTTTTATTGTACATTAATTCCTCAAAATATTCAGAACTGTTCTGTCTAAAGACTGATCCATTTTTCCAAACCCTTGATAATGAATGAAGTTAAAATAAAATTGTAAAGGTAGGTTTGACTAGATTATTATGAATGTTTAAGAAAATGGAAATAGCTATTTTAAAATGCCTGGAACAAATCAAAATGGCATGGTACTGGCATAAAAACGGACACATGGATCAACAGAAAATAAGAGAGAACACAAATAAACCCACATCTTTGTAGTCCATTAATATTTGACAAGGGAGGCCAAACGTACAATGGGATAAAGATAGGCTATTCAATAAGTGGTATGAAGAAAATTGGACAGATATATGCAAAAAATGAAATCAAACCACCTTCTTACACCATATACAAGAATAAACTCAAAATACATTAAAGATTTAAATGTCCGACTCGAAACCATAAAAATCCTAGAAGAAAAGAAAGACAGTAAAATCTCGGACATTTCTCATAGCTCTATTTTTCCTGATGTATCGCCTTGGGCAAGGAAAACAAAGGAAAAAAATGGGATTACATCAATTTAAAGTGTTTTTGCACAGCAGTGGAAACCATCAACAAAATGAATAGAACCCAAGGAATAAGACATATTTGTCAATATATCTGATAAGGGCTTAATATCCAATATTTATAAGGAAATTATAAAACTAAACACTAAAAAAACCCCAAAACCCCAAACAATCCAATTAAGAAACTGGACAATGGACTTGAATAGACCTTCTCCAAAGAGGACACACAGATGTCCAATAGACATATGAAATATGCTCAATGCCCCTAATCATCAGAAAAATGCAAATTAAAACTATAGTGAGATATCACCTCATACCTGTCAGAATGGCTACCATCAATAAGTCAACAAACAACAAGTGTTATCAAGGATGTGGAGAAAAAGGAACCCTAGTGCACTGTTGGTGGGAATGCGGACTGGTGCAGCTACTACGGAAAACAGTATGGAGATACCCCCCAAATTAAAGATGGAACTGCCTATGACCCAGCGATTCTACTTCCGGCAATCTATCTGGGGACACCTGAAACACTGATTAGAAAGAACACAGGCACCCCTGTGTCCACTGCAGTGTTACTCACAATCGCCAAGATCTGGAAGCAGCCCGACTGCCCACCAATAGCTGAGTGGGTAAAAACCACCGTGCTACATTGACACAATAGAATACCACTTGGCTATGAAAAAGAAGGAAATCTTCTTACCTTTTACGACAGCGTGGATGGAGAGTATTACGCTAAGTGAAATAAGCCAGTGGGAGAAAGGCAAATACCATTACGATCTCACTCGTGTGTGGAATCCAATGAACGAAACGAGCTAAGGAAGTGGAGACAGACTCATGGGTCCAGAGCACAGACGGACAGACGGGAAGGGGTTCGGGGCTGGGCGACAACAGGGAAGGGACGAAGCGGAGAAAAGGCAGGCTCACGGCCACGGACAACAGTAAGGTGACCGCCAGAGGGGAGGGGGTGGGGGAGGCGGGAGACGGTGACACGGGACGGGCGGTGACGGAAGGAGACTGCCGTGGGGTGGAGAACACACCACGCAGTGCACAGGTGATGTGCTGCAGAGCTGTGCACCCGGGACCTGTGTAACTTCATCAACCAATGTCGCCCCATTAAGTTCTGTTAAAAATAAATAAAAACATACTTGGAACAGGCCACCAGTGTGTCACTGAAGTAGATTCTCCGTGTTGCCTGGAAGTCACTTTCAGGGGGGAGCACCTGTGTCAGCCTCAGGGGCGTATAATTCAAATCAACACTGAATGTTTTAAAATTTCAAACAGAACCACACAAGTTTAAGAATTTTAAGTACATTTTATTAAGAATGTATCCCTTTGATAAGATTATGTTTCAGGAGGCTTTTAATGCCCTTGACATAAACTGTACACATTATACAAAAACAAGAAAACCACACAAAAAAAAAATCAAGGTGGAGCAAAACCATTTGGGGACAAACCTTATTTAAATTATACACAACTCAATGAAATATTCTTACGGAAAATATATAAATACTTTTTCTTTCTATGTTACAGTTATACAATATAAATCATATTTCAATGTCTGTTCAGTGACCTACAAACACCAGAACCTCCAAATATGTAGCAGCGTATTACTAAATAAAAAAGAGAGAGAAGAAAATCCTATGGTCAGGGAGGACTAATCTGAGATTGTTTTCACAACCCCTTACCATTTTCAAAACTAATTTACACTATCTGTTTTACAATGCAGCTTCAGGGTTTCTGACAGGCCAGCAATGGAACACTTTTCAACTGTCATGTATGAAAAATTTTTACCCCCAGCCCTTTCTGCCCCAAAACTTTGCATTTTGTGCTAAATCAACCTGTTCAGTGGCAAAATTACAAGGTATACTTTTTGGCATAAATTATATTTTTCAAATGAAATATTTTATAAAGAAAGTCAAACAAAATGTGCAATTTATGCATGATGTGGCATAGTTATCTGCCTACATTACCAAAATACTCCAAAGGGGGAGAAATCCACATTCTGTGTGAGTCATATAAACCTATGAATGAAAACTCCCCTGGGAACCTGGAACAAACAGAAAAAACGAATGCTCCTAGAAAGATTCTCTGATTTCAATATTGTTTGATAAGCATTGCTATTAATTTCACTGGCATGCTTTTATAGTGAAACTCGCACTTGAACCAGTAATAATGTACTTCCTGAATGGGGATACCAGGGAGAACTTCCTCAACTTACACTCTGGAAAATCTGATATATCCTTTTATTTCAGTAGCTTTTCTTATAAAACTCTTCGCAATTCTACGTATTGTTTCCCCCATGTTTTAATGGATGGCGAATTCGAGACAAAATTGGAAGCACAGGACAAGGGAAACCTCTCACTTCCAAAGGGCCTCTCCCAAGGTAGCTTACAAAGCTCATGTCACACAGAATTAGCACCTCACTCTCACCATGCAAAAAATAACTGTGGTTATAATTTGGATGACAATTTGACTGGTTTTTATTGCTTAATTATCTGTGCTTTAATGTGGGGATAAAAGGCATCCTCTGAATGGAATGAAAATTCTCACCTAAATAGCAGTGGACAATTCTAAATAAGCACTGACACCTCACTGTTGAACACTCTGCCACTGGAATATGCCCTGAAAAATTCAGCTTTAATTATTTCAAGCTCTGGAGGAAAGAGCTGAAAACTATTAAAGCCACCATTTCAAAGGACTAGTACACATGACATTAGAGTAACTAGTCTAATAATGTATACACCTAGCTCCAAAGAGCCTTTTCTAATGTCACTGTCATACAGGATGTCCATATGCTACCAATCTTGATTAAAAACATTTTTATTAGAGAGGAGAGACTTTCCCCCCTCAAATATACCTAAGCATAAACAGGAAATAAAAGTATAAGAAATCTTAGATCATATTTAATTATGAATACTAATTTCTAATTTCCTTATTTATCAGTTTAACTTAGTATGTGAAGCTGAAATTTGTTCTTGAAAAAAAATTTCAGTTAGAAGTAACAATTCATGTTACAATGAGAAATTCACAGTTTACAACCAGCACAACTGTCCAAATTCCTCCAAATTATCAATAATTACCATTAGTACAAATATGTATGGACTAAGAATTCTAAAATCTTGAAAAACTATAGTATTGACATTATTTTGGTATTTTATAGTCTGGCAATATCTATTATTTATAGACGATTTTCTCAATTATTTCTATTACCACCAACACTTTTCCTAATCTTCTCTGCTATAATTTAATAATTTTTAAACACCTAAGTTAATCACTTGGCACGCATGTGAGCTTTTTTCATCATTAAAATCTATCTTTATGCAAACAAGTACTCAAAGAAAACATATTAGACCTGTCAGTGAAATATGGATAAACCAAATAGCATTATCCATTTAAGTACATTTTTTCCCTTAAATTACTGATAACCACAGAGCTCTGAGTATCTCCCCAAACTAAGTGCTATAGGCAAATATTATGATGTATACATATAAGTCTTTCAAAGTAACTGTCAAAAAACCCCTGCTCTGGCGGACAGTAATGAGGACTTCACTTCAGGGTGGACGAGTGAGTCTGGGTGCAGGTACGGGGTGATGTGTGTGTGACAGAAAAGAATCACTGTTAACCTCTGAGGGATTAAACCACAGATTACACTCTGCATTAACTGAGGTAGTGTTGAAAATGAATGTCTAAAGCATGTTAATCCCATTGTAAGTAAGATTACTACATTACCTCCTTTGGAGTTTTTAACTACTATCTGGTCTAAGTTTCTCTGACGCTTGGTTCTCTGGAAGGCAGTTTCATCATCCAAGACCAAAGACCAAGGTGACAGGTGACGTTCTTAAAAGCACTGTCGACATTTAAATAAACACTTGGGTTCGGTGATAAGTTAAAGTATAAAAAAGTGTGTGTCTTATCTTCAACTGGGTTTCTGAGAGGAAGTCTGAAGAACCCCTCTTTACCACGAGCAGCAGCTTCCAGCCCTATCTGCTTTGTTAGAGTGTGAGTTGCTACACAGTGCACGCACGGACAGTCTGCTGACGCGCAGTCGCAAAGGGGTGTCACGAAGTGAGATGAAACACTTATCTCCACTGGAACTTTCAGTGCCAGCGCGTTGTTTCAGAAGTATCTCGTGAGTTAGGTTTGCTAGTTCACAGGGTTCTTGACAGAGATCTCAGAGAGTAAGCCCATTATCAGAAGGGTTTGTGACACAGGAAAGTGTTCATCGATACACGACAACGGAGTCAAAGCTGATGTGTGACTAAAAATGGCATACACAAATGAATTAGAAAAGGGTCCTAATCAGTCCAGCTGGATTTTTTCTATTTATACACAGACCTAAAAAAGATAATCCTTTCATTTACAAGCATTCTAATGATGATGGCCATGCTGTTTTTATATACAAATTTGCATATATGTGTAATTCCTGTGAAGATGTTCAAATAATCTTTAGACATATACAAATTAAACACACAAATTAACGAAACCTTGCCCTCATCAACTTAACCACTTCACAAACATGATAAAGACAATTACTGTATGCATAAATTCACCTATCACTGCATTTAGTTTGTGCAAAACAAGAACACTGATATAAAAATTAAATTACTGCTGCTTTAAAATTTGGTACTTAAGGCTTTTCACTACAATTTTTAATTGTAATAACAGTGTCATTAATAATTTTTTAAAAGGAAATATGGCTGGCTCTTCTTTTTCCATGGAATGTACAGTAAATTGTAGGCAATCTTGTTTTTCCCTTCAAGTATCATTTAATGCTTTCTGCTGCTTTACGTCTACATTGATAGTGCTTGTTCGAGTTCCTATTTGAAATGGTGATATGGGAAGGTGATGAGAATGGAAGTCCACTGAACACATTCATGCATTTTATATGTGGGAAACAGCTGAACTGTAACATGATTTTCTGATTTTAATCAGGAACTGTAGTGAAAAACCTTAATCAGTTCAAATAGCCTATAACAACAACACGTCAAGAGAAGGAAAACAAATACGAAAGAAACGTTATGCAAGTCTAACAACATAGAAATAACTTATCAGTCCCGGGTCGCCGAGGCTCTCCTCTGGCTCTGAGGTCACAACCCTTGGAGTAGTGTTACGACGCTAAGAAAAGCTCCCCTCTCACGCCAGCAGTCACAGCACCCCCACTGTGGGGACAGGACACAGCCTCAGAGACACTGACCCCTGGCTTCCGTGACTCAGGCAACAAACAAGGCATCTTTTCATTTTCCCTAAGAGAAGAACTCAGAAACAACTGCGTGAAGGGTGCTTCTGCACATCCTATTACTGTTCCTCGTGGTTGAGCACTTCGAACGGGAAAGCAGAAAACCTGTGTCGGTACTCAGTGCTTGGCTCTCACATACAATGGAAACTAAAACTTTTAAGATGGTGGCAATGAACACGGAACCCCTACCGGGGCGCACCGGGGACAGGGGACGTTGTTTGGTTACGGAAGTCTGCAGTTCCAGCTGTCCAGGCGCCAAAACTGCTGGCACAGCGCACGCGGACCCTCCCGTCCTTGCGGCCCAGCCCGCCAGCATCTCCTGAGGCGTTCGTGAACTGCGCAATGTGAATGTGTGCACAGGATCCGTCTATACACATCGCAGGCAGGAGGTCAGGACTCGGCCGATGGATCAACTACGGGCTGCTTTGGTGGTACGGCCAACACCGCCTCTGCTTCTTCGTGCATCTAGGCAAGAAGGGGGTCTACTTTAACAACCTTCTGGTATATTAACAGATATAATCTCCCTCTCAACGCACACATGGAAATGCTTTTGAAAAAAATTTCAGAAGCACGCATTCTACTTACTTGTAGAAACTGTACATCTTGGAACAGCTCTTGTATGAACCTCCGGCACGGGAGCCTGAAGGCGCAGTGCGCCAGCAAGTGCGAGACCTCCGAGTAGAGGCAGATGTCGTCGAAGGTCTGCGGGTACTTCTCCTTGATCCTGCAAGCAGAGGCCGGGCCACGTGGGTGAGGCTGGGGCAGGCACGCCGCTTCCTCCAGAGTACCGCTTTTTAAATACTTTTTCTCAGATAATGATTCGATGTCAAATTTGGGGTGATGGTGTAAGAATATAAAACATTAAATACTCCTACCTCATACTTCAATTAGATGTTTTACATTTCAGGCTGTTGGATTATTTAAAATAATTAAAACCTAAATGTTTCTTGGAAAGTTAGAAATATCCCTTTTCACTGGCATGAGAAACTGCAAAATTTATTAGTCTAGGATGACTCAAATATTTTCAAAATTGAGTTTTAAGATAGAAGTTTTCCACATTGGACTGAAATTGTTAACATCCGTGACTGAACTCTCTCTCTGTGTCTTACAAACTGGGAACAGCGGCTCTGAGCCGGCACAGTCCCTGGGAGCTGGCGCTGGGCTGGGCTGGGCTGGGGCAGAACACAGGGCGAGGGCCCCCGGATCGTGGGGCTTCTGGCCAGGCGGCCGCAGTGAGACCCTCGCACCCGTTACTACTGTGTTGGCCAAAAAGACTGTTTAGTTTTTTTCCGTAAAACAAAAGACACATTTTTCATGTTCACCAATAACTTTATGGATTGGGATATTCTGAGTATGCTGGCTATCTCCCGTGTGGCAGAAAGTGCATTGTTCTCACGAATGTCTGGACTTGACTGTTACCAACTTCACCTGGTCTACCTGATCGTCAGGCATCGTCCAGTGAGAAATCTCCAGCAAAAGTATAATAAACCGAAAATGTCACTTATTTTCTCCCACCTTCAATATTAAAATGGCTACACAAAAATTCACCAATTTTGATTTAAAAAAAAAAAATGCACACTGACATGGCATCTGTCCCAATACAATCTAACAAAACTGTTTCAAACCAAGTTAAAGACAACTAAGTGCTACTAGAGCCACCTTATGGAAACAAACAGACTTTCTGGCCAACCCACTATTTTGTAAAAGCCTCACAGGAGACCCCGAGGTGCCTCTCTTGAGGACTGCTGCTTTATGTACTACAAACCAAAAATGTTGAATCCAAGAAAATACCACTTGTTTTATGTAGGCCAGCTTTTCTCAAACTTGAAGAAAGAATTCCCTTACTTTCTTTAAAATTAATAAAGACCCCCAAAAGCTTATTTTTTGTGGGTTATAGCTATAAATAATTACCCTGTTAGAAATTGAAATAAAAAATTTTTCAAAATATTTAGATTCCTTTAAAAATAAGCCAATTTCATGTTAATACACACACACGTTAACAAAAAGTAGTTTTTCCAACACTAAAAATATAATAGTATTATTTTATACCTTTACAGATCTCTTTAAAGTCTTGCTTACTAAAGGTAGCTGGATTCACATACCTGCTTCTGCATTCAATCTGTTACCGTATGTTATTTTGGTTGAAGTACATGAAGAAAATCTGGCCTCACACAGATATACCATGTGTTGAGAACCACTGATGTAAGTTAATTAATCTAACTTTTGATTTCAAGTATCTTTTTCACCATAAGAAGCACAACAAAGGATACTCATGCTTAGTATTAACTTACGTTAAAAGCCCAGTTTCATGACATTTAGTTGAAACTGAACTACTCAAATTAATGACTAATCTTAGAACTTCTTTGCGAAGGAGTATACGGCACATTGGTGTATCATCTGGAATTGTTTTAACACCTGAAAAGAAGATTAAAATATTTTATCTATATCATAATAGAAAACGATTATGTCATGGAATTTGTTAAATTTATGTAAAGATTTAAAACTGAGATAAATTACACATGCTCTGCTGATCATTTGGGAATAAATTCTTTCTAATGAAAGCAGGCAGCTAAGAGGGTACATACAGGTGCTGACAAAAGTGTCACAGTTGGCTAAACACGCCTCACCAAAAGTGGTATCACAGTTCTGAGACAACTTTAATTAACATTGAGTATGAGCAACAACCACACTTAAGTTTATTAACAAGGCTTGGATTTGAATCTGAAAACTTACCTAGCAGCAGTTCTGTGCTTTTGGTGCTGCTGGCTGAGCCTTCTTGAGACACTCCATCGCTACAGCCAGAAATCCCCGAGAACTTAGAGGGAACCACTTCTAAGGGATTATGGATGCTCTGCTCACACCAATCAGAATATGGAATGTCTTGAAGGTCTGAAGGAGAAATTAGTTACTTCAATTAAAGTATTGCAATGGCTTAATGCCTGTGCTTGCACTGCATGCCACAGAGATGTTCCTTGTCATTTCTGTCCAGTCTTCAACAATTATTTTTCATGATGAAGATTTTCAAAATAAACTCAGGTTACTCAGATAATGAAATCTGTTAAATTCTGAAGACATTTACACATAGGATTTTATTTTCCTAAATTATGAAAATATTAATATAAGTTTAAAAATTCAAGTAAAATATATGCAGAATAAAAACTGAAGACGTCTTATTTATCCCTCTCCTATTCTTTCCACCCCCAAACTAAATCTCACTCTCCATAGAAAAATACAGTTTGAAGTCCGCATATAATTTCAAGTCTTTTGCTATTATAACTATCTCTCTTGCTCTTTGGGTGTAAAGTGGGATTATACTCTATGTATTATTCTATAACTTACTTTTCCCCCATTTAATAATTACCAACATACGAGTCTATTTTCCTGGCTTACCGTATTATTCCTTAGAGTTAAATTTATTATACTACCCATGCATGGCAAAGGTACTCCAAGATGGGATTTTAAAGTAACCAAATATCTTAGCATTGCTAAAATAACATCAATTTTTTTTAACTTAAAAACTTTCTGAGCACTTAAATGATTAGAATAAGTGAAAATCAGAAGTCTCTGGTTATTCTGTAAGGGAGTAACACTGGGCACCCTATAAAATCACACAACCGGAGCACTACAAAAAGCACTGGAGTCAGTCAGCGCTTCCACCTTGGGAGGAGAGGTTCAGAGAGGAGACACACACGGCGGGATGCCAAGACCTCTGGACGGCAGCACAATGCTTTTCCACCACAGCACCCCGTCGGAGTAGGGAAAAAAGGTGCACACACAAATTTTAAATCCTCACCCAAAGATGTGTTTATGGATTTTAAAGAGGGAGAGCACGAGACAGAAACATCGACCTGAGAGGCACTGGGCTGCTTTCCATAAGCACCTGGGCTGGGGTCCAACCCACAACCTAGGTACGTTGTGCCCTGACTGGAAATCAAATCTGCAACGTTTTGGTGTACAGGACGACGCTCCAACCACCTGGGCCACCTGCCCAGGGCAAAAAGTGTATTTTTTACAGTCCAGGAAACTAGACCAATGTTAGTATGTGCTGCCTCTCCTATGTTGCTTCCCACAGAACAAAAACATAGACCTCATCTCGCCTAATCACCCCCCGAGATTACTCTTTATGCGATACTAAACAGAAAGTACTTGGGCTCATTGGAAAACGTCTACAAATTTAACATAGCTTTAGAATTTCAGTTATTAAGAAAATCATGTAGCTGTCAGTTAATTAAAAGTAAAACATGCTACTTAAATTATGCATTGATTTTAAGAATAAACCTATTGCCAAAAGATCTGAGAACTAAAGACACACTTAAAAACCAGCACCGCCGGACAACCAGGCACGAGATGGAGGTTATCTCAGACTCGGCCGGTGAGCCACCCAGGGGGTGAAATGAGAAAATGCCCCAGCACGAGTAACAGTAAGGAAGCTATGCTTTCTTCCATTGATTTGTTTCTAAAAAGTTGTAACCTCACTTATTTAAGCCTCACTTTAAACCAGTAACAACTCCTAACATTTCTAACTTGTTAGAATTGCATTCTATTTCTAAAGATGTCATTTATTCTAATTAAAAAAAATCAGTTCTCTAGATAAGTCAGGTTCTAATATAGTAATTAGTTCATTCCTTTTTGGAAATGAGAAACAGCATCTTTAGTAAAACAATAACAGAAGGCATTTCTTATGTAGGATACATTTTTGTGTATGTGAAACACATTAAGTCATATGAAGGAACTTTTTAAATGACATAATTAAATGTTACATGGAAACTTCAGAGAACATGAGGGAAAAATGTGCACACTATTTATAAACTGGCAGGATAAGGAGAAGCAAAAACTCTTGGAAATGGGGAAAGGAACACAGCTAGTTGGCCTACTTTTTCTCTTGCATGGAAGATAATTTAGTATCCGAGTCCCCTGAAGGCAAAACCACATATACTCAGTTAATGATATTCACCTTTAAGGACCTTTATTTTCCATCTTCTCTTAAGAAGTATTCAATGCAATGAACCTTAAACACACTTTTATTTAAGACATTTCAAGATTATTTTTAATTTGGATGAAACATTATGTTCATAAACTGAATCATTTTATCTACATGACTGATGTTTAGCTTCTTAACTATAGTAGTTTCCTTTTACTGTTTCCTTTATTTTTAATTAATAATACTCTAGTGTAGCTTTATCTTTTAATTAAAAATGCAGACATGAAGTGTGTGGCAAAAAATAAAAAGCTCTAAGCAAAAATAATATGAATCTATATGGTTAATTCAGAAAAAAAATCATAAGCTTATTTTTCCTACCAGAAAGTAGTAAATCCCAAATAGCTTATGGGAAATGCTGAAATAATTATTTAATAAAAAAACATTTCTGTGCGGAGCTCTACCTCTAAAAATATAACCACCTGATAACCAATTCTCTTGGGCAGCAGCAGATGTAAAAGAAAGTGAGCAAAAGTTCCCTTAGGAGCACAGTGAGACAGTCCACATCAGAATTTACGAGAGAATATGATTTCTAGTATAAAACAACGTAAGAGCCCAAGTCCCCGGGACACCGAAGCTCACTGCTCCGCCATGCCCACGTCGGGGGTCCGCAGCCCCTCACCCCGCTGTTTCATCACTTGGGCGCGGCCAGACAGAGGGGGTCCAGGTCATCCTGCCCCCATCATCTGCATACCACTGGTCTTCCGTAAGGATGTTGATTAAAACATGGGTTCTGCAACTAAATAAAATAACTTTGAAAACCAACACTGCACATTTATAAGGCCTTCCTCTCCCCAGTGTAGTTTCTACCTACTCCTCCTCCTTACAAATTGTCAATTAAGTAACCTAGACATTCAAACTCACCCTGCTGTTGTCTTTTAGAGTTGGCGGATTGTTTCTATTGCTTTTACTTTCACAGATGGCCTAACATACAAGAGTTTCCCACTCTTAGACACAAGGGCAAATGTGGTGACATATATAAAGTAGAACCAACAAAAACATATAATACTAAATGCTGAAAGGCTGACATATTGCCTTGCACAGTAGAACCATGCAATGCATAAACATCTATGACAGTGGAAGACACAGAATAAAATGTTACTAAATACCGTGTTCTAGTAGCCTTTCCTTTGAGCTTGAGCTTTAAGCATTTTTTGAATTACCACTGCCATCACTACTGCCACTGGGCTGAAAGTTTTAGAGAATGAAATGTCTTGTGTTCAGATCTTCACATCCCTTTAAATAGATCATTAAATAGTAGGACTAATTTTTAAATTTTTATTATTTATTTTTATTTTTTCCATTACGTTATCCCCCCTATACCCTAGTAGGACTATTTTTTCAGTCCTGCCATGGATAAGGACATCTTCTTTCCCACACACAAAACCCTTACTGTAGCCTGCAGCAGTGCTTCTCCAACTTGACTGTGGACCTGAACCATGTAGCAGTCTAGTAAAAGTGCAGATTCTGACTCTCTAAGCGGGTGGAGTTTGAGATTCTGCATTTCTAACCAAGTCTCGGGTGACGCTGATGCCGTGCTGCTGGTTCACGGACCACACTTTGGGTAGCAAGGCTGCTCTTGTGTCCCACCCCCCTCACTTTCTGAGTTCAATCCGCACAAGTGTCAGTTTAGTTCCTTCTAGTACCGGTATCGCTCTCATTAGAGAAGACCTTTGCTCAGGCTTTTCCCTCTGTCTTTTAAAGTCCTCTCTACTCTGGCCTTCTTTTAGTTAGCTTATATTCATTCTTCACAACACAGCTCAGTATTAACTTCTTCAGAAGTTTCTTCTTTGACCTATTTTGCTATATTCCTTTGCTAATATTTGTGCCTATCCCAGACGGCACTTTTTACAAATGCAGGACTGTATCTGTACAACTAACGGATCTGATAGGTGGAGCAACCAATTAATCAATTCATTTATTTCCCCACTGAACCAAAGCTCAAAGAGTACAAGAATAACGTCTTTACTTTTTCTCTCCCAGTTGCTTTCCTGGCATCTAGTTTAACAGCTGACCCAGGGTAGTGGTATGATGAACATTATGTTGAAAGCACGAATGAGTAAAAGTTCCATGACTTCTTAACAATTAGCCTCTGTCCACTCACACCCTTCAGATGGGTTCTGGCAGTGAACGGTAATCCTTTCCCCACGGAGAGTCACTGCCCCACTGGTGCTCCCTCCACCGAACACTTCGCGCCGCTGCAACCAGCAGCCACGGGCTCTGCCGGAGAGCGGGCGGAGCACCTCTGACTGCAGCAGGTCTTCCCCAGGCCCCGCACGCCACGACGCTGTGTGCTGCTCTCCCAGCCACGGACGACGGACGGACTAGCACTAGCTGTGACTGTGGCTGGGTGCACAGGCGCTGGTTTCTCTATTTCTTATTGGATAAATAAGTAGGAAGTACAGCAAAAATCCACAGTAAGTGCTTCGTAAGTGCTACTGAGTGACTGATGGGAAGAGCAGAAGGTGCACAAGTAAAAACGCCGTAAATGCTGCACATACGCCGCCAAGTGGAGCACCACGGCAGCTCCTCTGCCGTGCGCCACACTTCCGAACGGCACTGCTCAAACCTTCTCATTCAAGGGGCTGTGCACAGGGGGAGGTGCCTCATCCAGGGGCTTGAAAAACCCAGGCCCTCTCGGGGCCTGGGACCATGGAGGGCATAAATCCCCCAGAACGCCCCTATCCCATCTGCAGCACAGCAGTGGCTGTAAGCCATCAGCTAGGAAGCTCTGAATCGTAATACCAAGGAGGAAATTGGAAGGTGGTCCAGAGGACTTGGTCGTCACTGGGTTTTTCTGAGGGTAGCTAAGTGATATCCACCAAGAAAAGGAATCTATGGTAATACTTGAAACACTTACACACTAATGTGAAGTTGCTAATGTATGTCATTTGTTTAATCATATGAAACAGCTAAATCTGGGTCTGCTTCATTTACTCCCTCACCAAAAACATACCGAGTGCCTACTAACTAAGCAGTATGTAGTCAAGTATCAGCACTATAAAAACTAAAGAGATATAATATCAGGCCATATGCTGAAGGAACTTAGTAAGTGCAAGGGAAAAAATGACCAAGCAGTAACTACCGAAAGTGATCTATGCCCAGGGGCAGTGAGAGTGGAGAGGAAGGGGTGCCAACGGCTAACTCAGACAGAACACCGCTGACATTCAGAACGGGGCAGGCTTGCTAAGTACGTCGCGCTTGTGTGTGAACTGCCATGTGGTGAGGAAGGGGGCACAAGGAGAAACAGCAGGGAAAACACATATGCCATTCCTAGAATCATGAGAAAGGACACAATTTGTCAACAACTTCAAGTCAATCAGTAATGGTACGTAAACTATGAGAGAGGAGAAGGGTAAACAAAGACTCTAGACAGATCACACACAGGTCACGGGTGCTGGGCGTGGACAGGTGGTACAGAACTGCCAGGGAATTAATTCCAAGCAAGGAGCCAAACTGGAGACTGAAACACCACCACTCCAACAGGGAGACTGTAAATGACTCAACTAAGGCTGAGCTCGTGAGAATGGAGTAAGAGGGATGATCGACAAATTCAAGTTCAGGGGGGTTCATCCAGAAGGACATAATCACTCACCTGAATGACTACATATTGCACTTAGTTGGTTACTGGGCTGAAAACCCAGAATCTGAATACAGACACAATACAGGCAGTTATCATCTGTATGCTCCTGTAGTCCAGTGTCTTCTGTACTTTCTAAAAACAGAGAAGCATCTGAATGGACTGAATTCATTATTTCCGTAAGACTCATCTGCTGTCGTAGCAAGTGAAAGGAATTTTTTACAAGACCTCCAGTTCCAGATGGAAGACCTGAGTGTGAGTAAATATAAAACAATCTGATAAAAAAAGTATCAATGACACTTCTTTCAAGGTGCCTTAAACTACTTGAAATTTTAAAGGAGGGAAGCAAGGGAAGAAAACCAGAACTCTTTTTTATGACTCAAAATGTAACCTTAACTGTGAAGAGAAAATAATAATTTGCTTTAATTAGGAAGATAATATAGTCAACAGATATATTTATATTACTTTAATATGAGGTTTTAGATTCAAAATGGAAAACTGTACAATTAAGGCATCATTCAATTATTTCCAATATTTGCATAAAGATGAGTAATAATTCTGAGTCTAAAGAGGTATTGATTTAAAAACAGTACTCAAGATCACAAAGCTTTAAACTGTCGTTGATGCATGTAGTCATTAAAACATCACAGTTGATAACAAAGAGAGTTCATGTAATGTGTAAGTACATTATCTTTCTCCTTTGCCCAGATGGCCATTTCACAGAGCTATGAGGATTAGTGTCACACATTTTTCATGTACTGTTTTTTAAAAACACAAGTAACTGATCTAGTTTTTGTCTTCTTAGAGGATGGGTATTTAGTTGAAGAAACACTTTAAGTCACGCGATCTCTCTCTCTCTCTCTCACTCACACACACACACACACACACAAATTTGTGGTTTAATTTTAAATGAACTCAAACAATTATTTTGGTATAATTTTAAAGATGGTCCAAATGTAAGTATCCCTGGATTTGTAGTGTCATCCTACTAAAAAGAACATTCTCTTCAATTTTCTTTAATTTTTTTTCTTTTTACTATACAGAGAAGTCTGAGAACAAAACCACACATTACCTCCCGCATCATGAGCAAACACTCTTGGACCTCGATCGTCAGGTGGAGGTATATTTTTAGTCTGAAAATAGGGAATATCCTTTACCTAAAACAGATATAAATCATGGTAAATCCTGCTATAAAAAATAAGTCCACTTTATGAATTATTAGCAAAATCAAATGAAATGCAATTTAAATAGAATTATTACAGCACATGAACCTATAACAAATAATTAACTGAAGGTTAAATTACCAAAATTTGACAAAATAACAAATAATTCTTAAATCCTTATCTATTCTTGGTGATTTAAATGGATATTAAAGTAATTATTTTAGAATTATCCCAAACGTCCTTACACCTCTGAGCGAATGCACTGAAATGCACTAAACCTCTTGAGTACTGACTGTGTGCCTTCTGGGGCTATGTGAGTGTCTCACGGGATTAGGGCAACCTCATGAGACTGGGCACAGCGTGTGCTACCCTGTGTGAGACAAACAGGACCGAGGGTTAAAAAGCAGGGGATACAACGTACATCTCAGATTTACACAATGTTATATGTCAATTATTTCTCCATTTCAAAAAAACCAGTAAGGAATAAGTCAAATATGACTAAAAAGCAAGGTTAGGAATTCACTAAATTTCTATAGAGAACATACTGATAAAGAAATCTAACAAGATGCTCATTAACAATTCAGGCATCAGAAGGGAAGATAATGTTCTGTGGACTTGGAGACACTAAATGATAACATGTAACAGTTGAGAAAGGTAAAATAATTTTCATGAAATTTCTTTAAACAAAACTGCCTTTAAAATCACTTCCTCCAAATTAGTACTCACTCCATACTTTCCAGCAAGCAGCTACAGAACACGAAGCACCAGGCAACCAGCTGGTAAGAGAGCGACAGGGTGAACGATACCTGGAATATGTCGTTGATGTCCACCGGAAGAGCAAGGCCAATGTAGTCATCCAAGCTCCCGTATGTTGCACTGGACACCATAGACCTCACTGAGGAGGATCGCTGCAGGGTATTTTGATTAATGGGACTTAACAAGTCTTCTTTATCTAACGAAGCATAACTTAAAGCTTTCATGAACCTATAACACCATAAAAAATCACTTGCATTAGTTTCTTGATTTGTAATATGTATTAATTACATAAAGAAATTTTAATTTATTTTTGTATCTTCATAAAAGATAAGTAGCTAGTAGCTAGCCAAGAACTAAACAGTGCCATATTATTAACTGAGAACATACAAACACTTGGAAATATTCAGCTGTTACAAATTGATATGCAAAAGGTCATCATTAATGTTGACTGTTACCAAAAACAACTGTTATGGTCACCCAGGTATACCTCTTTATTATTTTTATGAAAAATGAGAAGAATTACTTATTCTCTGGAAGGTAATTACTTCAATGCTTCATCAACACTAGATTCATGTAATACAGAAGACAGAGAACAAAATACAAAAGTGGTATCATTTGTAATTACAAGATAGTCTTACATGAAATACTGGTATTTCCTCGATGTACTCCTTACTAGTGGTTCCCTAACAAACATGGCCTACTGATATAAGATACACTTTTCTCAGACAGATTCTTGTTTATGCAATAGACATGCTAAAATATTTACTAGACATCTGCTTTGTACGAGAATATACAAGGAACTACTCAAGGTTCCACAGTATGTATATTGATATTTGGAAGCCCAAGTCATTTAAAATGTAATAATGTAGCCTGGTATTAAAGCAAAGAATTATTTGTGAAGCACACAAAATAAATGCTTCATAAACAATCGCTATTAAGATTATCATAGCAAAAACCACTCTTAATTTCTACTAATCTCCACCTAAAAATCACTAATAAATGAAATTTATGAATTTCAAAAAACAGGCCAATGGTTTTTAAATTGTGTCGTTACACCTCTCTAACCCCACAAAACTCAAGGCCTGCTGGAGCGGACAGAAGGAATTACTGGATTACTTGCATTTTCGATCTCTACTTCAACCAGAGTAGCTCTATCTTTATCTATTCCAGATACTACTGGGTTTCCACAGAAATGTTTTTGTAAAAGAAGAATTGCTCTACTTAAAAAGCAACATTTAAAAGCTGAAAACTTCTGACCTAGTCCAGTCTCTGCTAGAGGAGGCACCTGAAGTATAGATATTTACTACAGAGATTTATAATGGCGAACAACAGAGAGCTGTGCCTGGCTTTGTCCTAGATGGCTGAGGTTTGCAAAGCTGTTGAATTCCAGGAGGATGAGACATTACAGCATAATTCACAACTCTGTCCAAGTTCCTTCACACACTGCCAGGGTGAGAACTCAGGATTAAGGATCCCTGCTTCAGTGTTTTTTCTCCTGCGCGCCAAGGCCCTCTCTCAGTGAGGTGAGGTTTTTAGGGCTGTGGGATTCATGCTCCCCACCACACCACTGGTATCAGCATGCCTACTCTTCTAGAGTTACAAGAAAATGAGCAAACAAAAAGTCTTCTCAGACTGGATTCAAAACCATTATTTTAAAGTAAACTTGTAGTTATCAACCAGTTTTATTTTCTCTGAACTAGCCCAAGAAGAGAAATAGAAGACTAATGCCAACACAATTTCTTCCTCCATGGAACCTAGTACAAAGTAAATACTAAATGCAATTTGAAGAATGAGTGAAAAAGACTTGATGAACATGAAGTTCTGTTATGGTCTCACACCTCTGCATAAGCTGTTCCATTTTCTGTTGACTGCTTTTTCTTATTTTTTCTCTCCCCCAAAACTAAAAACACTTATCCATTCTTTATAATACCAGTGATTTAGCATTTTACTCGAGGAAATTTCCAAATCTTCTCCTGTTCTAACAGAGAATAGGGAAATAAGATCCTAAAAACCCAGGATGGTTAGAGATAAACAACTTGGGGTTAATGTCTTTGTAATTTATTCCTATGAATATTTAAGCACTACAACTTTTTATCTGTGCCTTCACCAGCGTGGACAGAAATGCCTGTTTCAGTGAGAGACAACAAACTTCACTGGAAGTTCAGAATGAACAGCACGTTTGCTATGGTACTGCGCTTGAGTGTGCTGTGACACTCTTACTGTGTAATTCAGTGTCCTGTGTTACTCACTGCCCCAACTGAGTGCCACCAGGCTGCTGTGGGTTTTTTCAGTTCTCAAATGTATTCTTGTAGTACTAAAGTTTCCTCCTCTACTACCAATTTTATCAGCTGCCCTTTGCTGCCGCAGTGTGCCCATAGGAGTAACTTCTAACTGTTGCTTCTACGGGCCTGAAAACCAGTACCTAAGCTGTTAGAATAAATGTTAACAAACTTTGAATAAGTCAGAGGTACCTCCTTTGAATACAATTCATGAACTTCACTGCACAGACTTATATTGGTGAGCTGATGAGAGGTTGTTCTGAATTGATGAGGCTGTCAAAACCAGTGTGTTCCAGGTAAATGAGACATTATTGCATAATTTATGAAATTACACAAGAGACATAATTATCTGCTACTAGGAACCCCATCTACTAAATATATTACCAATATTAAAACAAAACTTCTTAATGTGATTAAGATTTTGGTGATATAAGAGCCAAATGAATTACATTAAGAAAAGATTACCAATCATGATGATGATGGTAGTAATAATAGATAACTTTCAGTGAATGCATAATACGTGCCAGGCATTATTCTTGGTACTTGACAAGTAGTGAATACATGTAAATGAATAATCTCAAAGTAAAAACATTTTTAGAACTATTTGGCCCAACAAGAAACAACAAAAACAGGTCAAGAAATTTTTGCAGCAATCAAATACAATATTGCATATCTAAATTGTTTACTTTGACCAGCCTGCTACAATCTTTAGATATGGCACAGACATTCTCTAAATCAATGTTCCCCAACCTCTTTGGCCTCAGGGACCATTTTTTTCCATGGGGAGAGGGCAGGGGACATGGAGGTGGAGCTCAGGCAAGGAGCTTCCCTTGCAGCTAGGTTCCCAACAGGCCCCGGCCTGGGGGTTGGGGACCTGGGCCCTAAAGGTTCTTGAGCACAGGCCCATTGGTACTGCTGAATCCTGAGGGCCAAGTAATTCACCTAATGTTCATTAGGTTCCTACTTAATAATAACGGCTACTTAAACTAAAAAGAATTTCACTGAAATTCACAGGTATTTAAAAAAAAAAAAAAAAAAAAAAAAGGTCAACTTTCGGAGCCTTAAATTGACCTACCTGAAAAGGTTGTTTGTTATTGTAGGTCTTAAGCTCCTGATTCCCCCGACATGCTTCCTTTTAAAATCAATCCTTGCAGAAGCGAGAAATAAATAAAAAAAAGCTTGTGACTTATCTGTCCTTGCAAAGCATATATGTTTACTTTCAGGGCCTAAAGGAGTTTCTTTCCCCCCTCGCAGCTGCAAGAATCCATTTCAAATCATATCGGGTAACTAGGAGCTTATAGCCTACCATAGTAAACAATAGGTCAGTTCAGAGGCTTCTACATAGATGTAAGATCTGGCTATGCTTTACATTTAAGTCTGTTAAAATACAAACACTATTGCTCAGTTTTAAATATATATTTGCTCACCTGCTTGGTGTTAACCTGGACTCGAAGCTGTTGGCCTTCATGGTGATGGTATCAGTAAAAAGCACATCTTTTGCTGGAGATGCCAAAGCTTCAGAATGTGATAGAGATGGATGCATTCTCTGTTGCTGTAACCTTTTCAGTGTAGCATAGCCAAAGGCATCTCTAGAACTTGTGTAACTAAAGTTACAATCTGCTAGACTTTTAATTGTAGCGATAGAGGGCGCTTTAAGGGACTGTGCTCTTCTAGGAAGTGTATGAGAAGAACCCGGAGGCACCAGGGACACTGAGTTGGACTTGGAGAGAGAGAGATGGTTAGACTGTGGAGTCAAGTAGTGGCTTGTCTTAACAGTTTTCGTACTTACCACAGTACTCATACTTCCACAGTCTGTGTCCACAGTCGTAGCATCGACTCCTACTGTCTCTCGGGAAGGACTTGAGCTCATGGAACTTATCCCACTTGTTGTAGTGTCTGTGTTAAAACTTTGGCTACGTATCTTCATATGTGAACTCGTCGAACTTTCCACAACCAACCTTTCTCGGCTCGTGTTTTCTCTGTGATTCTCTGAACCAAGACTCTTGGTGAATTTTAAGTCATTCTCTCCAATACTTGGAGTACTACCAGTGTCTTCAATGTGCCTATGCCCAACGAAAGAAGTTTCTAATTGTAATGTTTTCTGTACTGTGGGTGTAAAATCGTCACTATGATTAAAGTCGACGCTGGGCTCCGTAAGCGTTCTGACCCGTCTGTTGCTTGTCTTATTTTCAGATGACATTTTCCCTCCTTTTGGGTCACTGCTGCTACGGTGTTTTTTATTAGGCAACGTCAGTGAATTTAAGATACGATTCTTCACAAGTTTGCTAGAAGCAAAGAAAGGGAATGAATTTTTATCCTTTACAGGTCCAGGCCGGTCATAGAAGGCTGGCTCTGCGTCTTCACTGATGTCGAGGAAGAACGTGCTCGTGGAGCTGCTGCCAAACCGGTCGTCCTCCATTATGAACATACCTGCGACCAAAGGACTGATTAATAAAGACACACAAAAAAGGCAAGCATAATCACGGTACCTAGCAGTGACATATTTCAAGAAATTTTAAAGTCATGAAGTAAGCACTGTCAAAAATGAAGGGATAAGTTGGTGAGCCACAGAAACAGAGCTTCCTTGACAGGGCTATTCCAGATGTCATCAGCTGAGACGAGGTCACTGGAGGAGGGTGGCCCTCCATCCAACATGACTGGTGTCTTTGTGAGAGGAGGGAACACTGTGAAGACAGACACACAGGGAGAACGCTATGTGATAACAAGGCAGAGATTTGAGTGAGGCAGCTGCAGGCTAAGAATGCCAAGGACTGCCAGCTATCACCAGAAGCTAGGAATAGGCAAGGAATGCTTCTTCCCAGAATTTCAGAGGATCCATGGCCTTGCTGACACCTTGCTTTCAGACTTCCCGCCTCCAGAACCATGAGAATTAACTTCTGTCTGGAGCCACTCAGTTTGTGGTACTCTGCTATGCCGTCCCTAGGAAACTAATACACTCAACCCCCTCAACCCCTGAAAGAATTTTGTTTTTTCCATTATATCTGTTACTACAAAAAAACCTGTGCTCAATTAAAAAATATTGTTGGGGGAGAAACAGAGCTTCCTTGAGGCCCAGAGTTTGGGCTTAAATAAAATGTAAAATTATGTCATTATGAGGTTCTCCTGTTATTTCCAAAGGAAAACTATAGGGTTGCTCATGGTACAGCCTACATGAAGTTTCTTCTCATTATTCCAGAGTGTTTCCAAAATCTCCAGATATTCAGGATAAAATTAAAGAGAAAAAAATAAAAAGGACTTGACCATGGATGTTCACTTAATTGGTACAGATTCTTGATGGTTTATTCTTCAAATCACAATAGGCAGGAGAAATTAACCTTATAATAAACTCCTAGTCTTAAAACAAAGTACATTTAGAAAGAATCAAGTCAAAACATTGTAAATTCACATTTAAACCAATTATGCTTATTTCTCATTTGCCTGAGGTACTAAGACACTCATCTAAATTTAGTGCTTAACTCTTTAAAGACTCAAACCCATAGGCTAAATGACATCTATAGGATTTTATTTTATTTCTATGTTTAACTATTCTATTGAAGAATTATAAAATACTTCAAATGTATTTTGAAAGGCAAAAATGAAATTGCAAATGAACTCGCATATTACACTATTATTTCCATATTGTCCATTCTATCTACATTTTTCACACTTAATATCTCTAAAATCAGGATGCATCTTGCAATCGGGGATATGTCCTATGTTAATAAGCAGCATTTTTTCCCCTTCTTTTTTAGTGGTATAAAAATACTGGTACATCTCATAATTCATGGTACCTTAGATCTGGTGAAATATGGGTTGATAAATGTTGTACTATCTTCTTTTAAAAAAGTCTTAACTTTTATACACATAATGACTTTAGCATAGGGCTTAAAATCACAAACCATTTTTTATTTAACTGATTTTTGACATCATTTAAGTTTCACGGTTCAATTTTAAAATTTAGCTCTTTTCTTAAAAATGAACATGTGAATCTATCTTTTAATAAACATATTCTGAGTCAACAATCTGTGTATCTGAAAAATAAATTAAGAAGTCAGGCAAATAAACATTTATTTGTTACATTACATGACAAGCAAAAACAAGCAATGGTTCTTTTGGCATATGACTTATTATTTAACTCGGAAAGTAGGACTTCCCAAAGGCTATTCAGAAAGCAAAGGGAGGGAACAGTGCAGGTTGTGGCTATATGTTATATTGTGAAAAAATATGCATTTTCCAAGAGGCTATTATTTCCAAATCATCTTAGAAAAGGTAAATTAGGAGTATGACAAATGCATGCAAATTTTGGTGACATGAATACAAATGCTAACATTGGCTTAACTTTACGTAACTTGGTCACAATACTCACTTGAGGGTGCAGATTCACTCTCACTATTATGTCTAGAGCTGGTTGACTCCGAGTTCAAACTTAAGGTGCTGGGTATAGATGAGAGCTCATTACAGAGTTGTTCTACATCATCTGGAACCACTGGCCACAGGTGTTTTCGGCTGTGCCTTACAGCATCCCAGTTGTGACATTTTAGAATGTCACAGCCTTGTTTGGTTTTGGCTATGAGCCCAAGAACATATACACAGGTCCTGTACATAGAAGATGCAGTAATGACCATTTAAAACTCCAAAATGAGATTTCTTAAAGCAATAAAAAAATACTAGTTGCTGGTATGCACATTTGATTTTTCTTTGAAGCTATTAAAGTTGTTAAGATCATGGGACAATGTATTAAAACGAGTCAGGGGTAAATTAGAAGTAATAAATGACAAGAAAACCTTCCTAATAAAAATATTAATCACAGTGAAATAATTTAAAAGAACATAATGCAATCTTAGAACAAAACATGTATTAGCTATTTGTCTTAAGGAATAAATTTGGAATATTTAGGTTACTGGAATATTTTGGCAAACGCTATAGTTCACTGTTTATTTGTAAGGTAAACTTCAATATTACAATGGGAAAAGCAGAATAATAACATTAAATGAGGACGTCCCTGAGATGCTTAACTTCATGAACTGTCAGTTCTAATGGACGACTCTGGATCATGAAATACTCTTCCCTTACACCCGCCTGTGTGCAACAGTATGTCATATACTAGGAAGACTTCTGAGTCAAGTGACATACCCTCTGATGGAAAGAACCTCACACTGTTTTGCAAGTTTGAGTATATCTGGAATTACGTTTTCTTCCTGCAGCAAATTGAGGCCCCAATTTGAGGAGCCAATATTTCCCTGAAAGAAAAGAAATAACTTTTATCCAATCTCATACAATAATAACTCTTTCAAAAGACTTGGAAAGCTAGCTAAAAAAGGATAATTTTAATCCCATCTATGAGAAAAATAAAATGTGAAATAAATCTTAAATAAGAAACTTTAGGAATTAATGTTCCATTTGCCTTAGCAAGAAAACTAATAATTTAATCATCTATTTTCCAGTTTAAATAATATTTAGCCCAGGCTAGTGTGGCTTAGTGGAATGAGCACCAGCCTGTAAACCAAAAGGTCGCCAGCTCGATTCCCAGTCAGGGCATGGGCCAGGCCCCCAGTTGGAGGTATGCAAGAGGCAGTGGATCGATGTATCTCTCACACATCAGTGCTTTTTTCCCTCTCTTTCTTCCTCCCTTTCCCCTCTCTAAATAAATGAATGAATAAAATCTTTAAAAAAATAATATTTAAATGGTCAAGAACAATCTTAGTCTCTGAATATTAATCTAGAACAAGTTCCAAATTAAATGATTTTTATTTACTTAATATTAATGGGAAAATTAGAAAAATAAAAAAATAACAAAGGTCTTATAGAAATGTTTATTACAAACCAAGGCCCAAAGAGATGCTTTCAGTTTTTTCATTTCTTCCCATTTATCCAAATCTGGTGTACGAACATTGTGACAGAGTTCTGTAATAATATTCTGGAGAAAGAAAGAAAAAAAATATGAGGATCAACTGTTTTTAATGTATTTTATTATATCTTAGGACCTTATTTAAGGTTTGCCTTTAGTATAGTCTGCATATTTAAAATTCTAAAATAATTTCATGTAAAATATCTTGAGAAGCACCACTGACTCTTAGCTAATATTCTAGAATTAGTACTTATTAGCTACATGGTCTTAAGAAGTTACTCAATCTCCCCATGCCTTGATTTCCCAATCTCTAAAATATGAATAATAACAGCACCTATCTCATGAGGTTTGATTTAATGAATCATTACCTATAAAGTGCTTAAAAATGTACTTAATACTTAGTATTATAAAAATGTTAGTCAAAATTATCATTATTTATTTTAAATGTAAAATAATACACTAATGCCAAGATTGTATCATACTATGTAAGTAAAGACACACTGAGCAAATTGAGTTTACTTAAATTTTTAGTAAACTTTTAAAAAACTGGTATAAAGATATGTACCCCAGTAGTCTTTGTAACATAATATAGAAATACAGGATGGGCAAAAGTAGGTTTACAGTTGTAATACAAATAATTAGTATAGTAATAGTAATACAAGAAAATCTGTGTTTCACATACTCACAACTATAAACCTACTTTTGCCCAGCCCATGTATGAAACTATAGAGAATATTTATGCAAATCTTTTGTACTGAGATGAACACCAACACGAGAAGGAACTAAACGGCTCTATTACACACAAACACTCCTATCACTATTTCTAACAGGAGAAAAAGGTGACGTTTATTGAAAACACCTAGTTGTAAGACACATTCACAGCCATAAACCTGGCATGCATACTAGACTCAAAGATCTGCTGGCTTCAGCCTTTACATTCTGTGAAGTATAAGACAATAGTGAGACACTAACAAAGGGCAACTTACACTTTGCTAGTCACCCAAGATAACTGAATTTGTATCAGTTATTCAGATAAACTTTCCATTAACAGGAGTGAAGAAACCCAGTTCTTTAGTCATGTTTTTACTAAGGAGATGAACTTTCCCAATATACTCTAAAGGAAAAAACTCAGACCTTCACTGGGTTACAGGCTTTATGTAACCAATAAGCTTAAAAAAGGTGACACATATATCAAGGAAATGCATGCAAGCTAGTAATACAACTAAGGATTACCCACAAAGATGCCAAAGTCAATTACAAGATGGACACTTTAAAAGCAATTTTGCCACTGGCTTTTGAGAAGTTTTCGCAAAAATAATACTTCAATAGTATTAAGATTTTTTCTATTATTGTAGCTATTTAAAATAAGCAAATTATGTTTTTACCTGTACTTCCAACAAATGGCAGCCTGTTTTGTGGTGTACCAGTTGTCCATAAAGGTGCACAGGCAGGTAGACATGAGGACGCTGTAATCTAGTATAATGAAGTTGATTGATATACTTATTGGCTCAGTTTAAATATGTCAATTAAAACAATTACTAGTAACAAGGTACTAGGTAAATAGAATTATGATATATAACCCCCCCAGCATAAATAAAAATATGGAAGCAGAAAGACATGAGGATTTCTCTAGAAAGATAACAGTTTATAACAGGTCCAGAGTTATAGCAGGGGAGCTAAGACTAGTAACAGCAGGGAGGGCATCTGAATGCTATGCCTGTAAGGGTATTCTCAGTACACTATGGATGCCACTGAATTTTTGAGCAATCTATTCTGTCCTTTGGAAAAATTTTTCCTTTTTCAGTATAAGAAACAGAATATCCAAGTATTCAGAAAACTTTAGAAATAACTTATTACAAACCAGCTTTAAATTTTTTATTTGAGGACCAACAATAAGTTATTCCATTAACTGGATGGTACCTTTGGTTACTCCGACGAACATAGTTATCACCATCAATTGGCTTCCGGTAAGTAGTAAGTGCTTCGTTAAGTTGTTCCTCAATCAAGTCAACATATTTTAAATTATATTCCTGGAAGATAATGTTATTTTAATTGTATATGGTACTATAAATTCACTAACTTCATAATATGTTAGGCACCTAGCAAATCTTACAACATAAATATGAGAAAAATAAGTATCTGTTTAGGAAGTTTAAGAAATTTCTGAGAAGGGCAGACAAGGTACTATGAATGCAAATGTTCTAGCACACCCAAAATATTTCTGCTTATACTCCCCACCCTCACTTTAGATGGAGCCCACAGAAGTTAATCATTTTGTTTTCCATCTTACTTGAATCCCGTTTCCCATAAAAACAAAAAACTAGCTTCTTAATATTAAGCACTGAAGATATTCACAGGAAATTTTAAGAAGGAAACTAACTGAGTTCTGTCATTTGAGCACCTCTGGTAAGAAATAATATATTTCCCCGCTGATGTAAATCAGGTCAGAGTAAAAAACGTTTCCAACCAAAACACAGGAAACATTTGGTCGACCACGCTGCCTTCTTCACTGCAAACGATCTTCACTTCCGAGTGCTTGGAAGGGATTGGTAGGGCCTCTTCAGAAAGCAGTTTAGCAGTTATTTATCAAAATTTTAAATTCATGTATGTTCTGACCCCACAATTATACTTTTAGAAATTTATCCAATAGACGTACTTGAGATGTATGGAAAGATATGTATGCAAGAATATCCAGCAAACACGGTTTATAAAATTAAAAAGTTGGAAACAATACAAATACCCATCAACACAAGAGTAGCTATAAAAATTAAGGTACATTCATACAATAATGTACTACGTAGGCATTAAAGAGAATGAGATGACCTAAATTTCCATAGAATATACACAAAATCAATAGTTCACTATTAAATAACTATAGTTTAAGAAAGAACAAATATAAATACAATTATGTAGAATTCAAGACTTCATATAAAATTTAAATATTTAACATCTTAAGTTTCAAAATATCGATGATGTAATAAATCCTCCAAATTCACAAATCTCTCTCTCAAGATAACAAATTGAATGTTATTCAATAGAAAGTTACCTTGTGCCACTTTTCCAGTTGTTTTGCTACATAACCCCTTTCATTCAGATAGGAAAACCCTTTTGGAATGGAGAGAAATCTAAAAATAAAAACAATTATAGTTTAACATTGGGTATGACAAAAATGTTAAAGACTAAAATATCTCAAATAAAAAATATGTTTAAGGAGTGAAAAGACTTTAGGAACAGCTCCTTCCTAAAACAAAAAGGTCAACTATTATTTACTGTAACTTCAATTACAAATACATTTTCACAATCTTTCCAAAAAACACTTGAATCCAGTCACAGTCTAGAAAATGCTCTGAGGCTCCTGAGATACAGAAATATACGAGAAACACTAGGTAGTTAAAGGAGTCCAGGTTCTAACGTGGACCCCTGGCAGAACTTAACAGCTAAACTCCCAAGGGCGCTTCTTCCTCAGGCTGGAATCCAGCCTGAACACATGCTACAGAGAGAGCACACCAGAAAGCATCACCGTAAGAAAAATTTACTTGAAATTTACCTCAGAAGGAGAAGCAAACCTTTGTCCCCAAGGTGGGATAAAGCTGGCTTCATTTGAATAAGAGCATGAAGATTGGCCTAAAATAAATAATTATTAGGTAAATTAACAATTTTACCTAGATAGTAACAAGATAGTACAAGATAGTAAATTCTCTATTTTCAAAATACCCATAACATGTACATTATAATTTCTTGCAGTTTTCCATTAAAACTGAACACTTAATAAAAACTGATGCGTGCATATTGTGTTAGAAAATCATGAGCCATCACCTTGTCTTCACATGCTTCATCAAGGATATCGAGAGCTTCAGAAGAAATTGTTTTGTTTTTATCATGTAGCTGGGTCACTAGTAATTCAATTCCCCAATTATTGAAGAATTCAACATTGGCTCTCAATAATACTCTTAAGTGTTTTGTTGCATACAGCCTGCAGGCCTATAAAGACAAATGAACATGTTAATAAAAAACCCCACGAACTTCATCACAAATAACCATTTTACTCTGTTTTGGGACAGTTTTGCAACTTGAAAAGGGAGAAAAATTGGAATTGATGAATACTTTGTATGAATACTTTTTTTAGTGCTAGTAAAATAAAATACTTCTGTTTCTATCTAGCTGTTTCTTCCCCTTTATATAAAAATATGAATTCTATATGGAGTTCTTTTGAGGAACTGAAATTTTATAGTAAGCTCAAATTCCATCCCATATTCTTATAATTTATAATTAATTTTACCTGGCTGAAATCCATAAAATAAGGAATTACCTGGTTATAAAAAATACAGTATTTTACTGCTGTTACACTCACATCAGTGGCTGCTGTGAGGACTTTGGAAAGGATGACTCTGGCCAACCCATCTCTGCTGTAGTCCAAGCTGGAAACAGTCAGTTTTAGCAAGTGATCTTGGTTTTTCAAGGAGCAAAGGTTAAGAAGACTAAAAATTCAGAAAGAAAATAATGAAGATTATTAGACTGTATCAAGCTGTTAATTCGCTAAATATTTTTAAATTCCTAATATAAGCAGGCACTTCTAAAAGAAAGCATTTAATGACAAAAAATAGAACCACGGCTGCTGTTGGTGTTCACAAGTTCTTTCTCTTTTTCTCTGTTTGCTTGCTTGATCCCTCCTTCCTCCCAAATGCCCCCCAGAGCTGTCAGTCTGCTTTCTATCTAGGAAAGATAGAAAGTTCTTTCTTTCTCTCTTTCTGTTTGGCTTGTGGTTCAGTTCCTTCATTAGATTCCACATATAAGTGAAAGCATATGGCACCTGACTTTCTCTGACTAGTTCATCTCACTTAGCATAATGTTCTCCAGGTCCAACCATGTTGTTGCAGAGGACTTGTGGACACAGACAACTGTATGGTGACTGCAAGGGGAAGGAGGGGAGGTACAAGAAAGTACAGGGAGGACAAATGGTATTGGAAAATACAGTAAGAGGAGGACTCACGGACATGGACAACAGTGTGGTGATTGTGGGAGGGTATATGTGGGATAAATGGTAATGGAAAAAATGCAATAAAATAAAAAACAAAAACAAATAATGTAAAAATAAATAAAATAAACCAATAAATTGAATTAATACCCAACACTGATGCTAAACCTTTGGTCAAACACACAAAATAATGTTTTTCATTAAACTAGTCCTTTTTTTATGATTACCATTTATCCTTTAATAGTCATATTTGTTATTAAATTACATATTTCATTAAAAAAACTGTAGGGATGCTCACCATTGAAATACACTGCATTTTTCCAGCATTTTGACTCCATGAGGATGGCAAGAAAGTGTTCCAATAAATAAAAAGTAGTGTTGACTAAGGGTAGTCAATAAACCATTGTTTTGAAGACTTCTTTCAGGTTTCATACCAGATGAGGCATTGAGCCACTGAACAATATCCTTTACTAGATCTTCTAAGTATCCTTGCCCATCCTGAAAGCAAATACATTGTCACAGTGTTAGAAAAGCGCTCAGTACCTATAATTAGAAAAATTAACTTCAATCAAGTCCACAAAATGTAATAATGATGAAGTTACTAGTAACAGATTGAGTCACTGAGTACCTGCTGTTTTTAATCCCATCAGACACAATGCTGCATGGAGATGGTGTTACTTTCCATTCAATAAGGAGAAAACCAGGTGTTCCAGGAGGCAAATTACTTGCCCAAAGTCACAAAAGTAGCAGGATTCAAATCTAGGTCTGCTCATTCCCTATGTTTCTAAATATAGTTTATGCATATTCAGAAATAAAAGGGAGAAAACTTAATGAAAAAGATCTGCTCTGGAAAATACTCAAAGTGCTTATTACCTCTTCAGACTCAAGAAGAAATTCGGTGAAGTGGCAGCCCACAACTGTCAGTTGCTTTGACTTGGCAAAGTCCAGGTCCAGGTTGGCGTATAATTTACTGCTGGGCTTGTAAAAATAAAGCAGTCTTCGTACAAACCTAAGATCCAAATAAAATTAGAAGCAAAGAAACCAAACAATTACTTTAGAATCTTAACCATACCTTAAGGAATAATAAAGTTTTGAATGTTTTAGGTCTAAACCATTGAGGTAAGTGGCAAGAAATTTAACACACACACAGAACACAAAACAAAAATCTCCTCAAACCCCTTCATTTTAAAGAATATTTGTGTAAAATAAGAATTTTACAGTGAGATGATGCCTGAAATAAATTGTGGAGAATAAAGGTGCTAGCGGGAAAATGCAGATACAAGATAGCGGAAGATACGGTTAGATACATATGAGAAAGTCATCTGGACATAAATTTTCTTCTGTTATACTTTATAAAAAACTTTATACCAGGACTCCATAAAATAATCTTATTCTAGATAACTGTAAGCATGTTACCACACTATAATTATCTTTTTTGTTTTCATAATTGGGCAAAAAGCCAAGTATAAAAACTGCAGGTAAATTTTGGGCACCTTAATTTATGAAGCAATGAACATCATTTGTGGTATTTCAATGTTATAGTTTTCAACATCTAAGTTTCCATTTAATTCAGTTCAACTTAGTTTCATTCACTATGACCCAATCTAATAAAGGTGCCAGTGAGAGAGAAGCTGGAGAAACACAAGTGAACGAGACTTCGTCTCTGCTCTCAAGGAGTACAGAAGTCAGTGCTGTGCTTCTTTAGCCCTATGTAATTTATGTGATCTATATAATTCTCCAATTTCAATGTAGATCTTAAGTCAAATATCATGAGTTGATGAATACAATCAAAACCATGATGTATCCCTGGGTTGCGTGGCTGAGTGGACTGAACACTGGCCTGCAAACCAAAGGGCCATGGGTTCGATTCCCAGTCAGGGCGCATGCCTGAGTTGTGGGCCAGGTTCCCAGGAGGGGGCGCGTGAGAGGCAACCACACACTGATGTTTCTTTCCCTCTCTTTCTCCCTCCCTTCCTTTCTAAAACTAACTAAATAAAATCTTTAAAAAATCAAAAAACATAAAAATCATGAAGTAAAGGCCCTCTTTACTTCTCCAAGGAGATCAGTACTGGTGGTTGGTTACCCAACTCAGATGCAGTAAAATGCATAAAAGCTTGAAGTGCTGTATTTGTTATGAGTATTAGCATGTTTTGTGGAAAGTGTGGAGCATGAACTGAAGGTGAGTGCGAAGAGGAGGAAGAATGGCTAACCCTTCAAAACCAGATGCAAATGGAAGCAGAAGCAGACTACTGCTAGTGGCCATCATTTTGGGAGGGAACATGTCCTTACTCCGCCATTCGCACACACTAGGGTAAGGTCACTACAGGGTTGCTAGTGCCCAATTTGAGAAACTTTTACCTCAAGCACTTCATTTGTTCCAAAACTAAATAACAACTGGAAAGAGAACGAACTAATACTTTCTGGTTATAAAATAAGACTACACATAAAATTGTATAAAAAGATGGCCTAGGACTAACAATTTTTCAACTTTACAATGGTGCGAGACAGATAAGCATTCAGCAGAACCTGCACTTTAAGTTCTGAACGGCGAACTGTCCCCAGGCTGGGGACATGCAGCACAACACTCCCTTGTGACGCTGGGCGGCGGCAGCAGGCCGCAGCTCCCGGGCAGGTATGTGGTCACCGGGGCAGACGACTGACACTCCACAGTGCGCTGCGTTGCCCGAGTTTCTGTACATTGTGTTCTGAGCAAGTCTGAGGTAGGCTAAGGTATGATGTTCAGTAAGTTAGGTCCATTAAATGAATTTTCGTCTTTCAACGTATGATTTTATAGGTTTATAGGGATGTAACCCCACCATGAGTCAAGGAGCATCTGTGTTTATGTGTAGAGTACCAACTATTACAATGTATGTATGTATGTATGTATCTTTAAAGCACTGATTAACAGATTAGGTATAATTCCAAGCTAAGTCTTTACATTTAAAAAGCAAAATAGTTCTTACATACCTGTGTAACTGTTCATCTTTATAGTTTCTTAGGTTTACATTTGGCCACTAGAAAAACATAATATTTATATTGTAAATGTATTTACCAACGTCAAACAAAACTATGATGAATTAAAGTGAACAATAAAATGAAGATGATCAAGTCATTACCAAGAAGCACCTTGTCATACCTTAAGAATGGTCCCTATAAGATTCCAATTCCATTCAAGATTCTCTTTATGTTGAAGGACTTGGCTATCTCTAAGGTTCATTAAAAGAGCTTCCTCTGTATCCTAAAATCATCAGAAAGTAATAAGGAAAATTAAGGCAAACTGTCTCAAATCAGAAAACTATGCTTAAATTTTAAAAACAAAAGAGAACATTTTTCATTTAATAATGGATTATCAAAATTTTAACTTTAAAAGTTACAAAGACACAGTTCTAAACTGCCTAGTCTGCCTAATCATTACAAAACTTGGAAGCCATCTGAAAATCCATATGCATGAATAAAACTGAAAAGTCAAGTAAGTATATGCATACTAAAATCCAAGCAAGTATGTGCATACTTAAGAAACCAAGTTAAAAATTGCAATTTTGTGTCAGTACCTTAAGAACAAATATATCCTTCTGAACTCGGAGATACTGATCCCGTTTCTGGTGTGTTACAATTGCTTTCTGAATAATGTGGTCTAAGTGAAGGCTGTAAGGTTTAGGTCCTCGTTTCTTCATTTCATGGAAGCGTTTTAAACAGTTCAAGGCTGCACTGGCTCGCCTAATGAGAAAAAATTTCAATCAGTAAGTACTGCAGTAAGCTAGCATAATTTTAAAGAGATCACTTTGGTAAATTACTCTATTAAAACTTGCATAAATTCAAGTATAGGGATTGTCACTAAAAAGTAAATTATTTAATCAAATATGGAACCACAAAGAAAAAGAAATTAAGAACACTGCTCAAATGTATGAAGAAATTCATGGCCATAAACTGACCCAGTAAATTTAAGTCTACCAAGCTCTGGGAAAGTGTATTTTTCCTTATGAAATTACTGACATAAAAGCTGAAAGTTACCATCACTAAGGTAAGCCTGGAGTTAGGACTGAGAGGGCCCATAAGGCCCTCGGTTTATAATACATCAGCTTGTTAAACAACAGTATTTTCATTGACAGAATTAAATTAAGTAGAATATTACTATGAACTGTTAACAAAAATTCATAGTTTTGAACAGCTAATGAACTATATTTTACTATCATTACAAAAATATGAGGTCCAAAAATACAGATTTTTATTATCACACCTGAAAAACAGATGCCCCTGGCCTAGACGTAATCTTTACCAAATGAAAAGATTCCTGCTAGCCCTTCCCAATCAAGCTCCTCTACCTTTACCCTACATATTATATTTTGTTATTAGAACTGGAATTCCAGCAAAGCAATAGCTATATTACCAAACCTTTGTTTATAGATTCTGTATTTGCAATATTTCTTTCAGAGTTTAGCTTACTTCAATGCCTATAGTATGGGCTATGAAATTCCAACATTAATTTTAACCCCACGTATAAAGGAAAACACTGTTAATCTTTGTGCTTTATTCACTTGAAATAATTTAAACATTAAAAACAAGCCCTAATTGCTGCTTGAAACATAAAATAGTCCCAAAATCTCACAACCAACATTTTTATTAATCTGGTAGAAAGTTGATGCCCTTGTCCAGAAACATGCTAGAAAGAATTGATTTTACCAAGCTCTAATACTTTGTGGCCTAAAATACAAATAATAAAAAATGAAACTATTAATTTTCCTCCTATCTGTACGGTTTCCATAGAACTTCCAAGCATAGCCCATTCATACTACTTTTTAAAAAGAAGAGAGGGTTAACTAATTGGGTATTAAAGATACCTAGCAAAAACTTTCCTAGAACTCTGATACTTACACTCTTTTCTCCTTGGGGATATCAAAGGAGGCTGCCATATTCATTAGGGTTGGCAGGCAGTGCAAATGATGGCTATGTGAATGAGGAAGAATTGTGTTTGCCTAAAAGGAAACAACATTTTTGAGAGCAGAGAAATATTTTATGTTCTAGACTATCTGTAGATATAATAAAAAGACTAAGGTTTTACTCATGAAATTAACCATGATTTACTTTACAATACATATTTATTTATAAGTTTATCTTATTTTCCACAAAGGGATATAACAAATATAGACTCACATTAATAATACTAAATCTCACACATAGTTCGTTATAACATTAAATTGTAATTTTTAAGTGGTACATAATTAAACTCAATCTTTAAATGATTTCAAAAAACAATACAACAAAACAGATCCAGAGCTATAATTTACATTAAAAGTAATATATAAAATGCTAGATGCAGTATCTTATGAATTGACTTCTTAGGTTTTAAAAACCACTTACTCAAAACAGGTTTTCCTCATATTCTGATATTTAAAATAAGAAACTTATTAACTCCTGCTTTCCAAATAAAATTCTACCACTCAATCTGCTTTTATCAATGAAGATAACTAAATTAATTAAATGTGGAAGCCAGAAGATGTAAGAGTAATAAGTAATGAACAAACACCACTGTACTACTCAACAGCACTTTTATATTTCACGAGAATCATAGAATTCTGGTGTGTAGGTGAAAAGAAAAAAAGTGATTCATTTCTATAAAATTAAATAGTTCTGGATATTAATATGCTTATAGGAAATGATATTTTAAGGACAGAAATCAAAATAATCAAACCTGAGAACCTGCAATATTACTTAATTCCTTCATAGATTCACTGAAGGAGAAGAGAGCAAGTGGCTAAATAATTTATTGATAAACAAGACAGTTATCATTAAACTCTGTTTACTTCTCTTTCCTTCACTCACACAGCTGAGCTGCTACATGGGGAAAAAAACCTCAAAATAAAACAACAACAACTGGGGAAGTAGGGTGCTAAAACAATAACTAAAACAAATACTCTGCCAATAATAGCAAGATGTAGTATAATTTTAAAAGATTTGCCACGGGGCTACTTCTTCCTTACTGAGTTTAAAATAGTTCTTTTTACTTAGCATTTTATTAACTAAGAGGTAACCTAACAAATATAAACTTCTATCTTATAAGCAAAGCTTCCTCATTGTTTGATTTACTGGGAGTAAAGAATGATCAGATCACTTTCCTAGCTCCTTGTTTTCAGACAGTATTGATGTCACAAAATCACGGCAAAAACAAAACAAAACAAGACAAAAACAAAAAAAAGCCCCAGAAAACAAAGATGCCCACCCCATGAACCTCAACAGGTACGTTTACAGAGGTGACTGTGTTCGAACAAGGCAAGTATAATTTGAACTTCTGCACAAAGTTCTCTAAAACTCAGGCACTGACTGCCATACTCCATTCCTAGCTGACTGAAGTAGTATCTGTAGTTTTATAATTCCTTAGAAAGTCTTTCTAAGAGAGATTAAGATTTAAAAGACTCAAACTGTCAGCATTGAAAGTTAGTGCAAAAATCCTTATTTGGTACTTTGTACTTTTTATGTTTGTTTCATTTCTAAAACTAGCCAATATATATCAAGATATAAGACATCAAGGGTTCTTTGCAACGAAAAGATGTATGTCTGAAAACATGTATTTATTCTTTGAGAGAATACAAAGTAACATTGTTAACATAACCTATTTCCTAAGTTAAAATATGAATGACATCAGACGCCATCAGGAGCTGGCCGGCTCACCATGTGTAAAAGCTCCCCAAGAAGGATGGTGGCTCTCACTGAGATAAGGTCCTCACTGTTCGTTATCACTTCAACCAAACCCTTGGAAAAGAAGAAGAAATACCACAGTCACAAAACAGTATACACAAACACATTTACACAAATGTCTGTTGCTCTGAAAGAATTCTGTTAGAGAAAATATATAAAATCGAATAAAATGGGGTTTGTAAGTCTTACCTCTAAAAGTCCATTACGAATGAATGCGGAAAGTATCAATGCCAAATAATTATCCATGAGGTCTGGCCTGTAATAAACACCGCACAGAAACAACTTAAACAATATTCCATATATTATATAATTTAACATAAAAACAGTAGCTGTAATAAAGCTGAACCATTTATGTATCTAAATTCTACCTGGATCTGGCACGATGAGGAAGAATAGTTTTTGCCTCAGCTGCTACAAAGCCATCTGAAAGCCTCCAGCTGTCTTGGAATCTACCTGGATCTAAAATAGTTAAAGGTAGGTAGGTAGAAGATAATTAGATGTTACTGAAACACTTAGATAAGTGTATATAACTACCAGCTAGCCAGGCTATAAATAATCTTTTTAAATACTAGTTAGAAAAAAAATAGATTAAAAAATACATACAGAAAAAAATGATTTATGTAAATATATACAAATCTAACTTTATTTTGGGACTTTGGGGTCATTTCACTAAAAGAAAAAAAGACAAGAATTAGATTATCTAATCTGAGAATTATGCAAATTTCTTATTGTCTCCTCTTTCGTCCTTGGTCCATCTTTCTATTATTTTCATTGCTTATTTGAAAGAGATAGGGTGACAAAGAAGAAATTAATTTTATTTTTAGAAATCTAGTGCAGTTTTTATTTCTATATTAATTTCATGCCACTATGATGCAATAATAAAAGAAAATCATATTCAATATGTAGTTCAGTATTTTTCCTTTAAGGGAATGTGTCTCACTCAATTAGGTATGCCATTTTAAAAATGACAACATTTGAACAGATGCAAATACACTTAGCACTTACCTACACTGAGCAGCGCTTCTATGAACTCTTCAGTCACAGCAGGTAGAGGAAGGCGAAATATATCATAAAGCACTTCAAGCAGACCTCGCTACAAGTGCAAATAAATAAGTTCGTTTACTTTTCTGGAAAAAATATTTGCTGAAAGATGCTATGAATATCTTATTCATAGAATTAAAAATTGAAAAAACAGACTAATACATATTTCTGAGCTACGCTCAATAAAAATTAATTACTAAATGCTTACTACATACATGATTTAATCTTTTCAATAAGTCTTTAGTAACCTCATTGTACATGTGAAGAAACAGATTTAAAGGTTAAAAGTAATATGCCCAAGGTCACAGAACTATAAATAATAAAACTAGTCAAACCTCAGTCAGTCAGATTCCAAAGGCCACGTTATTTCATCATCTCCTGAGTAATAAGTCAATCAAACCGCCTCAACCTCTAGTTGCTGGATTCTCAATCTTTCCACCTATAACCACAACCTTCCATTTTCATTGTCTAAATGCTTTTTAGTTTACACTTTAAGTGAGGCACCCCTGGCTAATATTTTCTAATAATATTGCTCAACTCTAAATTTGGTTTATATAAACAAAAGAAAAAATTTTTTTCTTTTGAACAAAATTAAAACACACTGAAGGGGGAAAGAAAAAGTTAATTTTCCCCTCCAATTTCCATTTGGTAATTTGTTTTGGCTGTAAAATATGAATTCTTATACATTAAAAATTTATGAATACATCTAATAAACAAGCATGTATGTACATATAGTCTGTCCAGAAGGTATCCAGCCTCATAATACGAAAATGAGACATTTATTGAGGAAGACACAAGAAATATTATACACAGGACAATGACGCTTCAGTCCCCTTCAGACAGGCACCTTGGGACCTCACACAGTTCTCCCAGTCACCATCAGCTGCCCAGTCATATATTCCTGAATCTTATCAACAGTTTAAAACCTCTTCCCTCTCAAAGGACATTTTAGTTTTGGGAAAAGCCAGAAGTCGCAGGGTACCAAATCTGGGCTAAAGAGGGGCTGAGTCACCTGGGTGATTTGATGTTTCACCAAAAAAACTCTGCACAAAATATGATGCATTCGCAGGCACACTGTCTGTGATGGTGCTGCCAATCACCAGCTGCCCATACCTGCAGCCTTCTGAATCATCCGAATAGTTTCTGCAGAGGCATGTTCAAACTTAAGGCAAAATCTGAGGCAGATTCGTTGCTCTACTCGCTCAGTCATTTTGAATGCAATGGCCACACAGTACACGTGCTCACTCAGCAGCATCTACCGCCCCCACTGACTAGTGCAGTGAAGTCACCATTGTTCTTCTGGGTTGTCAGGTTACACACGTCGCGCAAACTGTTCTTGTTATATTAACACGGGCTGGAATTTTTCCGGACAGACTACACACACACACACACACACACACACACACACACACACACACACGTATATACACACACTCAAGAACATACGTATATACACAAACCAATTTTAATCAAAACCACTTATATTATAAAACCATGTTAAAAGCCTGAAGATGCATAAATATCAGTTACTTTTTCCTAAATATAATTCTGTATTGCTTGAACCTTTTACAATGAGAATGCCTTTCTGTATTGTTTGCATATTTAAAGAATAAAGCATAATTAACTTCATATTTTTATCTAAATTTAGTACAGCCACAGTTCCTAACAGCAGTATTTCTAATGATTCATATTATCCTTAAGATTCAACTAAGTTGTAAATATTTATTTATGTATTTTCTAAATGCTCTATGATATAGATTAGCAATTCATGAGGAAAAGGCATCATCTGAAATAAGCTTTTTATAATCAGCATTACTTTTACCTACCCTTATTTCCATATTTGGTATGCAAAGTACTCCAATTAAAGACTGAATGCCAGAGTTTCCAGGTTTACATAAATTAATAATACCTACAGAAAATAAAAAAAAATCATTGACTAGAATTTCAAAATTTTTTTTAGTAATATATCCATAATATAAAAATCTGTAGTGTTTTTCCAAGCTAAACTATAATATTGTATTATTTGGGTATCACAAGTGATAGTATATTTCAAACATTCTCTGAATTGCCTACTGATTAGAGATTACCAGTAATTTTATGTCCTTCTTCTATCTGTTTCACACCCCCAAAAGTTTATAGTATCTGACTGCTTACGACTCCCATTTATTGATGAGTGATTCTCAGGAAATAAAAATATTGGAGAGAGTAAGACAATGGTCTTTCTCCCTTATTTAATGCATTCTTAAACTAAAGTGAAAAAGTCTTCTTGGCATTAGTCTTTTAAAAGTTTAGATAACCAACCTATCAGATGCAGAGTTCAAAACACTGGTGATCAGAAAGCACAAAGAACTCACTGAACACAGCAAAAACATTAAGGGATAAAATGAAGGTTACACTAAATGAAATAAAGAGAAAGCATTCAATTAGAACAGCAGGAAGAAAAAAGAATTAAAAAAAGTGAGGAGAGGCTTAAGAACCTCTGGGACAACTTTAAAACATACCAACATCCAAATCATAGGAATGTCAGAAGGAGAAGAGAAAGAAGAAATTAAAAACTTATTTGAAAAAAATAATGAAGGAAAATTTCCTGAATTTGGTGAAGGAGATAAATATCCAAGCCCAGGAAGCACAGAGTCAAGGTGCACCTTGTTCAGGTGCTTCCGAAACAAGGTGGACCCAAAGACAACCACACCAACACATATCACAATTAAAATACCAAAGGTTAAAGATAAAGAGATAATCTTGAAAGCAGCAAGGGAAGAGCAGAGAGTTACCTACAAAGGAGTGCCCATAAGACTATCAGCCAATTTCTCAAAAGAAACTTTGCAGGCTAGAAGGGACTGGCAAGAAGTATTCAAAGCTATGAAAAGCAAGGACCTCCAACCAAGATTACTCTGCAAAGCTATCATTTAGAATGGAAGGGCAGATAAAGTACTTCCCAGACATTGTAAAGCTAAAGGAGTTCATCATCACCAAGCCATTATTACACAAAATGTTAAAGGGACTTATTTAAAAAAAAAAAAAAAGATCAAAACTGTGAACGTTAAAAAGGGCAACAAATTCACAACTATCCACAGCTGAATCTAAAAAAAAAACAAAGCTAATAATCATAATAGGAACATAATCACAGATATGGAGATCATTTAGAGGGTTGTAAGTGGCAAGGGGGAAAGGGGAGAATGGGGAGAAAGGTACAGAGATTAAGAAGCATAATTGGTAGGTACAAAATAGATAGGGGGATGTCAAAAATAGTATAAGAAATGGAAAAGCCGAAGAACTTATAGGCCCAGCTCATGGACATGTACTAATATGGGTGGAGATGCTGGAGGGAAGGGGGATCCTGGGTGGAGGGGGACAAAGGGGAAAAATTGGGACAACTGTAATAGCATAATTAATGAAATATATTTTTTAAAAAGTTTAATCTTAAAATTTAACTTTTAGCATAGAAGAGTGAAACTGACAGACTTCAAATAAATTGTATGGATCAAAATTTTAAGTGAGAGAACTGAATCAAATAATTTTAAGCATATTAATATCATGTCACAAAAGAAAATGTATGAATAGTCAATAAACAAAGTGTTCAATATCATTTGTCATTGGGGAAAAGCAAATTCCATTCACAATTAGATACCTCTACACACCCAGCAAACTGGCCAAAATTAAAGACCAACAACACCAAATGCTGACAAGGATGCAGAGCAACTGGAACTCACATACAATGATTACAGAAGTATAACAAAGTATAAGTATTTTGGAAAAAAGACTGACAATTTTTTATAAAACTAAACATATATCCACCTTGTTACCCAGTAATTCCATTTGGGTCTTTACCCAGGAAAAATGAAAGTTCACATCTGCAAAAGGAAGTGCATAAAACTGCTTATGGCACTCCTATTAACAATAGTCAAAGCTGGAAACAGATTAGGTATTCACTAACAGAAGGAGAACTAAATATGCTGTGACACATTTACCCAAACGAATACTATTCAGCAACAAAAAGGAACACATTATTGGTACATGCAACAACATGAATGAATCTCAAAATCAAACTGAGTGGAAAAAAAAAGCCTTACACAAAGGCAAAAATATACTATGATTCCACTTATATGAAGTTTTAGTCAGAACAGGCAAAGCTGACTATGATGGAAATAAACAGAACAATGGTTACTTCTCAGGGTGTTGGTTTAGGGATTAACCAGGGAGGGACATGGGAGAACCTTCTGGGGTGGTGGCAATGTTCTATATCCTATAAAGGGTTTGGATACACATATGTAAGCATTTGTGAAAACTCATTAAACAGACTCAAGATTTGTGATGTAAGGGGAAATTTTACCTAAAAACACAAAGCTACAGAAACAAAAATAATCAGTCAGGGCCATAAACAAATATTGAACTCCAGGTAACAGTCTTCATACGCAAGTGTTTAGGGGTCAAGAGTACTAAAATATGCAACTTCCTGTGAAATGCATTAGAATAATGTAAGAAGAGGACTGATAAATTCACAGAGGGATGGGCAGATGAACAAATAAGTAATGAAGTAAACAGAGCAAAATTTAGGTGGTGAAAGTATTTGGGTGCTCACTGTATAATTTTGCTGTACATTTGAAATTTATGATAATAAAATGATGGAGGAAAATGTTTTTAAAAAGTTGTATAGAACTCTGAAGTTGTTGCTTTTAAGCACTTATATCAGTATTTCTCAAACTTTGATGTCTGATGTAATGTGAGAGATTATAGATTAAGACACAGTCTTTACAGATCATACTCTACACTAATAGTCTAGAAAACAGGCAGTTGCAACTCCTGAAGAAACTGTTAGAGTTTATTTGTAAATCAGTTATTTGGATTTTGAAATCTATTATATATAATAGAAATAATGTCACAAATATAAAAAAGCTAATTTACCTCATAAATAGTACCCATTTCTAATGATGGATCAGTATATAAAGGCCACAGGACAAAGGGAAGCAAGGCAGCAAGAACGTTTAAGGGAGGCAAGGGAAGAGAATGGCAGAGATGAGTGACAGGGAGAGGGAAGCCTGGAGGGAGAATGAGAAGACAGTAACTAGGCTGTCCTGGTGGTTAAAGCCGGAGAGAATTCATGATCTGGTGACACAGGAACAGCTCTAAGGGCAAGGAAGCTGAAGGCCAGCAAAGGGTGATGGCCACAGCTACAGAGGACAGAGTGAGTTCTGGAGCAAGGGCAGCGATAGCTAAGCTTGGCAGGAGAGCTGTGTTGGTGTCCACACTGAAACAGTGTGGGGAGGCTGGCTCAGTGTAAGAAAGAATGTGTGACCATTTGGCCCTTGTAAACACTAGTATATCCCAAGGGTAAGGGAAATCGGTAGCCACCAGGCACACATAGCACAAGCGCAGTTTTCACAGAAGCTCAGAGAGGTCAGAGGAAGTCCCTGTAAACACACTGGGGAGGGGGGGGGGGGGGCGGGCGGGCAATGACTGGGAAAGGAATTTGCATGAAAAAGATTTCTGTTTGTTTGGGTTATCTAGGTACATCAAAGTGTTTAGGTAAATTTTCTAGTTCTGCTTACTGCTACACTCCTTTGTATGCTATTCCTTAAATTACTTTACAAAGTCAAGGAGGAAGAAGGTAGTTACTAATATAATTGGTGGTATTATGTAAGAAAAATGTTTGGTCTTTATTCCACAGAAAGATAAAACATGCATAATCCCTCTTCTAAAGAAATTTAATGGCCTACCTTGTTTATTTGGTGTTAATGACATTTTATATTATACTTTTTTAGGTAACAAAAGTATAGATCATATTTAACTTTCTTAATTGGCCAGGCAATCATGACTGTATAGACTTACAAATAGTCAATTTTAATGGTTTTGTACAAATCTCTTTAACTCTAAAAATAACATGTAAGGTAAGACCAGAATAACATCTAAACTAGATGCTGCAATAACAGTTTAACGTTTGAAAGCACAGTGAAGTTTTTCTCATATAAGAGAGTGTTGTATAGCAGCACTGAGGAACTCACCTGCCCACGACCGGAATGTTGCTATGATTCCCATTTTACTGGCTAGAAACCTTGCTTCTCTGTCTTCTCTGGGGGTGGTACGTGGACGGCAGCAGGGGTGAGGAGGTCAAAGAAAAGAATAAAATGTTAAAACAAAAAGTGAGTTTTTCCTGGTACTATAGCAGAATGAACACTATCATTAGTTAACATTTAAGTATTTACACAGGAATTTAAACATGTTAAAAAAACGAAGATCAGAACTGCCGCAAAGTAAAGGATCCAATAACATAAGGGCCCCCTTCCAATTTAAGATCCACAACACAGTTTAAGGTAAGTTACATATTTTGACTTTTTTACTTAGTTCCACGTTTTTTTAAAAAAGTATTCTTAGATAGCTCATTATCACTTTTAATTGAGCACTAGACAGACAACACCAGCTTGCTTAGTAAGCATTTCTGTCAGAACTCTGAAATACCCCCGTCACCTCAAGTTTCCACGTCCTAATCTGGGGACCCTATGCACATGATTTTACTGTCCTGAGTGTGGTTACGTTTACGTTAGAGAGCCCAGCAGACCGTAAGATGGGGAGTTTATTGGTGGGCTTGATCCGACTAAAGAGTTTTCTCAAGCTGGTAAGTCTGAGATTCAAGCACAAGAATGCGAGGAACTCCTCCTGTCTGAAGACGGAGGGAACCACGTGGCAAAAAGAAAAGAGGCTGGCCCCTGGACGCTGAGAGGAGGCTCCAGCTTACAGCAAGGAACCAGGGTCCTGAGTTGTTTAACAGCAAGGAAGTAAATGTTGACAACAACCTGAATGAGGCTGAAAATGGGTTTCTCCCCATAACCTCCAGACAACAGCCATTCCAGACGTCTGAGCTGCTGAACTGGGAGCTAATAAAATGCTGCGGTTTTAATGGGCTACATTTGCAGTAATTTGTCATGCAGCAATAGAGAATATGTATGCTCTGTGTCAATAAAGAGAATGTCCAAGTATCATAAGAAAAACCCAAGAAAGGGGTCTAAAAACCTTAAATCCATAACTTGGCAGAAACAGGTTTGAGAAGTCTTAAACAGAGAACATCTATTTTGATTTCTTAGCTCAGGTCATGATATGTTAGAATGTGAGGGGTCCACTGTGATGGAGGTGATTAAAGATATACAACCACTTTTTTTAATTCAAGGGGAAAATGAAAAACAACAAAAATATCTCTATTTCACAATGTTCCATAACTTAATAATTTTAATATTTACTATCAAAATAAGTATGTCTGCAACAAACAATCCTACCAGAGAAACACCTCATAGCATATTTGCAGGGATTGTGTCATTTGCAAAATCTTCACAGATAGTACATTATTTGATGTCTAATCAATTTAATTAAAAAGCTATCCCATAATATCTAGTGAACTATGTGCTTTTTCTCTCCCAAAAAACTCTGAAGATTATCCTGCCTCATTTTTAGAAAATAATCTTTATATCCTTTTACTTCCCTTTTAACCTTACTTTCAATATTCTACCTATGCTATCTTTCTATTTACTCAACTTGTTAGTAAGGTAGCACTTCATTCTATCCTTGTTATTTTATTCTTTTAGTCTCTCAATGTAATTATACTAAAAAAATATAAAGTCCTAGCTTTCTACTGCAGCCTAATTTATATTTTTATATATAAAATTAGTCTTTAAACTTCTCAAAGTTCACTTTTAATTTTTTAAACCACAATTAATTACATTATCAGAGACTTACAACATAATTCCATGAAATACTAAACTTACTGAAACTCACTTTTCCCTGACGACTCTATATGCAAGCAGGAATATTCAAAACTTTGTTAGCAAGATACACAGCACCTTTTAAATTACTAGGAACAAATGATACTCACTTGAGCTGTCCTTCAGCTGTATCTGGACTATGTCTGTAGTGAAAATCAGTATAGGGTGCTAAAATTCGCTAATAAAAAAAAAAAGGAGAAAAAAATAAGTGCCTTTATTGTAAAACACGTTCTTTCTGTAATGAGTTAAAATTAATTCCACTTCTCTATATCTTTAATTGGGTACTGTTTAAGAGACTTATTTCTTCAAACTCATTATCAAGAAATATACCTGAGTGATTTTTTAAATATTGAAATTGAATTTTTAAAATTTTAAATAGAAGTATAACACACATACACATATAAAAAACAGTGCACAAATCATAAATGCACAACTTGATGGATGTTCTCAAACTAAGTGCTCTCCTGCAGCCAGCACCAGATGAAGAAAACACCGGCAGCCTCAAAACCTTCTTACTCCCCCTTGGTACTCACGAGTCACTACCAACCCCAGGATTGGAGGATCCTGACCTACAACCCCATGACTTAGTTTCGCCCACTTCTGAACGTTCCTGAAACGGTTTTATTTTATAAGTTACATTCTCCTCTTGTTGCTATTATAAAGAAATCCAAGCTATATTTTGTGTATTGCCCCTATATTCAGCAACCTTTCTACACTCACTCATTCTAGAGCTTTAACCACTCTATCTCGTTTGCTAATGTCCATCAGTGCCTATTGCATTATTGTGGTCTGAATTTTAATTTTAAACTCAATTTAAAATATGGAAGACATAACTAATATTGCTTTTGACAATCAGTATTTTTAAAAATATTTAGTCATATATGTGCTTTTTCTGGCATTTTTCATTCCTTTCTACATTTGTTTAGATCATATTCCTTTTGACTGAGGCCTCCCTCTAGACTTTCTTTCTTTGTGCCTGCCTCATTTTATAAATAATAATAAATATTTATTATCTCATATGGTTTCTGTGACTCAGGAATCTAAGAGAGGTTTAGCTCTGCAGTTACAACTCAGGGTCCCCCACACGCTTCATTCAAAATGTTGATCGGGGCAGCAGTATTCTGCAGGCTTGATGGGAGCTGGAGGATTTGCTTCCAGACAGTTTACTCACAACGTGCTAGCTGTTGGCAACAGGGCTCAGTTCCTCCCCACGACACACACGGGAAAGCAATCCGGGAAGAGTAATGTTTCTTTATATCCCCTTGGGTCTTTAGTCTGAAAAACCTTTATTTGACCTTTGTTTTGCAAAGTCATTTTCTCTGGGCATTATTTTGACATTATTTTCTTTCAGCGCTCCAGAGTTTCCATTCTACTTTCTTCTGGTTTCCCTTAATTCTGTCGGGAAATCGCTGTCAGACTTGTTCCTTTGAAAGTAATGTCTTTTTTTCTAAAGCCGCTCTTAAGATTTTTATTGGTCTTGGTTTTCAACAATGTGACCATAATGTGCCTACATGTTGTTTTCTTTGTATTATCTCATTTGGGGTCTTCCAAGCTTTACAAACATGAAGTTTCATCAGTTTTAGAAAAAGAAGTTTTGGCCATTGACTCTGGATATTTGTTTCTGCCTATATTTGTGTCTCTTTTCCAAAGACAACAATTATGTTTTACCCCTTTTGTTTTGTGGCTTTCTTTTCCCACACTGTGCCTTACTCTGAATATTTTTACTGACTTTTCTTCCACTTTGCTAATGGTATCTTCTTGCCCAAAATGAATTTTTAACTTCATTGAGTTCAGAATTTCAGGTATTATGCTTTTCAGTACTAGAATTTCCATTTGTCTTATTTTATACATTACAATTATCTGATGAGATTCTCCATTATCCCATCTATTTTCTTCCTCTTTTCCTCCATTTTTTTGAACTAATGGATCATAGTTGTTTTAAAGTCCTTCCCCTCTAACTGCAACAATGTGGATCACCACTCGGAGTATTTCTATACAGTATTTTTTTGTTTGGGTTTTCAGTCTTATAGACTTTATCTTTTTGTATGACATTCCATCAAAGTCCTAACTGAAAGTCAGACATGTTGAATTTTATAATCCAAATGATGTTATCTCTATTAGATGGTTTATCTTTTCCACTGTTCAGTAGGTTAAGGAGGCTGATTATTTTTTCTGATTGCCAAGTTAAGTTGAGACTATGTTGCAATTCTGATAAGATAGAGTACACTTTGGTTTTCCTTTCCTCAAGTACAGCCCTCCAGTGCTTTCAATGGAGAGCTTAACAAGTATTTTTCTCCTTGGTGCTGACTGGATTTATTTTTTTATTTCATAAGTTTTGAACTAAGATCTTTAGCTACCCATCTATGATAGCTTCAGATTTTAGGGAATGTCATGAATAGGAAATCAGCTATGAAATACCCAGTTTTGTCACTTTAGTACCACACACTACTGCTAAATGCTCCTCCCGTTTTTCGGATCCCAGCAAAAGCCTATGTGGATTTTCAGCTACTAATTATATCCTAGTCAGTAAGTGGACCAAGGGAAAAAAGCAACTGCATAATCAGTGTGAATTCACTACTCCTTTAAAGCCCTTTACCCTTTTGCCCATGGCCCCTCCTCCTGGGAGGCCTTTTGTGTCCTGCGCGTGGGGACTACAGCATGTTCCCCTGTGCTGTCCTCAGGGTCTGACCTGGTAGCCTCTATCTTGCAGAGATGCTCATTTCAGCAAACGTCTGGGGGGATAAGTCAGACTTGGTCTAGGGACGTTACACGTCTCTAGACTTGTCATGACATAACCCCCAGGACTGCCAAATACTCTGGTCTTCTATCCAGGCCTAGGTCACATTCTCAGCTTCTAGCCTGTGCCCGAAATCTGCAAGTACCCCCAAGGGCATCTGTAGATCTTCAGGGAAACTCTCCAAGTACCCTCCTTCCTTACAACTTCACTCCCATCTGCAACAGTGTCAGCAATAAAATAAATAAATAAATAGATAAATAAACTTCACTCCCTCTGGTCTTTATTGGTTTCATAGCCCTACACTGCTTTAAATAGATGATTTCCATCATTACCCAACTTTTCCAGTTTTCCACAGCAGATGTCATCAACCAACCTATCCCACTCTGAAATGTAAGTTTAACAACTGTTTTTAAAGTTACTATAAAATTACCATTAATTTACAACCTTTACAGAGTTTCTACTCTATTAACATTGTTATATTAAATCTACATTTCTTTTCCTGTCTGAGGTTAAAATGTATTTTATGTAATATAAATAGAAGCCAAGGTAAATTTTAAAAAAAGATTTCTAATAGGAAGGAAATGGGGGCCCAATAACAGAGAGTAGCACTGAAAATGGTTCCTCTGTATGTGGAAAAGGGAACCAATCATCAATTTAGAATGAAACTGGTAAAATTTAATTAATAAAAATGAGGACAATATTCTCTTAAGAGCAGATTCTACAATGAAGCAGAGAATGATTAAATAGAAGATGATGATACTGAGTAATATCCATGGCAACCAGTATTTGAATATTTATTATGTGCCAGGTACTAAATAAAATATTTTATGTATATTAGAATTAATATATGAAAAGCACCAAGAAATACCCAACTCATTAAGGCTTTATATTGGTGTTAGCTGCTATTACTGCTGCTTCTACTAAATACTACTACTACCATTATTATTATAGTACTCCCTCTTCACAACAACTCTTCAGGATAAAAACCATGACCTTCATTTTACTGAGGGAAAAACTGGGTCCAAGAGAGGCTAAGCCCCGGCCAGTATGGCTCAGTCAGTTGGGAGCGTCATCCTGTAACCAAAGGGTTGCAGGTTTGATTCCTGGTCAGACCACATATCTAAGTTGTGGACTCGACCCCCCACCCCTCCCCACCGTCTGAGCACTTATGGGAGGCAACCAATCGATGCTTGTCTCTCACACTGATGTTTTTCTCTCTCTCCCATCCTCTTTAAGAAGCAACAAGAAAGTGTCCTTGGGTGAGGAAGTGAGAGAGAGAGAGAGAGAGAGAGAGAGAGACAGAAAGGCTAATAACTAGCCCCAAATCATAAAGCCAGCAGGTCATACAAAAAGTCAAAACCAGATCTGTATATGCTCTCAATTGCTATGCTATTCTCAGGGGATTTTAGTAAGGAAAAAAAGAACCAATTTTTGTGGTTTTAAAGAACAAGATATAAGCAAAGATATAGTTGTGTACTTAAACATCTAACATGTTATTTGAAAAATTTTCACATATAATGGCTTTTTAATCTGTCGTACCATTATATAGGAACAAAAAACAGGCCGATACATATTACCGTCCTTCACTGTAACCATCTCACCAACTTTAAAATTCTAGTTTTTACACTTGATAAAATAAAACCTAAACCTAAACATACAATAAAATTAAAAAAATGCCAGTTTATCCCCATTGGATTACCAAGAATAATGTATTTAAAATCACATATTAAGAGAAATATTAAACTTAAATTTGTTAGTATGATACAGGTTGATGTCAATGTTATAATTTCAAATATTTCTAATAGCCCTAATAAAAGCAGAATTATAACATTTAAGACAAGGTTTACAAAAAATAATTTAGAAAGACAAACTAGGGAAAATAAATCTTTTATACCTTGCATGATTTCAACCCAAATACAAACAAATCCAGAGTTCTGGATTTGTAATGAATAACAATATAGTACCTGCACACAAATAAATTATAAGAATATAGTTTGTGATAATTCTGTTCCAACCTTTACTACGTACTTTTAAAAGAATATGTATTATTTTATACTAACTAGAAAAAACAATGAATTAGTAAAAAAATTTTAAAAAGGATATATATGTATTCTATTTCTTTCAAGTATATGTGGTCATTATTTGCTAATAAGCAGTTCTAAGTTCAAAGACTTTTAGCATGGTTTAATAAATAAACAGTATATAATTAGCAGGATCTATTTACACACAACACACTAAAGTCTTCAAAAAGAAAGTCTTCTTAAATAAATAGGTAAATGGCTATGTAACCTTACTTGTGCTTTAATTTGCTTAGTAAAATTTTCATTGTTAAAAAAAATAAACTTCGTTTTATACAATGAGGAACTACTTTGAGAATAATATTTTTCAATTCAGTCCAAACTGAATGAGCTATAAAGCATTGCTGGGAATAAGCCAGTCTTCGAAATTTAGGTTTGATAACGCTATGCTGCATCTACTAACTTTAAAATTTCAAAGTAAGAGATTGTATTTAAAGTTATATTTTAAAACTAGAAAAGAATATTAACGTTCCTACCTCTAATTCTACATCAGCTCGCACATATTTTCGGGTCTTTGGATGATTAAGGAGGTGCAAAATTGTAGTAATGAGGGCCTCATTTATTCGACTTAACTGGCAATCGATCACATTTTTCAAGATGGTGTTTAGTCCACCTCGAAGGGCCACCACCTCTGGATTCTGAAGTGCTAAAATAAAAAAGAAAAACTTAATATATTATATAGGGGATAATTAATCAAATATAATCAGAAATCTGGGGTTTTGTTTTAAAACAATTTCCTTTCTGACTTGAAAATCTTTCTAGTCAAGGACACTGAAAAGGGCATGTGGATAAAATATATCTAATAAGAGTCACCGAATATACTTTCCAAAACTCTTCTTTATTTATGTCACTGATTGTTTTTCCATATCCTTTATTCCTGTTTTACTGAAATGGTTCTTCTTGCCCATGAACTGCAAGGACTTTTTATATGAGACTATCAGCTATTTGTTTCAAATCTTTTATAAAATTTACAATTTTACTTTAGATTTTAAACTCAGATTTTAATCTCAGTACATAACCTTCGTCAAACTAGAAGTTGTCTCAGATCACTCTTTAATCAGTTCCCGTCCACCACAAAGGTAACCAAGGTTCTCATTTTTACACATACAGATTACCTGTGCCTTCTTGACAATCAAGCGGATAAATTCAAAGAGTGAAAAGTACTCCCCAAATACAACATATAAGTTATATACATTTTTTACTAAGTTTATTTGTTGTATATACTTTTATTTTCTACTTTGGAAATAGTACAATTTTTTTGTTAGATTTACTGATTATTGCTGAAACATGAAGTAAATCTACCAAACCTGTATTTTCACTTTCAGTGTACTAAATCCTTAAGTTTTGTTTTTCAGGTGTTTCAGAGTTTCCAAGATATACCATCTACAAGGTAAGAGCATCTTCTTTCCAACATGTAAACTTCATTTATTACTTTGTCTTACTAAGCTGGCTAGAAGTTTTTAAACAACATTAATTAAGAGCTAAATAGATGTAGTATTTGTACAGATCCACAATTAAGAAGTGTTGATTTTAGATAAATATTCTAGAATGTTATCCAAGTAGCCTTCTAATTATTTTACTTTGTATTTCTATATAGGTATGTGAGCATATGTGTATTTGTGGGTATATGTAGATAGATGTTGGTTTTATTACAAATTGGTAGATTTCCATATTTTTTACACTCTCAATTTAAACTATATAGGAATTATCTGTTCCTTGAAGAAATTTCTTTTTAATACAAAACTACCTGAATGAGTCTTTTGGGGGGGCAATTATTTTATAAAGTACTTCAATGGCTTTTGATTATGTTTTATATCTTTTTGAGTCAACCGGATATAAATTTTCCCTGAAAATCCATTCACTTCAGTAACATTTCCAAATATTTATAAAAGCTATTCCATAATTTAAAAACTCCTATTATGTTCTCTTTATTTCTAAATTAACCTTTGTTTCTCTAACCTTGGCAGTTTTCAAATATTATATATGTTTGCCTATCTGTATATCATTTTTCCTTCTTCAAATTAACACTGGTTAAATTAAATAATCTATCTCGTTCTCTAATTAAGACTCAATTTCATTGTTCCTTTCCCCTGCTTACCTACTAATTGATTTTTTCCCTTCTCTTTCTATTTCGTGGGTACACTCACTTATATTCATTACTTTTTGCTTAATTATAAAAGCATTTTATGATAAACTAACTCTGAGTATAACTTTCTAGGCATCTCACAGATTGGTATGTAGTAAAATTTTTATTTTCAAAACTTCCTTAATAAATTTTACTTAGCTTTAAATCAACAGGTATTGTGGACAGTATTCTTAAATCCTTGATGGTCAGCTCTTTTGTTTTAGTTTAAAATTTTGTTATTAATTCATTTATTTTATCAAGAGTCAATGAAGCCTATACCACTTCTCCTTTCAGTGGCAAAATATTATCTTCTTATTTAAAATACATATCTTTGGTTATAAGTGAGGTCGAATTTTTAAAATATGTTGACTGGCCATGCATTTGATGATTATTTATTTTTCCTATTGATCTGCATATAAATACGTTATTTACTTATCATGTTTGTTACATTTATTTTTCCTTTGTTCTGGCACTGTAGTATGTTTTCTTGCCTCCTTATAATACAATCTATAGCTGCTGAAATTCTGATTTCCTTTGTAATTCAAAATTCTTCTTCCATTTTTTCCTGTTTTTCCCATTTAACTCTTTAATGCTTTTGCATTTAGAATTCCTTTTTTTGTTAAAATATATAATGGACTGTTTATTGTTTTTAACCTACATCATGATACAGAATAGTTAGCTTATGTCTGACAGCCAGAATTTAAGAGATTTTATTGCAATTACCAAAATTTGAACAATTCTGATATACTAAATTTCATGATAAGGAAAATGCTAAAATTTACAGTTTCAATGTCATTTTGAAATTATTTGTTAAACAGCAAGTCCTCTACTCCCCTATCAGGAACGTCCTACTTATTCATATCATTGTACCAATAACTAAAGAATTCATGTATTAAAGGCATTAAGAAATGTTATATATGCTTTCTAAAATACTGTATTTTCATTACTCAAAGAAAATTCTAACCTAGTTCACAGATAATAGCAATGCATGCTCGGACCATTCTGTCTCTCTCTTGAAGTCCATCATTTCCAACTGCTATTAATGAATTGGCCAAGGAGCTAGGAAACAAGGAAGCATTCACAGTAATCATCTGTAACAGGGAGAAATCAGAAAAAGAAGTTACTTACTTCAAAATATATTTTTAAACCCTACTTTGTCTGAATTGAGATTTTTAAGACCATAGAGCAGGGGTGTCAAACTCATTTCCACAGGGGGCCACATCAGCCTCATGGTTGCCTTCAAAGGGCCGAATGTAATTTTAGGACTGTATAAGTGTAACTACTCCTCAGTAGTTAAATGAGAGCTCGACACTGCCACCAGGTAGAAACAAGGTGCTGGGCTGGATAAAACAAGGGGGAGGGCTGGATTTCGCCCGCGAATCTTGTGTTTGCCACCTGTGTCCTAGATTATTCATAAGTTTCAGGCATCAATTTTAATCTTCTACTTCATGTAAACGTTTCAAAGAATTAATATAAATAATAATTGATATAACTGATGTTAATATCATTACTATGCCAAAATGTTTTGGCTTTTCCCCCCTAATAGTCAAGACCATAAATTAGTTGACCAACAAGATACACCACTTCTGAAATTCTAAGCTCCTCTGGAAGAAAACTGAATTTGTCCCCTCATCCTTTCTCACTTTGCTGTAATAAATGCCTAATAATCTCCTTATCGCTAACATCACTTATTGCTACACCAAAGGCAAACTTAATAATCTATAACCTTCTTAATATTTCAAATAATCATGACAGAAACAGTATGTATCTGGTAATAAACTTTGGGTGAATTTCACCTCAAATGAAAAGTTTAATTGGCAATAACATATTTGGAAAACTGAAAACAGGTAAACATACATGTATCTTCAGTTTGCAAAACACAAAGAAAACACATTGTGTAGTTAATGACTGTTTAATAAATAAAGACTATTTGGTAAATGAAGTATTGCAAAATATGTCCTTGAACTGGGAAGTAGAAGAAAACATTTCCTTCTATTTGGGTGGTGATAAAGTAATACTTTATGTGGGGATAATTAACATCCTGTCCTGGATGTTACTGGATTTATAATCTTGTTGAAAAGTAAGACTTGTGCTATGAAACAATTAGAAGATGTAATATAACTAAATTAAAGATACCCAGGTAATTCCTATAAAGGGCCAAAGGAAAGACATGTATTGGCTAGTATACTTATAAATGATTTATGTTGTTTAAGCAGCATTATATAATATTACAAAGTTCAAACAAAATGATAGAATACACAATCACAAAATAGATTTCCACTAACTACAGAGTTGACGCAAGTTTTCAAATTCATTTCTGAGAATCAGTATTTTCCATTAATCAAAAATGATGGAGAGAGAATGAAAGGAAAAGGTATAGAAAACTGATCTTCCTGGATGAGAAAATTCTAACACTTACGATATTAATTTGTATTTTAATACTTATTGATCTATTATTATGCTTATAAGGAACCTAGAAAAATTCTCTCCCAAATAAAACATAATGTATTCTGAAAAGTGCTGGCTAGGAAGCCAGGTCAAATGGCTTTCAGAGCTCAGTCTCAATCAGTAAACTGTTATCTTGGCCAAATCAATCTTCTCAATGCTTTTGTTTCCTCATTTGTAAAAAGGATGTGTATTACCAAATGCTTTCTAGAATTTAAAGTACAAAATCCTACTCTATAAAGCTAAAGTGTTATGAAAAGAATACCTGCAATTCAATTTTTTTTTTACAAATGAAATCTTATTTTTGTGGGAAATATATGCAAAGAAACTCTTAAATTCTGTGCAAATCAGAAAATACTTTTCTCATAAATCATTGAGTACTAAAAAAAAAAGCCATAGAATTTATTTCTACTGAAATAAAAGTTTAATCATCTTTTTGGGCATGACAGGACAGATATACTGGGTTGGTCAAAAAGCTTGTTTGGTTTTTTTTCCGCTAAGATGGCTCTACTAGCGTTTAGTTGTTTTTAACCTCATTTGAAACAATTTTGTTAGATTGTACTGTGACAGCTGTCTCATCAGTGTGCATTAAAAAAAAACAACTCATCAAACTGGTGAATTTTTGTGCATCCATTATAATATTGATATGGAAGAAAATATGCAACATTTTCGGCATATTATGTTTTATTATTTCAAGAAATGTAAAATACAACTGAAATGCAAAAAGAGATTAGTGCAGTGTATGGAGAAGGTGCTGTGAGTGACTGAATGTATCAGAAGTGGTTTGCACAGTTTTTTGGTACTACTGACATTTTAGCCAGTAATTCTTTGCTGCGGGGCTGTCTTATGCTTTGGGAGATGTTCAGCAGCATCCCTGGACTCTACCCACTAGAAACCAATAGCAGACAGCTGACATCCTCAAAATATCCAAACCAATACAGTTATTGGTAAAAATGAAAAATGTGTCTTTTGGCCAACCCAATAAATTAAAGATCATGAGTAGATAATAATTCGTAAACTGCTATAAAGGAAGACAGAGATCTCTAAGGGGAGCATCTGAAATCTGAGCTGAGACTGAAATGAATACAATGTAGATAACATAAAAACGAAAGGGAGGGAGGTGGGGATGGCTGGGGGCAAGGGGAGAGGTGGGTGGTAAATGCAGACAACTGTAATTGAACAACAATAACATAATTAAAAAATAAATAAAAACAATTAAAAAATGAAAAGAGTGGGAAAGAAATAATGATCATAATAGTAGCATAGGAAACTAGTCTACATGAATAATGGCATCATGAGACAGGTCCTAATTGGGTTGACCAAAAGTTGGCTCTGCCTGCCAAGGTAAGCAGATTGTGCTTAATAACAAAAGCAATCGTGGGTCAATACAGGTTTGGAAATCCAAAGAACTAAGTTCTTGCACTGGATCTGGCAATATCTTGCTATGAATCAAGGGCAAATAATTTCCTTAAATGAATCTCTTTTCAACGGTAAAAAAAGCAAACAAAAGAAACTGATGTATTAACCTCTTGTTACATGGATAAAGAAACGAGAGATGAGGAAAATGATGACTTAGAATTTAAACAGGATAACAAAAAGCAAGAGCTGACCAGTGAAAAACTATATAGCTAATTACAGAAGTAAAAATCAGGAAGACAGCTTGGACTGGAAAGACAGGGAAAAAAGATATTTAAAAAGAAAGACAAAAATAAAACAAAAATGTCCCAAATGACTGAAGTAAGTGAAAGAGAAAAAAAAGTAACAAGAGTATTCCTTAATTATTCATAGAACAAGTTAACCTAAAACAACAAATATTTTTACTTATAAAATAAAGAAGAAAAAAATTTACAGAAAATTTTAAACTTCTTTGAATGCACAGAAAAAACTGTCAGTGACCCAGCAGTTACATTATTATCACTAATTTCTATTACGTCAGTTGCCAAGATGTTACTGGAAAAAAAAAAAAAAAAAAAAAGGTTTGCTTTGGCTGTTAAAAGTACTAACAAAATTATAGTTCCACTGGCCAATAGAGGACACTGTTTATTCAGCAAGTGTGCTTTCCCCTTTAACTGCTTTTATTTTTTTTTTATCTTTTTTTAAATTGCTATTCTATTATAGTTGTCCCAATTTTTCCCCTTTGCCCTCCTCCCCCTTTTGACCCAGGGATTCCACTGCTGGTAATATACTTTAAAAATCCCAAGTTACCAATTCAAAAGAACTTGCACTCCTATGTTGATGCAATAGCTAAATGCTGAAAACAGCCCTTTTAACTTAACTACTTTTAGTTAAACCAAGGAGGATCCCTGTGCCACAACTCTTCCTCTGACCTGTACTCTACCACCAGGTATGAGTAATTTTCCTGCTGTTGGATTCACAAATGGTATCTGCCACAAATTACTATGTACTTCAAAAGATAACACAATTGAATATACTTTTGTTATGGCATTAGTAAATTGTTTCCAAGAATCTGTTTACTTTGACTGGCTATTTTATAAACTATAATGGGTAAAAGCAAAATAAAAATAAAATATTCTCTAAATAATTCAAAGAAGCTGAATTTCATTGTTTGAATCCATTTTGAGTCATAATTTCTTCTGGATGCGGTTTCTAGGGCAACGATTCTCAAAGTGTGGTCCGGGAAATGAGGATCTCTAGGACACTTTCAGGCACTCTGCAAAGTCAGAACTATTTTCATAATAAAACAAAAACATTACTCATCTTTTTTATACTCTCATTCTTTCACAAGTATATACTAAAGTTTTCCAGAGGTCCCATTGCATGTGAAATCACAACAGACTGAATTCAAAAGCAAATATAATAATCCAGCTATCTTCTATCAAAACATTACAGAGATTTGTAAAAATCTAATATAATGTCACTCTACTCATTACTTTTCTTTTTAGCAAATACTTTATAAAAATGTTATGTTTACATGTAATGAGTTTATAATTTTCATGTTAATATATATTTTAATTTCTTAATGTATATTCTAGTATGATAAATACTGACACATACAATGCCAATAACCACAAAGTCATTCTAGGTTCTTCGGAACCAAGTTTGTTTTCTTATCTTGAATTCTCAAAATCATGGTGATAGGAGAGACTGTATGAGTAAGTAAACACCATAAATCTAATTTTTACATTTAAATTTAAAGAGTCAAACCATGGTCTCTTCCTATAACAGAAATTCACGACCTCTAATACCAGTCTCAATAAAACTGCAAACATCTCTTAAGACATCTCATCCATTTACTTTTTCCTTACTATGTTTCACCAGTGGATAATTACTAACTACAAGCTAGACAACTGGAAGAAAAAGAAAAAAGGGAATCTACTTAATGTACAAACTCAACACTGTACCATTTTGGAGCATGCATTGAATTCCAAGGTGTGGAAAGAGCTAAAAAATTTAATTGCTAAGTAATTTTAATGTTTTTACATCAGAACATACATACACATTATGAGTCTTATGAATGTTCAGAATCAAACACGATACTTTACATGAAATGTGATGAAACTCTTACAGCAGCTATGTCCCAACCAAGTTAACTCCCTCTCAGTTCCCTGTTCCTCTGTCCCCAGGACATCACAGTACATTAAACCACAACAAAAACTCCTTGAGGGTCTCTCATCAGAAGCGCTATGATGACTCTTAACACATTCTCTTGAGGAGTTTAGATTTTGACCTTTTACCATGTACCAAGGCCTGTCCTGCTTATTGCAATTGCCTATAGACTGTACCCAAATTCATCTTCAAAACAGCTGTAACTATCTGTGGCATCCATTTAACAGTACGAACTCCAAGCATACACGGAAGAGAAAATCAGAGGAAAGAGCAAGCAGTCCTCTTTTCTGAACAACATATCAAAGCAATAATTTCATTTACTTGTCTACTAAAGGGAGAAATATTCTGTACAATATACATTTTAAAAATATTATCCTAGCTATACCCAATCACATAGAATAATTACACAAAATGTTTATTCTAATCTTGAAGTTTAACAGAACTATTTAACTCATATAATTTAACAAAATGTTTAATGAGAATTTAGCCTTTACATTTTAATAGAAAGATTTTACAAAATAGCGTTAAATCCAACAATGTAACATACTCTCCTGAACACCACAATGCTGCCTTCACTCTTCGACATGGAGCATACCTTTCTGACTAATCGAAGTGCTTGCGTCCTCTCCACCTCGTTGCTCTGCTGTATGTCAATGCACCTAAATAATATACGAAATAGTTATTGATAAAAGTCTTAACAATTTCCTATCAAACAACAACACTAGATCGGACACATATTCAAGATGTCAATATGGTACTTAAAATTTTTATTACGCATCAATTTGTACTACCAGCAGATATTTATTTAGTTAGCTTATATATCTCTAGTGATAAATACTTGTTATAATAAAACATTTCAAAACTGTTTCATTTACAACTCTAGGAAAGTACACAGAACATAGTAAGTAATTCACAGATTTATATATGTCTATACAGAAATAATAATCACAAAGCAAAGTACTGAAAATCTACTGAAAGAAACATTCATCTGTTTTTGATAAAATTCAGACATTTTATACAAACTGTGAAAGAAAAATATTTTAAGCCTATGATTTAGTTAATTGCGATTTTAACCGGGCCTAAATTTTACATACAGGGATTGGCAAAAATAGGTTTACAGTTGTAAAACACAGTTTATTCTTGCATTATTTATTATTATTGTATTATTTTTCATATGAACTATAAACCCCTGTATTATAAGCTAAAAGTCATATGTACTAACCACAATAATTCTATTTCACCAAAATATAATTTGAAATCTGAATGTACTTCAAAACTTAATGTTCTATCAAATAGCACTTAACTGACTCTTCTCTCTAAAATTTATTAAATTTTTCAATTTCTCAAGTCTTTGATTTATGTTGCATGATAAGTCACTCTCACTTATATTTAGACAGTTAATTTTTCTAATCAGTGTTTTATATATATAGTGTGCTGTTCAAAAAGCATTTCTTCTCTCTGTATGCAACAGAATACCCTCTCCGGCCAGATTAGAGAGGCTTGGCTCAGACCGACACCCCTGCCACAACAACTGTAAAGGTTGAACAAAGTACTTTGTAAAGCCACTGTTAAAAGAACAATGAATACTAATCCCTGGAAACAGAGGCACAAACTCCACATCCACCCCAGGCTTTCTACGTGGGCCTTTGTCAATACCGACTTTTAAGGAAATGGTCTTAGCAGAAAGCAAAAAAGTCTTGTTGTGCTGGAGGGACAGGTTGAACTTTGGGGAAACCAAAGTGGCTGAGACTTGAGGGGAAAAAACCCCACAGGAAGCAAAGATAGGAAGGTGAGTGCAAATCTGCATGCAATCTCCTATTTAAGCTGTATGCCAATATCTACGTTGTGCAAAAGCAGGGTTAAAATCCAAGAAAGCAAGCTAAAAGCTACTGCTGAGAAGCAGATATTTTAGCAGGTATGTAATACTCTAAGATAGATGTTAGGCCTCAAGACTGGTCAAGGTGAAGAGGTTCTGCTAAACATCTACACTTTTATTTGAGATCCCAAATAGCCACTTCCTAGAGCAAAGGCAAAGCGAAAACCAAACTTTAACAGAGTCAGTGCTATACACCAACATTCTAGAATAAACCTTGACTCTCTTAAGGGGAGAGTAACATTATCCGTAGCCAAAAATTCTGAATACACAATGTTCACATCCAATCAGATAATAAGGTATGCTTTAAAACAAACAAAAGGCCAAGTAACAAAAAACTAAATAAAAGAAAATGACTAGGAACAGAACACAGGTGATTCACAAATTGAAGTTCAAGGCTCTATAAACAACTATGCATAATATGCTCAAGAAATCAGAAGGAAAGATGGAGAAATAGGTAGACCTAGAATCTTTAAGTAAGAGTAAAATAAATCATAGAAATACAACAACTAATGTTGTTAGTTATTCAAGAGAATGATTTACTAGTAAGATGAAGGAACTAAAAAAAATCGCATTGAAACACAAAGATTAACAACAACAAAGGATGAAAATATAGTAAGGGCATCAGAGACACTTGGGACAGTAAACAGATTCAACTATATAGTTGGAGTACCAACTATAGGTAGGACAGAATATTACCAAAAACTTTCAAAGTAGCCAGAGGGAAAAAGATACATCACTTAAAAGGAACAACAAAAAGTGAGCTACTTACTGTTCAACAGGTTAAAGAAAAAAAATTCAGAATACTTATTTGAAGCATTGAACAAAAGTAACTGGTCATAAAAACAGCCTTCCAATAGGAAGACAAAATAGGGGCATTTATAGGCAAATAAAAGATGAGAGAATGCATCTCCAGTAAAGCTGTCCTACAAGAAACATTCAAGAAAGTTCACCAAACAGATAGGAAGAGATCCAAGATGAAAGTATGGAAATGCAAAAAAGGAAGAATACTGGAATACATAAATAATGTAAGTAAATACCAGTAGTTGCAGTTTAAGACAAAAACAGTACTATCCCTGTGAGGTTACAAATTTATGTAGAAATAAAAAATAAAGCAATAATGCAAAAGAAGGGAGAGGATATAGTTAAAACTGCAAGAGGTTTCCTGCATTGTGCTGGTTTTAATAAAGGAGATAGACCTTATAATACACAAAGAATACACCTGTTGTAATCCCTAGGGCAACTGCTAAAGAAACATGTATAGAAAAAAAAATTCTTGATTATTCCAATAGAAAATAGGAGCAACACAAGAACAAAGAACAGATATGACTGACAATAGACTGCAACAGCAAGATTAGCAAACAAACTCAAATATATGAGAAAACTGACAGCTAGATGACAGTCTCTCTCTCATACTTGTGTGTGTGTACATAAAATTACATTAGACAAAGCCCAGGGACCACGTATTTAAACCACTAAACATAGTCTAATCACTCCAATTAGAAGATAAAGGTGTCAAACCAGAATATTTTTAAAAAAACAATTTAATGTTTATAGGAGAGAAACTTAAATGTAAGGACAAAAAGATAAAAAGTGAAAGGATGGGAAAAGATAGATTAAACAAACCCTAAGTAGAAGAAAGTTACTGAAGCTATATTTAGATAACATAAACATTCATAAAAGTTCTACTAGGGATAAAGAGAGACATTTCATAAATATAAAAGGATTAGCCAAATGTGAAGGTTTAATGTTTGTTATTATGAATGCCATAACAAACTTTCAAAATATAAAAAGCAAGAACTGATGACACAAGAAGTGGAAAAACTTAATAATACTAACGGTACTATATCTGTTAAAGAAAAATTGAGTCCACAATCTTAAAACTCCTAAGAAAGAAAACCCCAGGCCCAGACTTACTTTCTGATGAATTCTAATATTCATGTAAGAAAAAATAATACCCATCTTATATAAATTCTTTCACATATGAGGGTAAAGCTTCCCTAGTTGTTTTATAAAGCAATCATACTCTTGATACAAAACCAAATAAGGACATCAGAAGAATGGAAAAACATGGGCCAACACATCTCATGAACATAGCTGCAAAAATGTGCCACAAAATATTAGCAAACCAAATTCAATTATACATGAGAAGGGCCAGGCATCACAAACAAGTGGTGTTTACTTCAGGAATGCAAACAAAAAAATAAGAAAAAATCCTTTTAAAGCCTACAGCAAATTTCATACGTAAGGGCAAAATACTGAACACTTTCAATGTGAGCTTAGCAGCAAAACAGACTTTCCACTATAACCATTTTTAAGTCAGTGCACTATTCTAGCCAATGCAATACTGAAGAAAAAATAAAGATATAAAGATTGGAAAGGGAAAAAATAATATGGTCATCACTTGCAATTAATGCTTATATAATAAAAACTCCAAAATAATTTTAAAAACAATTAGAATTGAAAGTAAACACAGCAAGATGACTAGATAAGAGATTAGTATACAAAAAGAAAAATGCAGCCCCAACTGGTGTGGCTCAGTGGGTTGAGCACCAGCCTGTGAACCTAAAGGTCGCCAGTTCAATTCCTAGACAGGGCACATGCCTGGGTTGTGAGCCAGATCCCCTGTTGGGGGTGTGTGAGAGAATGCTGATGAGATGTTTCTCTTCCTTTCTCCATCCCTTACTCTCTCACTAAAAATAAATAAATGAAATCTTTATAAAAAAGAGAAATCCAAAATGATGTTTCTATATGTTAGCAAAAATTATTATTTTTTAAAGATTTTTTTATTTGTTTATTTTTAGAGAAGGAAGGGAGGGAGAAAGAGAGAGAGAGAGAAATATCAATGTGCGGTTGCTGGGGGCCATGGCCAGGCATGTGCCCTGGCTGGGAATTGAACCTGCGATGCTTTGGTTTGCAGTCCACGCTCAATCCACTGAGCTAACCCAGCCAGGGCAGCAAAATTATTTTAAAAATTATATTAATAAAAGTATATAAATCATAAAACATATCTTAAATAAACCTAACAACTATGTGCCAGACCTCTGCACAGAACAGTACAAAATGTTGAGAAAAATTAAAGTTCCAAATAAGTAAAGGTTTGGAAGATTCTACATCATTAAGATGTCAACTCACCCCAAATTAACCTAGAGCTTCAATGCAATTACTACTAAAATCCCAGAAAGTTTCATGGAAATGGACAAGGTGATCATAAAGTTCACACAGAACCCACAAAACGCCAACAGTCTTGAAGAAAAGCAGATAGAGGACTTACATTAACACGTGTCAACACATTATCAAGCTGCAGTCACTAAAACAGTGTAAGAATACACAAACAGACCTACTGAAGAGAATACAGAACGCAAAAATTAATCCATATTTACCTTGTTATCTTATTTGTAACGAGAGACACTAGTGAAAGAAAAATCTTTTCAATAAATATTTACTGGATATCCATAAAGGTAAAAATGAATCATTACTTACTGAAATGCATTGAGGAATAAATCTTTTAGGGGAAAACATAGACTATCATCTTTCAAAGAGACCTAAAGTATTAACAATAAAATAACCAACCTCTAAATTGAATTTTATTAAGGAAAGTGAAAAGGGAAGGCAGACTGATTTGGAAAAAAATATTCTCAATATGCATACCTCTGTATGAATATTAAAGGAATCATACATAGAAGACATCAAGAACTCCTACACAACAAGACAATCAAATTTACGAATGAGCAGAAAAACGAGGATACCCAAATAGTCAATAAGCAAATGAAAGGTGCTTAACATCACTACTCACCCGGGAAATGCAAATTAAAAGCACAATTGTAATTCACAATGAAAAACAGAGCCCAAAGGCTAAAATTAAAGACTGAAAATATCAAGTGCTGACGAGGATGTGGAGAAACTGGAACTCTCAGAAACTGTTGGTAATAATGTGAATCGGTACAATCATTCTGGAAAATTGCTGGCAGTATTTACTAAAGCTAAAAACACACGAGCATGACCCAGCAAGTCCACTGCTACATATACACCTGAGAGAAATGAGTGCATATGTAAGCCCATCAACAGAATCATACAGAATGTTCACACTTTATTCACAATAGCCAGACACTGAAAACAATCCAGGAAATCATCAACAGAATGGAATACATTAATTGTAGTCTGTATATAACATGAAAAAGTACACAGCAATTTAAAAACATCAATATGGATAAATCTCATAGATAAGAAAAAAAAGAAAAGAGTAACCACGTACTTTTAATATATGATGTTCAAGACAGGAAAAGCTAGTCTACAATGAGAAAGGCCAGAGTAATGCTTATTACAATAGTACTTGGAGACACAAGGAAACCTGACTAAGATGCTGAAAATGTTCTTCTACATCTTTTTCAGGATAACAAGGTACTTGATTGTTTGTATCTGTAAAAATGATCAGGCTTTACACTAAAAATATGTAGAGTTTATGGTAGGTATGCTAAAACTCAATATATAATTTTCAAAACATATAAAACCATAAGACAACTCTTAGAAAATTACCTGGCTATTAAATAGTCCACTTTCAGTTTAAGCACCTTCTGTAGAATACTGGAGTCTTGGATGAGATACCGAAGAGCTCGTAGCCCTGCAGCCCGCACTTCTTTTGCTTCGTTCAACAAAGCTAACCGCAAGCTGTTAGAAAACAAAAGTTTTGCTGCATAAGTTTCGGATACATGTAAAACTATGGTGTTGGGAACCGCCCTGCCTTGTTTCAGAAGCTGTAATCCCCCCGTGGCTAAGGCTGAGTGGGCGACCTTTGGAACATAAGCCACTAAGAAGACAAAGCTTATCTTCCTTGTAGGGGCGCCACCTCTGCCCCCTTTCTCTTCACCCTGCTTGGCCCTGGGCAGATGAACCGTGAGAGAGTGGCCGAGGCGCTCCGAGGCTTTTTCTCCTCTTGAGAGAGAAGCCACGCCGTCCCTTCACCTCCACAGGACTCGGTAGTCCATGTGAGTTTGTCTCGTCTCATCCAAAACACTGCGGACCCCAGGAGCTGGGATCCGCATCATTATGGTACCCAATTCTTCCTCAGTTGAAATAAGCAAAACTGTTAGTCATTGTTTTTTTTAAATCCTCACCAGACGATGTATTTATTTACTCTTTTTTTTTTTTTTTTGAGAGAGAGAGGAAAGGGGTAGGGAGCAAAAGAGAAAGAGAGAAACACTGATGCAGAAATATGGATAGCTGCCTCCCCTATGCGCCCCAACCAGGGATCAAACCCACAACCCAGGTTGTGTGTCCTGACTGGTGATCGAACCCACAACCTTCTGGTGAATACTAGGATACTCCAACCGAGACATCTGGCCAGGGTAAAACTACTAGTCATTTCACACATATAAAAATCATTTGCTATACGCCATGAACCCTCACTAATGAAATTTTTAAATCTGGACCTGCTTGGTACATTCTCACCAACCAAAACAAGTTATTGAGGTTTGTTCTATCTTCTGTAGTTTATTTTATATAAACAATGAGATATTAAATATTCCTTTTTCAAGCTGTATCACATATGCCACTATAATCTATTTCCCCCTATCTGCCTACCTACTTTCACTCCTCTCAAATAATCATTGGTTTAAGACAATAAATAAAAATGCTTTATAATGACAGCAGGCACAGGTTACTTATACCAACTTTAATTACCAAGGATGCCAAAAAGATGGTTATTAGTACTGTAATGTGATGCCTTTATTAGTGGGCTTGATCAACAAGTTTGCCCTTAAGAAGTTTAAATTGGGTCAATCCATTTTTCAACTTTAGCTTTGGTTCTTTATATTTGATACTTACAAAACTTCAGAACAGGTAACAAATTTTGAAATCTTGAATTTTTCTAATGTTCAAACAATTGTTTTTATAAGATCACATATGTGGTGCTAAAGTATCCCAATTTTAATTTAAAAAACCCAAAATGATAACACTAAAATCCATAAGAGGTAAGAGAAGAAACTGAATTATACTTACCAAATAATAATATCCTCATAGTTAAAACCCAGTTTTTCTTCACTGTGGCCAATATCACAAAGAAGCTGTCAGAAAGACAAAACAAGTATGTGTGTATTTGTTATATATTGTCTCTATATATTACTCTTTTAGACTGGAAAATAAGATATTTTAAACAAAATTTTAAAAATATGGTTCTGTAATTCAAATATAAAGATTTCTATCATTACTTTTTATTTGATCTGTCAGTTTTAGGTTTCTTTAACCCTCCTTTCTGGCCTTTATTTGAACTGACCAATTATTTGGGATTATTCTATTTGCCCCCCTCAATAGTTTTATCATTCTTTTTGTGGTTACCATAGAGATCATAACATGCACTTTTGACTTATTATAGTCTCACAGAAATTATTACTTTATCCCATCCTTAATAATGCTAGGCTCTTATAACACTTTAACTTCACTTACTACCCTCATCTTTCACTTTGTTATAACTGTTTTGTCACCTGTAACTTAAAATCCATTTAACAAAAATTGTTATTTTTGTTTTTAGTTAATATTTAGTTAATATCAATTTATACATATTTACTCACAAATTCACCTTTTCTATTATTCTTTACAGAAAATTCTTCCTTCAGTCTGAAGAATCCTTTTTGTTGTTATGGATTTATTTGTATTTTCATTTTGTTAATTTTCAGCCAAGATTGCTAATAATGGATTCTTTTGATTTTTGTTTGTCTGGAAATGATTTTTTTTCATTTTTATTTTTGAAGGATATTTTGTGAGGTTTATAGATATTTTATGTTAGGTCTATTTTCTCAAAAATTTTTCAAGATGGCTTCCATGGTTTCTGTTGAGAAGTTTGAAGTCAATCTTACTGTTGGCTCCTTTGAAGATCATAGCCTTTTTCTCAGACTCCTTTCACAATTTTTTTCTTAATCTTTGGTTTTCAGAAATCTTATTGTTCGGGTTTCTTCTATCTTGATTAGGGAAAAGGAAAATTCCCAAATCTCTGGGTTAACATATTATATTAGTTTTAGAAAGTTCTGAACATTATCTTTTCAAAATTACTTCTGTCCAATTCTCTCTCTTCTCTCCTTCTGGCAATTGAAATGCTGAAACATTTTGTGTCTAGTACAAATCTCCAAACCTCCTTTTTCTGTTTTCTCCATTCTTTTTTATATCTATGCTTTAGTTGGATATACTCTATTTATTTGTCTTCTGATATGTCTAATTTTCTATTATACCTATCTATTAAGCTTTTAAGTTTAAATATTGTATTTTTCCTTCTTGAATGTTCACTTAATTCTGTATACATCCAATGCTATAATAAAAATCATTTTTTACCTATTTTCTTCATAGCTTCTTCGATTTTGACAGTAATCATATTTTAAACATTTAAGTGCTTATTAACTAAGTGGATGTGAATGATGGGGATCATCCCTCAGTTTGTTTCTATCATTTGGTTTTCCTTTTGTCCTAATCCTATACAGCCTGTCTTTTGGTGGATCCCGCCCGTCACCTTTGTATATAACAACTCGCCCAGATTCCTCATGATGTTCTCTCTGTTAGGCCACTGGACAAGGCTGAGTCCAGACTGGGGTGCTGCCCTGGGAAGACGCGGTCTTCCCCTGGGTTTTCCTTTCCCCTCCCTACCCCCAGGCTTCCACTGACAGCTTGTTTTTCAGGGGCCTAGATCAGAAAAGGACATATCTAATTTAGTAAAGAAACTGAACACTATATTAAACCCTCTTTTTAACTCTTTCAGTTTACACAACACACCGCATACACACGCATTTATAATACACCAGAGAAGGATAAATACCTTCTGGTGGTCCCCTCTGGAGAACGGTGTTTTTGTCGGAGTGGGGAGACAGATGGGAAGTACGTGAGAAAAGACTTCGACTTTCACTATGTATTGTTCTGTACCATTTCAATTTTTCATATTTAGTTTATATTATTTTTGAAGTTTTAAAACAGAATGACATAAAGACTCCTTTGAAGGTTTTAATATAAATACAGGAAAAGAGAACTTTTAGAATATAAAAAAAGCTGAAATATTTTCATCTTTAATAACAGGCCTTTATGAGCATGTTGATAGTTTTAAAATAGAATACGAAGATTATATCTGCCAGCAGGCTGTTAAACATATTACTTTATCCAGTGGAATGATGTCAGAAAGCAAGCACGCTGTGTGACAGTCACATGGTTATCGGATCACATCGCTAGCACCCTCTCTTCATACCTCAAAAGGTTTAAAATTCTGGAGATGAAGCCCCCCTTACACAACGTTTTAGCCCACTGATCTACTAAATTAACTTAATCATAAGAGCTAGGCTTATTCTTAACAAAACAAAGGCTAATATAACAAAAACTCACTTAAAATGCAAAATGTTCCCAATGTTAATATAATAACTTTAAACATTCATTATGTGCCAGATTTTGGGATAGAGAGGGATGTAAGAGTAGAAAAAGAATTATTAGGTATTTCTTAAAGAAACTTTGTTTAATAAGACAGTAACCCACAACAGATTATAAAAGACCAGACAAAATGCACTAGACGCACACATAACCTGCTATGGCAACACAGAGAAGGGTGGCCACACTGACTCCCGAAAGCAACGAGTCTCCCGGCGTCATCATTCTTCTTCTCATTTTCTTAGTCTATAGAGCTATTCTTAAGAGATCTCTGAGAATGTCTACATTTTATTCTATAAAGAAATAAACACAGATTTTTGTAGGAATACCAGCTCTGTAATATTTATCATTAATCTAGCTAACAAAATGGAATTCAAAGACACATTATGATTAAATTTAGTAAGCACTTATTCTGTGCTAGGTACTTGGAGAAATTTAATAACACAATCTGCAGAGATTTATTTACAGCAGTGGTTCTTGACCGGGGGCAGCTCTGTCTCCCACGAAGTACCTGGAATGTCTGAGACATTTCTGCTTGTCACTGCTGGTGGAGGTGTGCTTCTGGCACCTAGTGGGCAGAGGTCACAGAAGCCCCTGAGTACCCTAAAGTGAACACGACAGCCTCCCAAAAGAAACCATCATCTCACCTAATGTATCAATATTGCTGAGGTTGAAAAACCCTTTTATACCAGCTTACCAATCTGTAACTCAAGCTATTAAGCAGACTTGTCCTCTTAGAGTTAGCTCCCCTTCCGCCCCCCAAAAAGCCCCTGGAAAAGTGGAAAAAATATAATACAAAACCAAAACCAAACCCCATGTCAGAAGGCACTACACGTTACGTGTCTGGCACTGTACGCGGCAGACCTAGCTTCTAATGGCTGCACGATTACCTTAGAGTAAAATATCAGGCCATGACTGCCTTGCTGGTCAGGGTCAGCTAGGCTGTAAGCCCTCTTCTATTTAAAGCTCGTACTTTTCCCATTTATCGCCCAGCAGTCAGAACAGATTTTATCAAGTCCAATGTTTGTGGACAGCCCCTCAAACCCCAACTCAAGGTTTAGTCCCTTACTAGAAAAATTCTACGTAAGTCTGGTTATCCAGGTCAAAGAGCAAACAGAAGGGCTTCTGTAACCCAGCACCAGGGCCAGGAGGGAATGTGAAAGCTGTAGAGCAACCATATGGCAAAACAAAAAACCAACGAGAATACAAAAAGCCCCAAAGCCTAGGAGCTTCACTACAGAGATAAACCATTCTATACTGTACAGTGGTACAAGAGGGAGCGGGAAGGAGGGAGGAAGGAATGAGGGGCGGAGAGAAGAGGAATGCCTAGGGCAGGGTAAAGAGAGAGGAGATGAAAGGGAAACAGGGGAAGAAGCAGAGAGGGGAGGGGATGGAAAGGGCAGAGGGAAGGCGGAAGGGGGAGGAGATTAGAAGGGCACAAATCTCGCAGAGGCCAAGCTGGGGAGCAACTCAGCAAACTACTGTGGGGGAAAGTCAAAGACACAGAAATAAGGAAATGAAGTAGAAAAAAAGAAGACAGCAAATGACCCTAACCCAAGGAAGCATGGGGGCTAGACAGAGAGATAAATGGGGAATAAAGAAGAAAAAAGAGGTGTCCCACAGATTACTAGAAAAAGACGTCTAAATCACTCCTGTTTGAAAAAGTACACTGTCCATTATGGTTGGTGCCTACTAAGCTGCAAGTGCCTATGGGAACTGGAAATGGGGCCAGTCTGAACTGAGATGTGCTGTAAGTGTAATTCACACAGTAGATTTTAAAGAGTACGAAACAATGTTAAATAGCCCATATAATATATTGTATTTTATACTGATTCCACCAACTGATAATAATATGGATATGTTGGATTAAAGAAAATATATTACTAAAATAATTTCACATTTCCTTTTACTTTTTTAGTGTAGGTACTAGAATTTTAAAAATTACGTATGTGGCTCACACTGTATTTCTAGCGGACGGTACTACTCTACATTTCTAAGAACGCTTTAGAACCTGCACGGCTGCCAGAAGGAAGTGAGAGAAATCACTGCCATTCTTATATCCATCCCCAGCTTTCAGAACCCTAAATGTCAGGGGTGGGAAACAATTACCTAGGTGTCAACTGATTTATAACAACGGCCATGAGTTCGAACAGGACAGAAATCTCTACTAATGTTTTTAATTGTTAGATCCAAGCAAGTGATAAAGACTTATTAAAGTTGCGTGAATGGTGAAATAAAACTGGAAATGTAATAGAAGGGAGTTAACACAGGAGATGCCACTGGCAACTTTGGAGCAACTTTGGGTCTTAACGACTTGCCATTATCTGACCAGTGCAGTGAAGGAAGTTATTGAATAGTTTCTTTACATTCTTGAAAATAAAAGCACACATAGGAGTAGTCTTGAAAATACCTCCTCAAGCACCTATTCAATGTTTTTGAAAGTTGTTTTTAAATAATCCCTTTCTCATCTCTCATAAGTTTCTCATCCGTTATATAAATATAAATGCCAGAATATCTCAAAACTTCACTAAAAATGCATATGTACTTTCTTCCCTATGAAGAAAACTAACCTATTTTTTATTTGTTGCACAACACCATGTTGACAAAATCATTTTGTTACATAGTGACTATATTCTTATACCCTTATATTTCTTAAAATCAAATCAAACCTAAGCCACAGTCCAATTACTAGAAAGGAAAGAATTAAAGATTTTAGAGGGTTAAAACAGAGCCATTCCCACTTTAACATACACAGAAATTCACCAGAGAATCTTTATTAAAATGTCCATTCTGATTCTGGGGCTGAAGACAGTGCCTTTCAAACAAGCGCTAAGTTGACGCCAATGACGCGGGTCTGTGGATCACACTTAGAGTAGGACGAGGTTAAAACATACAATTATCCCCACATTTAAAATGGAGCAGAACAATTTTTATTTAGTAAACTAAAATGGGAAAGTAAGTTTTTTCCCAAAGGATCCATTCTGATTTATATTTATGGTATTACCTCAAATAATAAGCATTTTAGTGTTTCCAAGAGTTGGCTGTCCAGAATTACCAGGTTCAAAAACATACCAAGACATCAAACTCAGGAATTCTTGGCTGCTAACAGAGATCGAGTGAATATTTATTTGGGATGAGGATCCCTACATTTATCTTAGGCTCTAACTGAGGTCCAGACAATGGGAACAGACCATCAGAGAAAGAGAAAGTTCTAATATTTCTCTGGGAATTATGGTCATGCCTATGAAATGCAACACACACATGTACTTATGTATAAACATATCATATATCAACAAATAAAAATAAGTAAAAAAAGGCAAAATAAATACATCAGTATGTGAATAACAGTGAAGACTGGATTATGGACTTCTCAGTAATTTTTTTCTTTATTCTTTTCTGAACCTACCAAATTTTCTATAAGTATATAATACTTCCATTATTCAAATACACTTTTAAACGTAAAAGCACATGACAAAATCCTTAAGAAGTACCACAGGAAAGCACTAATACTGAGTGAATACTCAAGAATTCTTATTGATCGTTAAGAAGCATCTAATAAGTATAATAAGGAAAAACAAATTTTAGATGATAACGTGAATAAAGAATAGAGTTACTTACCTTAGTAAAGTTATTCAAATGGCCCAGCTTTCTCATATTTGAAACCCCTTGCAATTTGGCTACATTCTGGAGAATCTCCCTTAAGTTATCAGAAGGCTCTAGAAGAAAAGACAGATAATTTAACATAACTTAAAAGAGTATTTTCCTAACCAAATACATATAACATGCAGTATTAGAATTTTACAATTTGGCTTTTGGTTTACGTTCTTACTCTCTATCTCAAATCCACCCACTTGTGTGACATCTAAGTCCACATGGATGACTCACTCAACGTCCCTCACATCTACATCCCACCTAAATCTGTGGTCCAACTTTGTGTGTCATCACCCAGAATTATTCAACCATTAAATCTTAGAAGTTCACCACCCCAAATTTCATTCCTAGCTGCAATGTAGTAATGGGCACCAAAATTACTATCCTATTTGAACAAACAAAAAAAAAGGACAAAACAAGTGAAACTATACTTCAAGGCACTGGACATCAGCAAGTAAAGAAAAAATGATCCCTGAGATGAGAAACAAGGAAGTGTGCTCTACAACTGTCCCAGCTTACAGTCTTAATAGCGTCTTCAGGCCTTGGTGCTGACAGGAGAAACCTAGGTAAACGGTTTGAGATGAAGAGACAGAGCCCCAAGTACAAAGAGAGCAAGGAGTATTAGAGAGCACTGGAGAGAGAGAACTCTATAAAGATCTTGCAAAGGGACGCCTCAGGTAGTCAGTATAGCAATGCCTGGTGCACGTACATGTGTGAGGAATTACCACTCAAAAGAATTAAAGGGAAGAAGACCTTGCGTTCATATAGGACAGAAAGCTGTGCTTGTTTCTAAAAGCCAAAGTTGGGAAGTCTTAGCTCAGTAGTGGGTAAAAATCAGATACAGACTAAATATTTTTTGACCCCATCTAACAAATCTTCAAAGCTAGTTTTGAAAGCTTTCAAATGATTCCAAGTAACTAAACTGTGTCTCAGACCAAAACTCAAGATTTATAAGCAGAAAAAAACTATGAAGCATGTTAACGGCAAAATTTACCATGCTTATCATCTGGTCAAAAATTATAGGCATGCATGGCAAAGAGGCAGGAAAACATGACCCACAATAAGCAGAAAAACCATTCACCTGAAAATGACCCAAAACTGACACAAACGTTAGTATTAGCAGAAAAAGACATCAGAACACTTTTTATAACTATAGTCTATATGTTGAAACACTTAGGGAGAGGCATGAAAGGTGTATAAAAAGCTACAATATATCAGATGGGAATAGCAGCATAATAGCCTTTATACAACGTAAGAACTGTGAACTTGAAAACAAAACAATAGAAACTATCCAAAATGTAATAAAAAGAAAAAAAAAGAGCATCAATCAGTGAACTATGGGACTTCAGGCCTAATATAATTACAGTATGTGTAACTGGAGTCTTCAAAGAAAAGAAATGGGAGACAGAAAAATTATTTTAAATAACAGATGAAAACTTTCCAGATTGGATGAAAATAAGCCAGTAAGTCCAAAAAGCTCAACCAACCCCAAGCACAAGAAACATTAGGAAAACTAGACCAAAGGACATCTTAGCCAAATCAAATTGCTCAAAACCACTGGTAAAGACAATCTTAATATAACCAGATCAAAAACTTGGAAAACAAAACAAAACAAAACAAGTTACATAGAGAAAAGAAAGGATGACAGTAGATTTCTCGTGGGAAACAAATCAAGTGACAAGATAGTAAAACACTTTCAAAATACTTAAATTCAAAAATGCTATGAAAAATGTATGAAAACCATTCTTAACTCACTTGCTTTACAAAAAGAAGCCACAGCCAAACATGGCCCCATGGTCAGCATTTGGCCAACTCCTGGTATAGTGTCAATTTCCTCAGGCTTCCACAAGCTACTTCTATAATAACACATTCAGCATCTTTTTTGTTTTAAACAAAACAAAAACACAATCTAAAAAAATGTATCACATTGCAGATATTTCAGTTCAAGAGCCATTAGGACTTACTTTGAGATTTTTATGTAAACGCAAACCAAAGAACTATTTGTTCTGAATTAGTGTTTCCTCAGCAAATGAAACTGTTTGCATTACCCTGTTTTACATTCAGCTCGCACCTGCCCACCTCCCTCCATTCTGCTGCGCGGGGTGTTAACCATGACAACCACACATCCGTCTGTGTCAGACCCACAAGCACACCACATATCCCAGCTATTTCCAATCACTTTGAAACTGCAACATACAGAGATTGTTCCTTTGGTGTTAGAGTATCTCCCACACGTTTTGAATAGTATGTACTGGAACTCTAATAAAATTCAACCTAATGTTAAGAGTCGTTGTAAAGTTTTTATAAAGTTCTCAAGTATAGTTAAATCACTCTAACATCACTGGTTCACTCATAAGATGGTCCCTTGCAACTCTTTTTAATGAGGTCTGATTCCACCCAATGATGAGAGCTGTTTTCATTTCACTTTTAAGATACTCTCAAATCACTAATTATAAAGACATATTCTAAAACCACTTATAGTTGTATAGAAGCTACATCCATCAATTTGCAGTCAGAGTTAAGGATCATTAAAGCCAGTGTTAAATTTAGTTAATGGAAATATATAACCTAACCATTTTACATCAATTTATAATTAGGATTCAGGCATCAAACAAAAAGGTGCACTAAAGTGAAGATACTACTATGTAATAATCTGATAGGACTACTCACAGTTAAAATGATTAGTCTGAAAAGATACATACTCTAAAAACTGGCAGATTTCTAATTATCACCTATTTTCTAAGTACAAAATGGGTGCAGACTTTATTTTTAAAAACCCACAACCACATTACAATCATTTTACACAATCATACTCTAAATAAAACCTCATATCTGAGTTCATTCATTCAATGAGTATTAACTAAACAACTGTTATGGCCAGGTACTTTTAGGTACTGGAATACATCAATAATCAAGACAGACGCTTCTTTAATTAACCTTAGAGGTGGAAGAAAATAGACAATCAACAAGAACAACAATAAGAAAAAAGAAAAAAGAAAAAGACATGCACACAATTTGAAAACTGACAGGTGGTAAGAAGCCAGCACTGGGTCAAATGTTTGTCTCATGAGTGATGATATAAAATGAACTTAACACGCTGTAATACACATGTTTTTGTCAATATAAATCAAAATGAACTAGCCTTTCTACTTCATTTCCCCCCCACCCCCTTTTTCTTTTATGTAATTAATTACAGGAATCCCCAACTATGGAAGAATGTCAAAGTTTCTTCATGGACTATTAATTCAAAAGAGTATTAGGGCCATTTCAGGCATGAAATGCTATAATGTTCCTATCATAATGAAATGAGAAATCCCTGGTTTCTTCCTTATTGGCTAGATTAAAAGTCTGTACACTTTTTCTGTAAAGGTCTATCGTAAGTATTCTCTACTGGCTATAAGGTCTCCGTTGCAAAACTCATCTCTGCTGTTGTACCAAAAAAGTAATCAGAAAATACAAAACCCCTTGGCTGTATTTGAACAGCAATAAAAAATAAAAAAGAAAGAAAATACATAAATGAATGAGTGTGGCTATGTTGCAATAAACAGGCTTGGCAGGATCTGTAATTTGCCAACTCCTTTGCTATATAGTCAGAACTTAGACTACAAGAGCAGTGAGAAAGCTGAGATCAACTTGACTATTACTTGGGCGGGGGAGATGGGGAGAAACAAAAGGAAATTTAAGGAGAGGTTTACCTCTATTTCTTCCTGCTCTCATGTAATGTTTCCAATTTAGCTTCTCCAAAACTGTCCCAATAATAGTGGTATGTGAGATGTTTAAAGCACAAATGAGATAATTTACTAGGATATTTATTCTCTGAATGCTTGAAGTTTAGCAAACCCACAGCTGCTTAAGGGAAAAAGAAAAAAAAATTGTGCCTAGCTGACTGTGATGACCAACCTTTCAATGGCAAGGAAGCAAAACACAAAAGAACTACAAGAATTACAGTGGCTCTTTTCCTCCTATTGTATAAACTGTAAGTTCCTGATACATCTCTCTGGAGGTAATGAAGTAACTGATGTCAACTATAAATAAATACTCAGCAATTTAATATTTTATACACCCACACATATAAGAGATACATACGTATATACAGAAAACCACCAAAACTACAGTAAATAAACCTTTCTCTATATCAACATATCTACACACACACAATTCCCCCTTCCACACAATTCTCTGTGTATATACATATCTATGTACATGCACCCAAATAAATGTATATATGAGGTCTGGAAAAAGCCCAGAGTTGTTAACATAATGAGAATGGTTTGCATGACATTGACGTAACCTGGCAGCCAAGGAGAGTGGACTGGGATGCTCATGCATGAACAATAACTTCACTGCACTAGTCAGTGGGGGACAGTAGACGCCATTGAGCACGTGTACTGTGTGGCCATTGCATTCAAAATGACTGAATGAGCTGAGCAATGGATCTGCATCAAATTTTGCTCTAAGCTTGAACATTCCTCTGCAGAAACTATTCAGATGATTCAGGAGGCTGCAGTTATGGGCAACTGGTGATTGGCAGCTTCATCATGACAACATGCCCACTTATGCATCACATCTGGTGCAGAGGTTTTCAGAGAAACATCAGGTCACCCAGGTGACTCAGCCCCCTACAGCCCAGATTTGGTGCCCTGTGACTTCCAGCTTTTCCCAAAACTAAAATCACCTTTGAAATGGAAGAGATTTCAGACCATTAATGAGATTCAGGAAAAGAAGATGGGACAGCTGATGGTGACTGGGAGTACTGTGTGAGGTCCCAAGGTGCCTACTCCGAAGGGGACTGAGCTGTCATTGTCCTATGTACAATGGTTCTTGTATCTTCTTCATTAAATGTCTATTTTTCACATTACATGAATGGATACCTTCTGGACAGACCTTGTATGTGCAAGTAAACATGTATTAATTTTAAAATGTTTTCAGTATATGCTGCTTTAAAACATGCTACAATCCTGGCTGGCGTAGCTCAGTGGATTGAGCGCGGGCTGCGAACCAAAGTGTTGCAGGTTCGATTCCCAGCCAGTGTACATGCCTGGGTTGCAGGCCATAACCCCCAGTA